GTATTTGATTTTATGGTATGTTTATGTCATATATTTAGTACAAAAGTATATATTTTTCAAATTTTTACTTACTATTTTTTTTATCTATTTATATCTATGCTACTAACCTATATATTTTTCATTCTATATATGTATATATGTTTACATAAAATAATGTGTCAATCTACTAAATTTTAATTTTACATCTATCAATTTTCAAAAGAAAAGTAGAAAGTGTAAAAATAACTTAAAATACTATTCATGCAAAAATATATTTATTTTTACTTAAAAATAAACATATTTTTGCACGATGGAATGGAGTAATTTTATTTTTTTAACCTATTTGTACATAAATTCTAAATAAAGTATATGTCTGCACTTTTATAAATTTTAAAGAAACAAATATACAATTTACATCCACTTACTTGAAATTTTATAACTAATTAGTTGTGATTTTTTATTTATTTGTTTCTTATTTTGTTATTTTGAAAATGTAATAACTAATACGGTAATATTCGAATATAAAAAAAAAAAAAAAAAAGTAGATAAAAGGTATTTAAATAAAATGAATTATAAATTAAATAAATAAAAATTAAATTTAGAAATTACAGGTAAACAGTAGCTCACACTCTACCTTTGCAATTTGAATTTTGAATTTTGATACTAATATATAACAATTATATGACATTAATATATTCCATAAGATGAAATGTAGGACTATAACGGGCTGGGCCCATATCAGCCCAGTATATATAAATTAAGAAAATTAATTGCTTAATTTTTATATATAATAATATATGTGTGTGTAATAATATAGTTGTATGTAACTATTATTGAGATTTTGAAATGATCATAGGTACATAAATAAAAATAAAATAATTTGGGAGGGATTAATTATATTAGTGGATTAAATAAATGAGTAGGGTTGGCTCTCATCATGTGCTACTGAGACAGAGAGAGTAATTATATTAGGGCATGAATTAAATCATTTTTAATTAGGAATAAATTAACAAGTTGCATGCATGAGACTGGGGGGTAGGTAGATGGTGTCTATTATTTTTAATTAGGCATTAATTAACTAATTAATTGATTAATGTTATTAAAAAATTAAATTAAATAAAAGGCTATGAGAGTTTGGATTGTAGTGTAGAGCAAAAGAATATAAATAATTAAGACAGCCCAGAGGAGCAAAGTACAACTAACAGTTGGATGTGCTGACCAATTAATTTATTGAAATATATATATAAATGTCTGAAATTATTATAAAATATGAATGTAATATCAGTAAAGGTGTGTTTGTTTAAGGGATTTTGTCAAATTTTTACTGTTTTTACAAATTCTTTTTTTTTTTAAATTATCAAATCAAATATTTATTTTTTATATTTTATACTCTCTTCGTCTCATATTGAATTATTGGGTCATTGTAGACACGAGAATTTAGGATAAATATAATTAATAAATAATTAAAAATATATTAGTGAAAATAATTATCATATAATATAAATAATTATATATTAATGTTAAAATAACTAATTAGTTTAATTAAAATTAATATAAATTATATTTAAAAATTTAAAATTAGATTAAAGTGTATAATCATTTTCCAAAAAAGACATAAACGGCAATGTGGACATGGTACGTGGGACAGAGGGAGTATTATAAAAAAAAAAAATCAATTTTACATTCAAAACATCACATCAATTTTTATTTATATTACATCATATAACTATTCAAATTCAAAAAATTTATTATTTAAATCTCAATCCAAAATCCAGACCCTAAACATTCATTTGCCTCTTCTTCAACAATACTTTACATATTTATACATTTTACGTACAACTCTTCCTTGAAATTGAAATATAGGAACTATTTTTTTAAGAATCTTTTTTTTTTTATTTAATAACAATTTTTTTTTTTAATAAAAATATTATACTATATCTTTTATATAACTACTTTTTAAACACAACATTCAAATAATAACTAAACACTTTAGCTGTCAAATTCTTATAAATTAAGTGATGAGATATCCTTGGCAAGCCAAGCATATTTTTTTTACTTTCATCTGAATTTGTGTAGTTGATCTCAATACTTAGTATAAGTTTTTTCTTTTTTCTTTTTTTTTTTTTCTTTCTTCAATAACTATATAAACCATCAACCCACCCACTAAGATAAGCACGTAAACTGTATATTAATTTGGTATTATTTCACTACTAAAGTCTATTTTTTAAATTTTATTTTATTTTATTTATTTTTTTAAAAAATATATATATATATATATTTGTAAGAAGAATGAAATATTAGGTAATACTTGCACATCATTCATAAATCAGAAATGAGTGGATGAAACGGTACCACATTTTATTTCCTTTACAATATATATATATATATATATATATTAATTAGAAAATATAGAGTGTTTTTAGCAAATTTAAATATAAAAATTTAAATTATGGAAGTATGAATAAACTTCAATTATGGAAGTTCATTTAGTGAGTGAGGCAATATATATTACTTAGACCATATTATAGTACTTATTATTGATGTGAGAAGCTATATATGCATTCAATGATTGATACACCATAAAAATAAAAAATAAAAATAAAAGTATTTAGTACCATTGCTTTCAATTTTTAATGATATCCTTTCAAATAAAAATATATTATTATTTTTTTTATAAATATATATTTTTTAAAAATATAAATAAATAAACAATTTTTATTGATATTTTCACTATTATTAATAACTAACCATAAAAATTCTATTAACTTTATGAAAGAGCAGTTGAAAACAGTCATTTAACATCATTGAAACTACTATTTGAAAAAAAAAAAAAATGAAAAAGAAAAATAAATAAAAATATATCAAACTAAAAACAATTGCACACTAAAGGTGTGATCACTTGTTATATTCTTTGATTTATATTTGGCATCTTACTATCTTTTAAATAATAATAGTGTGGGTAAACTGTTCTTTTATTTATATTTTTTATCATCTTATTTTCATATTTGAAACTATTTTAAAATAGTCTTATAAGTAAAAAAAAAAAAAAAGAATTGCATACTTAGTCTTTTATATGTTCAGATGGCGCTGACCAGACGGATACATATCTGCATGCTACGCAAACATTCTCGGTGCCGAAAAATTAAAAATACAAAAAGTTTTTATTTACAATACTAAAATGATAATTTACCCTGACAGCAATACTTATTAACATAATATCTAATAGGAAAAAATATATATTTTTTAAATATAATATTATAAAAAAATAAAATATGTATATTAAAGAGTAAAAAGAATTCAATTTGAAATAAACGCCCGTATTGTTATTAAATGTGACATTAACTGTACCCAACTCGCTATTTTCCAACTGCATTGAATTGAATGGACTCTATTTTAAAATAAATAAACTTATGTAAGTATAGATTTCAAACTTCAATGCCAATAAAAAGAAATTATAAATATTCTTCAGAATAATTAATATTGTTCCTTCAACTAAATTCTACAAAAATCAAATAAATACTTCACACTTCTTGGTCTTTAAATAACACTTCATGACAGCAATAATAGAGAATTTAAATAAATACTATAATATAACTCTTTCATTATTTATTTATTTATTTATTTTGGTTTTTATGTTAATACTTTAATCAAATTTGGCATTGCTTACATTTTAATAAAAGAATGCATGAACAATAAATAAATTTATAGATCTCCTCGAAATTAGGAATAAATTAAATATACTTAGATGTTGAACTTAAGCCTTGGTCAATATGTTGACTTCCGTTTGCAAACATTGAGGTTAAATTGAATTACTCTTCCAGTCATTTAAAATTGTGTTCAAATGATTAAAAATAGATTTTAATAAAAAATAGATAAAAATAATAATGATTTTTTTATCCTATATATTACAGTGGGTATTAATTATATTCTCTTCGTTCCAATAAAATTGTCTTATTTATTTATTTATTAATGATAGTCTCTATTTATAACAAAATTATTTCTATTTTTTTAAATTATCTATAATTATTATTCTAGTCTATTTTTTAAAATCATTCAAAAACAATGGTATTTTAATCTTTTATTTTCTTACTTTATAACCACTTTCATTTCTGTCAACACCATATCTTTTCTAAAATAAATGGAGTACTTAATGCGACTGACAACACGTAGAATATATACATACAACACGTGATATAAACTAATAATATAACACATAAATTGATAATACATATAATTCATAGTTTTATATATATTAAATTATTTTCAATGTCCAAAGATATAATATCTCTTCATCTATCAAATTACTTACATTTATATACAATAGTATATTTTACATTTTATTTTCAAATGCTGATGTAACTACTTCCAAATACTTTTGGTTGGAATTAATTATGTCACTTCGATCGAACAAAAATTAAAGTATAATAGTACTTTAATATAAAAATAAAAATATTATATAAAAATTATTAAGAAAAGTAATTTGATTAATAAAAAAAATAATAATAAATTAATTATTATTTGTTAGAATATGAATAATAAAATTATTTACTCTAAATAGAATATATATATAATTAATAAATATGAATAAATAACATAAATTATTCCACAGATTTCATAAATTTAATTACAATTTCAAAGCATAAATTTGATAATGAAATTTAATTACAAGACACGGCCACAGATTTCATAAATTTAATTACAATTTAAAAGCATAATTTCGACAATTAAATTTCCAACTGATTATTCCACGGAATACACTCGTCTCCTCTCACGAGAACCCCACATGCAAACCCCAGCACCCCTACCCCACCAGAGCCATTTTCCCCTACATGCGCCTCCACCAAACTAACATACTCCATCACCGCCACTTCACAACATCACATCACATCCGTCGATTCAGTAACAATTAACGGCTTCAGAACCGGTTGCAGCCCAACACTCTACAACGCGAAGCAGGAGATCAAGAAATAAGAATTATTACAGGTTCCTCTGCCTCTGTGCCCAGACAGCTCTGCTCTTCCCCTCCTTCTTCCGACCTTTGAATAAATCATCTTCTCTGCTCATCGACCGACATTTAATTCCCGTCAATTTCTATCAAAAATAAAAAAATTGCAGAGAAGGCAAAAGGTGCTTTATTACAAGAAAGCCCCACACTCTGTTCTTCTTCTTCGTCTCCCACAATAATCATCGTCTTATTATGGGATGGATTCGAATCCAGTAAGTAACTTCTCTTCGATTTCAATGTTCTAAGAACACCCATTCAAGAAATTAAGAATGGGAGAAGATTCGGGTACCAAATCCCTCCATTTTCTGTTTTCTGCAACTGCTTTAGTACTGTTTCTTGCATCATCGTTTTGCGACGCGCAATTGTCTCCAAGGGAGAGCAGAATCCTCTTCCAGGCCCAGAAGATTCTAGAATATTCTCCCCCAATTCAGTCATGGAATCGCTGGACGAACTTCTGTTCCCTCCCGCCATCTCCTTCTCTTACAGTGATTTGCTCCGACAATCACATCGTCGAGCTCTCCATAGTCGGGAACAAAACCTCTCCTTCTAGAACCTTCCCTAAGCCCACCCCTTCGAACTTCGTCGTCTCAAACCAAACCCTCTCCGGCAATTTCTCCATCGAATCGTTCTTCACTGTCCTAACCAAGCTGTCAGCAATGGAGAAGCTGTCGTTAGTCAATCTCGGGCTGTGGGGCCCACTCCCTGGAAAAATCAACAGGTTTAGATCCCTGAAAACCCTCAATTTGAGCTCCAACTTCATCCATGGCGAAATCCCTAAATCGATTACCTCGTACCAGGCCCTGACGAGCCTTGTCCTGACCGATAATCTCTTCAATGGAAGTGCCCCCGATTTCGGGGGGATGTTACTGCTGCAAGAACTCGATCTGAGTAACAACTATTTGGGCCCTGATTTCCCCAATTTGGGCAAAAATCTCGCCGACATAAACCTCGGAAACAACTCCCTGAGATCCGAAATCCCTCCTTCTTTGAAAGATTTAAGCAATCTTCACTCCATCGACGTCTCCGGGAACAAGCTCGCCGGACCGGCGCCGGGATTTCTCCTCTCCTTGCCGGCGATTCGTTACGTCAGCATTGCTAGAAATCAGTTGACCGGAGCATTCGCAAGGAATTTGGTATGTGGCAAGAATCTTACATTTGTGGATATCTCCGGCAACTTGTTGATCGGACAGCTCCCCGATTGCCTGAACGTCGGGAACAAGACGGTTGTAATAATGCTGAATTGTTTGTCCAACACGACCTCTAAGTACCAACGGCCGCTAACTTATTGCCAGCGCGATGCCATCGCGGTTAAGCCTCCGGCAAAGACGAAGCCCAAGGAGGCGGCGGCGTCGACTTTGAGGCTCGGCATTGTGCTCGGTGTAATCGGCGCCGTCGTGGCGGTGTTGGCTGTCGTCGGGTTCTTGATTATTGTTGTATATAGAAGAGTGCGGCGGAGGAAGTATGGTAGTGACTATAAATGCGATAGCTTTGTGATTGATAAGAATGCGAGCGCAATCCACCACGGCTCGCCCCTCGGACGTGAGCCTCTTGATTGATTTTGGACATTGCCGTTGGATTTCGATTTTTCTGAGTTTTTGATTGAATGTAATGTTTTGTGTGAACTATGATGTTCTTTCAGGGCATGTGCCTCCGCCGATGAGGATGACGTCGATTGGATTGCCTCCGTACAGCATTTTCACGTTGGAAGAGATCGAGGACGCGACCAATGGCTTCGATCCGGCTAATCTAGTGGCCGAAGGATCGCAGGGTCAGGTATGGTTGTAAATAATCTTGTAGGTTGTTGTTACAGTGCTAACTACACATAATATAACCGTCAACAAGAGCTGCTTTTTGTACGTAATTTTTTAATATTAGTATTATATTGGTTTGTAATAAAGAAAAAAAAAAACAAAGATGCTCCTATCAGTATGTTGTAATATAAAAAATGATGGGTAAACTATTTTTTTAGTCCCGTAACTGGACCCCCTTATCATTTTAGTCCTGTAAGTGGAGCATGTCGCAAACTAGTCCCATAAGTGAAAAATTTTCGTTGTTTTAGTCCTCCGGCGCCGGAGATGCCCGCGTGGCTCGCCGGAGGAGACGTGTCCGCCAGGTGTCGCTGACCTGGCATACACGTGGATTTTTTTATTTATTTTTTCCATTTTTTAAAATTTTTTAAAAAACTTATTTTTAATTTATTTTAATTTTTATTTGTATTTTTTTTATTCTTTTTATCTAGTCCAATTAAAAAAATTAAAAAAAAAAAAAAATTTAAATAAATCCACGTGTCAGCCATGTGTCGCTGAGCTGGCCGGACACCTGGCGGACACGTCACCTCCGGCGAGCCACGCGGACGTATCCGGCGCCGGAGGACTAAAACAACGAAAATTTTTCACTTATAGGACTAGTTTACGACAAGCTCCACTTACAGGACTAAAATAATAAAGGGGTCAGTTACGGGATTAAAAAAACAGTTTACCCAAAAATAATTTATTTGTGTAATATATTGTAAGTTGTAAGTAGAGATATTAAACGAGCCGAGCGAGCTCAATTATTGATTGTTCAAGCTCAGACTCGAACTTGATAACGGTACAAACTTGACTCGGCTCGTTAAGAATTCGAACCAAAATAGTGACTCGAACTCGACTCGTTAAGCTTAAATTTTATACATATTCTATATATGTTTTAATACATAAATTGAATCTATTTAATTTTATTCATAATTTTTTATAATAAAATATTCAAAATTGAATAATAAATGTAAATTTTGATATAAGAAATTATGTATATTATATTAATATATAAATAATATAAATATACTATTAAGCTCAATTGAGCTATTTGTGAGCCGAGCTCGAGCTCGAGCTCAGCTCGTTTATAAAAGTAAAATTTTTTTAGTTTGAGCTCGGCTTGTTTATAGAGATAACCGAGCCGAGTCAAGCTTGGCTCACGAGCTACTCGATTCGTTTAACAGCTCGTTGTAAAGATATTTATATGTTTGGTAGGTAGAACAATTACTAAATTATGAAATAATACTCTTGGGACGGACAAAAATGATATCCTTCTTATGAGACGAAGGAGTATATGAATTAACAATACATGGCAAAAGTTCATACTATACATATTACTATTGATTTCAGCACATGATATATATCCATATATATTGTGTGCTTTGAAACTATGTGACTATGTGTTGTCCGTCTTTTATATGTGCTAATTAGAGCGAATCGGCATTCCTCGATTTCTATTACTACTACACATTGTAGCGATGTGGATTTTAATGATGTCTCGATCGATAACAGCTATACAAAGGGTGGCTAAGAGACGGATCGGTGGTCCTCGTCAAGTGTCTGAAACTGAAGCAGAAGCATTCGTCACAGGCGCTGCAGCAGCACATGGACGTTATATCAAAGCTAAGGCACCGGAATTTGGTCAGCGTCCTCGGCCACTGCATCGTCACGTATCAGGACCATCCCAACACGGCGAGCGCCGTCTTTATTGTCCTCGAGAACATTACTAACGGATCATTAAGAGATCACCTAACGGGTAAAAACAGTAACTCCAGCATTGTAATAAAATCGCGAAAACTAGAATTCAATCAATTTTGTTATGTTCAATTCTTGGTATGTTGTCGCAGATTGGCGTAAGCGAGAATTCTTGAAATGGCCGCAGAGGATGGCGATCGCTGTCGGAATAGCGCGCGGGATTCAGTACCTCCACACGGCCGTCGTCCTCGGGAACGACTTGAAAATCGACAACATCTTGTTGGATGATAGCCTCACGGCAAAAATAAGTAGCTATAATATAAATTTACCGGCTAAGGTGGGGTCGAGTTCTTTAATTTTACGGATTCGCTATCGATTTCTTGAAGAGACGCGAATGGATCCTCGATAAATTTATTTGTCCTTATGAATTCGCAGGTCGGAGCCGAAAGCCCTCTTCATGGACACGATGGCTTGTCGAATAACTCAAATAGGTGAATTTAAAACTTGATTTGCACGTATACTAATATAAGTGTCGGATAGCCTTAGTTTTGTATTGTATCGTCATTTTCGATTGCTATGCAGTGAAAATCCCGACAAGGAAGACATATATGGGCTCGGAGTGATTTTAATAGAGATCCTTACGGGGCAACCCGTTAACTCGAGGAGTGAAGTGGACGACGTTAAATTTCAGGTGACGCTAATTTCATGTCTTAATCACATAGTTACTACTAGGGATGGCAAAAATAATCAAGGCCCAAAAATCTGGTCCGAATACGGCACGAAAAAATCATGCATGGGCCTAAAAAAATAGGCTTGAAATTTTTTGGGCCATGCCTGGCCCGGTACGTTAATAAACCGGGCTGTGTCCGGGCTCATGAAGGTCGAACCGGGTCTAGTACGGCGATTTATAAAATTAATATTTAAATTTTAATAAATTTATATATTAATGATAAAAATTATAACATAATTTGATGGCAAAGGTCGGGTCTGTCCAACCCGGCCCGGTTTTGTGCTCGGTTTGGGCGACATGAAAAAACTGGGCCAGCCCGAATTGCCATCCATATTTACTACTAAGGTCGTTCGAGACTTGAAGGCATCAGTTATTGTGCTTAATTTAAAAATAGCAGTGTTGTCCAACGGACAACGTATGCTATATAACTAAATATAATACACTATTTATGTTAACATAATATATATACTAACACATACTTGATAGTACATGACAATTATCTACGCGCAACACATAAAACCTCTCCTGATCCGAAAAATTTGATCGGGGGACTAATGCCCGGAGTCGAAAACTTTGTTCAATTCTTACAATGTGGAATTGTCTTGTCTTGTAGCTGGAGAGGAGTTTGGCGGAGTCGCCGTCGAGGCTACGGGAGATGATCGACCCGTCGATGCGGGGGACGTTTGCGTACGAGTCGCTGAAAACGGTGGCCCAGATCACGATAAATTGCGTGTGCTTGGAGGCGGCGGGGCGACCGACGGTGGAGGATGTGCTGTGGCATATGCAGTACGCAGTTCAGGTGCAGGAAGGGTGGACAAGCAGCGGGAATCTAAGCGGGAATCTTAGCGGGAACCTTAGCAACAGCAGGATCATGTAATAATCAAAATATACCTAGAAACATACGTACATACATACATACGTACGTACGGACGTACATACTGCTTGTCTATGTATGTATTTGCTGTGCGAATGTGTGTTGTGGTCTGAACACACCTTGTCTCGTAGCAAGTTTGATGGTATTTCATTTTTGTAGGATTTTTTTGTCGCTTTTCTTGTTTTCGACTTTTTTATTTTTGCCCATAACATGCAATTTTCTCATAAAATTTGTGATGAGATATTTTTAATATAAAATTAATTTTTAGTATAATATTTTAAAAAAAATGATATCTTTAGGAAAAAAATTGAAAATAGTCTTTCCATATTAATTTTTTGTCAGATCTTCAAAGCTAATTTAAATTTCTATATTTTTTAATATTGAATTTAAATTTATATTTAAACTACAATTTAGTATGCTTTTTTAATAAAAAAATTGTTAAAAATTATAAAAAGTGAATAATAAAAAATCAAACTGATACTGTACACTTTATTATTTATTAATATTATAAAAAATAACATATATTAATATAATCCTATAATATACATAAAAAGAGTATTTAGTATAATATTTAATAAAAAAACATTTGGTTAAGTATTTTTAAACAGAAAAAACAAAAAAGAAAAAAAGAAAGTAAAGGTAATAATAGAGAGGAAAAAAAATGGTGAAAACAAAAAACCAAATAAAATTCGTAAATTTCTTTCGAATTCTTAGACCAACTCCAGTGGGTTGGGCAAAAAATGGGGGGAGGGGTTCCAACCCATCCCCAAATCCCCCATTTTTTAAGTAATGTTCAGTTATATTTCAATACTTTAATTTTATTTTTGGAGTGGAGTTTTTATGATATTTTGTGGTATTTTTTGTATTTTTATTTTTTTTGGGATGTATTGTATAATTTTACTTTTTAGAATATAATATATAATTTTATTCTTTTTGAAAAATAATGTATAATTTTATTTTTTAAAAAGTGATGTATAATTTTATTTTTTAAAAGGTAATACTCCCTCTGTCCCATATTGGGTGTCTTGGTCACTGCAGATACGAGAATTTAGGATAAGTATAATTAATAGATAATTAAAAATATATTAGTGAAAATAATTAACAAATAAAATAAATTATTATAGATTAAGATTAAGATAACCGATTAGTTTAATTAAAATTAAAAAAAATTAAATTAGAAAATTTAAAATGAGATTAAGATGGGTAATCATTTTTTTTTTAAAAAAAATGACATGAGATGTGGACAGACAAAAACGACAACATTGACATGGTAAGTGGGACGGAGGGAGTATATGCTTTTATTTTTTAAAAAAATAATGTATAATTTTATTTTTAAAATTAATATATAATTTTACTTTCAATAAAGTGATAATTTTATTTTTTAAAGTTACGCGTACTTTTATTTTATAAAATTTTATGTATAATTTTTTTTATTTTAAATAGTTATTTGTCTTGATAGCATTTAATTATTTATTTAAAATTATTTTATTTGTAATAGTTATTAATTATAAATGTTAATTTTAATATATGTAATTTTTAAATAAAATATAAATTATATGTGTATGGATTATAATGTAAAAATAATTAAAGTTAGGGTGTAATTTATAAATATGAAAAGTTGTATAAAATAATACTCCTTCCGTCCAGGTACAAAGTATACATATTTATATTTTGAGAAGTCCAATTACAAAATAATTATTTTATTAAATACCCAATTTTTTTTCACAAATACCCTTACTTTACATCATATTATTATTTTTATACCAAAAACTAAGAACAAAAATGTCATTACACTACTTTTATATATGCATTATAATTAAAATACTATTATTTTTTAAACTTTTTGAAAGTAAATGTAAGGGAGGGAGTATAAAAGAAGAATATATATATAATATACTTTTTGGAGTAAAAATTGAAGTTTATGATTAGAGTAAAAATACTGTATATCAACTGTTGTAACAACTGCAAAAATGGAGTGATGGTTAAAGATCAAAGTCATGTAAACAACAATAACTAATCTTACTTCCTCTCTACTACACAATTGACAGAAAGATTGTTTTTCTTCTGTAAAAAAAAAAAAAGAAAACATATCCAATCCTTATTTACAATACAATGCCTTAGAAATATACTGATTTTGATTATTATTATTATTATTATTATTATTATTATGAGTTGGGAAGCTTGTCCTGCCGATGCTCCCATTGCCGCTTCCGATCGGACGGCTGCGAAAAGCTGAGCTGAAAATCCAACGGCTCAGGATGATTTCTTCCTTGAACCTTATTTCCTACAAACGAAGTGATGGCTGCTGCAAGTGCTGTCTGAAAACCAGGGCTGTTCGTAATCGCCATGGTTGCTGCAGCTATGCTTTTCTCGTCGTCACCCTGCAGTAGTCTCGAAGAATTAGCCATGGCGACGTCATTGTTGTTGAAGGTAAGAGGTTGATGATGAGGAGGAGGAGGGTACGAGGATGCAGTTATGTTTTGTAAGAAAGGATTGCGGCAATGATTATTCGAAGAGGTCGAAAAGTTTAAGGATGTTTGGGAAGAAAGTGTGTTGGAGAATAATAGGGTTGATGGGAATAATTTGCTCGAGTAATGGCTCGGCGCCGTGAGGTCTAAAATGACAGTCGGGTGGGATTGTGTCGTCGAGATTGTTAGGTTTGGGAATCGGGTTTTTGTGAGGTTGCTCGGGGAATTTGTGAAGTTATAGGCCGTGGTGGTGGTGGAGGAGGAGGAGCAATTGAGCATAGCTGCCGCCGCGGAGGTGGTGGAGGCGATGGTGGTGGCGGCCGGCGGCAACGGGTGGTTGTGTGTCCCTTCATATGTTGTGGTGAGGATTGACATGTCGTCTACACATCTTTGTACCTGAATATCGATAAAATGACGAGGATTATTTACTTTGTAGATTTCTAACCTAAATTTTACTCTTCATTGATTTATTTATTATTTTAAAATATATATATTTATATCAAATCAAATATTTATTTTAGATTGTGGATCCTATGCTGTTGATTTGACTACATCAGCATACGTTATACACATTATTAACATACGTTAGAATTATAATATAACATATAATTAATTATAAATATGATGAGATATGTATAAATATATATATTGATATGCTGATTCAATCAAATCAGCACCACGCTAACTTAACCGGATCAACCGCTGATCTATGCCTTTATTTTTTTATGAGCTCAAAGAAATTAATCGTGTAATTATATGAGTTTGAGAATAATTACATATATATGCACACACCAATGTAAGATATTCATCTTGTAAAATACTCAAAGATAGATTATTTTGGTATATGTATAGTTAGAATGATCACATTATCTAAAAGATATATAGCCTAATATAAAATTAAAAAGTTCGATAAAATTAAGACAATGGTAAATGAATGGTTGCTTACCTGTTTTCTTACGGGACATGATGATGAAACTGTGCAACGGTAATAAGCTCGCGGGCAAGGGTTCCCCTTGGCTATCTTTTGTCCGTATTTTCTCCATTGGCATCCATCGTTCATCTAATATAAAAATATTAAACAATCATAAGAATATGCGTGTGCGTATACAAAAAAATATATGCAAGACAAATTAATTGGTGATTTTTTTTTATTATTTTTAACTTTGATTTAAATAGTGAATTATATTTGATACTTTGTCCAAAAAAAATAGTATATTTTTCAAAAAATTATAACGACTGTATAGTAAAAACTTACCGTTTGAGTGTTGCAAAAAGCTCTTACAGAAACCCTAGGTTTCTTCAGACTAGGGTTTTCTTGAATGATCTCATCATCGCCACTTCTTGATTTTTTTGAGCTCCCATCGCCTACCTCGGTGTTCGCCGTCTCGTCGGATTTGTTTTCGGACAATATTTCTTCCGTAGAATTGTCCGGATGGAATTTGCAATCTAGTCCAAGTTCAAGCCCATCATTAGGGTTTCTTCTTCTATCGTCGCAATTAGTGTTTACAATCTTGTTCTTCTTGTCGTTGGTTTTTGTCTCCTCCATGTCCGAATTATTACATGATCTCCCGAGACTTAGAGAAACGAGCGTCTCCGAATCATCATCGCCATCGGACGAGGCAGATGAATTCGTTGACATTTTCGGATGAATATTACTTTCTTGATCTGCATTGTTGAACTGCCTCTTTAAGGAATTGTAATCTTCCATTGCTTGAGATAATCTCATCTTCAGTCTTTGATTTTCTTCTTTAATTCGATCCATCTTATGTTTTGCTGCTCTTAAACTATCTTTCTGTTGTAAAGAAAAATTAAATAATATTAGATATATTTATATATAGGATGCATTCTATTAAAAAAAAAAAAAAAATTACTATGCAATTTACCGGCCTAGGGATTACAATCAAAACAATATTGACAACACACGAAATATAAACTGCTAGAAAATTAAATATAAATTAAATCGATAATATATAGTTTATATCAATATAATATAAATACAATAAATTAACTGACAACACATACTAATAATAATAATAATATGTTTTAATTCATGTCATGTAGTGTCTAATAATATTTCGCTTGTCACGATAATTAGCCCTAATCAACATTATAAGCACAACTATTATGATTATTTAAGAACATATTATGTATGGTTTTAATTGATTTTCAATAACCATGAAATTTTGAATTGAAGTAAATGATTTTTAACATAATCACTCAATTAATGATCAATGAATTTCTTGCTCTCAAATCAATTAAGCATGATAAAATTAAACCTCAAGAAAACAAATACTTTTTTTTTCCTTTTACCTTTTTGTTGCCTTCTTCAACATTAAAAGTTTCTTCGACTTCTTGACCGATAGAAAACTTGATCGCCGTTTGCGCCATACAAGTCATGCTTCAATTCAGCTCGCTCGATCTCCTCGATCTATTTCTCTTTCGATTTGTGAAAAAAGGAAGAAAAAAACCCATGTCTTAAATCGAAGGCTATGGTTGATTTTATAGACAAAACTCCCTCATTGAACTTTGACTTGTGTAATAGTAATAATAAATTGAAATATTCAAAATCATCACGTTCTAAGGAAATTCAGGCCTTCGCATGTTACAAACAAATGAAAATGTCAACTACGAGGATGTCAACTATCTCTCATTTAATAATAATAATAATAATAATAATAATAATAATAATAATAATAATAATAATAATAATTAGTACTTGTGCATATATTCAGTACTTTTAAAAATTGTTTTTCAACTTTAGAATGTTTATTTATTGAATTAATTGGATCAGATTAACTATATATATATATATATCTATATATATATATATATTGTACGTTATTTACTGATAATTATATTATATATTAAATAAAATTTATATACGTTAGTTTAGTTGAAAATATATATATCAAATTTATTAAATTTGTCAAATTTTAGGTGCTAATGTTAAACTTCATCGTTGATGCAGATAGAACCATTAATTCAAAATTTGATGTATATAAATGAAATGTTAGTCAAATTTGATGCATTTTGATTTATTTATTAAGATATATATACTTCGTTACGTTACATAAAAAATCAATAATTAAAAAATAGCATATATCTTATGATATAATTTAAAATATATCCAAATGGAACGTATGACATCATATAGAAGTTGAATTATTTATATTATTTAATATGTCCAGTACATATAAATTAGTATTAATGAGTGTCTTGGTACATCTAACATAGATTAAATTTGGTGGATTATTTTACTATGCCACATTTGACATTTCAGTCCAGATCTTCTAAGAGTTGACCAAATTTTAAACAACTTTAAATAGTTATATTAATTATAATAAATATTTTTTATATAATTATTTAAATGGTTGATTGATTAATTCTTTAATCCACATCAATTTGAAAAGAGGATCAGTTTTTTCTTTTTTTTTTTTTCCTTCTAATTCTCCCATTATTCATAATTTATCATGTTCACATGTGAAATTAGTATGTATAAGATTATATTTTTTAACTTTATTTTTGCATTGTTCATGAAAATTTTAAAAAAATAAAAATAAATCTAAAATATATTACATCAAAATGTGTACTTATAAACAAATATATATATATATATATATGGATGTACCGTGGGAACTATGTCGGTGCTATTTTGAATTTTATAATTAAAAACAATATAAACAGCTCAAAATACAGATATTATTTTATTAAAAACAGAATACCTTTTTATTAAATTAAATACAATATAATAATACTAGTATGAACAAAAGGACAAAGAAGAAATATGATCAAATAAGTATATTTCCAATTAATTAATTAGATAATGAAATCTAGTATATTTAGAAATTAGATCAATAAGTATCGAGCTCAATTTAGGAAATTAATTGAAATCCAGTCAAGGTTCCAGTTGGATGCTATTATGATGCCTAACTTTTTGCCATTAATGCAACAAGTCATTGTTGACCAATATAGATCAACCAATATTCAAATTTGATCACCAATTTGAATAATAAAATTATCAAATAAAAATAAACATAATTTTTTTTTACCATATTTAAATAAAATTATGGTTCTCTTGCTAAATAATAACTGTAAACATCTAATGAAATTCAAATTCAATCCTCATCGACCAAACCATACTCGTCGATCATTGGCTGCAAGAATACCGTTGGCGGCGCTTTGATCGGGTCCTGAGCTCCTTTTTTCAATTTTTCAACTGTACAATCATCACCATTTATGGTAAATATATATTTAAAAAATAAAACCATCAAGTAAAAGCTAAAAAGAATATCTTCATAGTGTTCTATTACTATATAATTTCTCAAAAATATTACTAAAAAAATACAATATGCTATTCTCTCTATCCCATAAATATAGTCTTATTAGATTTAGCACACGAAATTAAAAAAATATTAATATTATATTAGTATTGGTAAAAAGTAATGATAAAAAACTTTATTGCCCTTGTGTAAAAAAATAATGACAATTGTGTAATAAAAATAAAAAATGGTGATATAGTTATTTATGGAAATAAGACTATTATTTTGGACCGAACAAAAATGGTAAAGAAGACTATTATATTGAGATGAAGGGGTTAGACCATGTTGATTTGATCAAATCAATAGTAACATAAAGGAATTAGCAAATTATTGTACAATATATTGTACATCAATTCGTTAGCACATTAACTTGAAACAACAAATCAACATAAGGCAGATATCATATTTCGTGTTATATAATACGTTATAGATTGTGTGATAATTTATTATTTTCTTTATAGACATTTACTATTGTGCTGAAATCAAAATATATTTTGCTAAAAACAGTATATATTTATATTCTACATCAATATTTGTTTTGATTTTTTTTTTATGGACATTGGCTAATTTGGTATCAACACAGTAACCGGAGGGATAATATATACATAAAACAGTAAAAGTCAACAAAAAAAAGAAAAAATCACACAAAAGTCGGCAAATGCACCCTATAATAATAACACGACTACTCACGCTCGTTCCGTAAGGGATGATCTGATGGTGTAGAGATGGACTCGTAACTATTAAGTTATAAATTCAAATCCCGAAGTTTCAGGTTTGACCGAAAGTTTATCCAGGATATACACATAGCCAAAATAATTAAAACTATATACTCCAAAACCCAAAGAAAGTTGTCAAAGTAAAAATTTCTAATTATTTTATTAAAATCTAATTGCATCGTCACATTCGACTAATTTTATCATAGTAAACATGCCAGCCATTAAATAATAACACTACAAAATAGGTCAAAACATAGACTTGGATTGATATGCATTATTCAATAAGATCAACAGCTCATCCACAACTGAAACACCATAAGCAATTCTTCAATTTGCATTTGAATACTCTTAACAAATGCATTCACAAATATATATATATATATATATATATCGTCAAATACTCCCTTCATCCAGTGAGATCCTCAATTAGACAACATCTACAACTAGTTGTTTATTTAATACGTACTGAAACGGGTCAATAAATCTGTATTTAAGCGCAAGAATTCGACTGTTTCGCTCGGCTGCTCTGAATTGTTTTCACAACAATGTTGACCTAAGAATGCGTATCTATCACTGCGTAGGCTCGATGAAATTTTTTAATCCTACCAAGAACTGAGGCGAAAGTCAATGGAAATATTTAAAGACGAAACTCAATGCATTGAGAAGACAAGTGTAGAACTAAATGTTTCCTTGTCTGTCTAAGATATCGAAGACCTTAATTTCAGACAGCACAGCTCGAGCCATGTTCACTTGCCAACTCGTTTGAAAGAACACGGCAGAGAGAGCAGAATTATTACCACTCTAGTACAACGAATGAAATTATCAATTTGATATGCAGGTGGACAAGTTGATCTATAATTCGCGAAGTCAAACCTATTTGGTTGGAAAAGTCCTATTTAGATAGTGAATTATCGAGTAATTGAAGGTTTCATATGACGAATGTGGATGGCGCTGATGTGTATTTTAGCTTTAAAAAAGGAAGTGACGATGATGATGATTATACGACGCAATTAGATCATATTTGACTATTGATAATGAATACGCGTCCTTTGTTGAAGTAAAAGCACATAGAAGAAAATTATATAGTCGAAGATTTGAGGTTGTAGGAGAAATTTGTGTTTCTATGTACCTGGCAAAGAAGCTTTAAATTATCTGCTCCATTCATAGTCTTTCGTATTAGCACTGTCTTCGGGCTTCAAGGAATTTGCGAAGGCGTACCATCCTAATAAATACGGTATAATGAACTGCAGCAACGACGTAATTGATCAGTGAACAGAATATGGCGCAGCTTTAAAATTAGCATACAGTTTTGCTGAAGCTTTAAAATTAGCATACGGTAGAGGAGCTGAAGCTTACATTAAATGCTGATACGAGCACGGCAAACTCTGCCTTTGTAATGGGGATATAAATGCTCTCATCCGACTTTGTGAGCTTGTTTTGAACACCTAAATGATTCAATGTCCGCGAATTAAATTACTCCCTTCATTCGAGATATTTATGCACTTTTGGTTAGGTACAGAGACTAAGAACGAACACGAATATTTTAATATAAAAGTAGGGGAAGTAAAAAGTAAAATGGAGGTATTATGAAAATCTATTCAAGAATTAATAAAAAAGTAGTAGAGTAAGTAGAAAAGTAATGTCAAATTGATTATTACTCCCTCCGTCCCTGATATTATGAATGATATAATTAGTAAATGATTAAAAAAATATTAGTAAAATTAATTGTTATGTAATACAAATAATTATAGATTAATATTAAGATAACTAATTAGTCTAATAAAAAATAAAAAAATTATAAATCATAAAATTTAAAATGTATAATACTTTTCTAAAAAATAAAAGTGACATATGACGTGGGACGTGGGACAAAAATGAAAAGTATGACTTTATATATAGGACAGAGTATTTGTTAAAATAGGATAATAAAAATTGAAGTCGGATAAAATATTTACTAATAAATAGATTATGTATAAGTTTAGCTTAACAGGCAAAAAAATTTGAAGTAATTATTTCGTATGAAGGTAGAAATACATAAACGTCTATATATATACATACGACAAGATATGAAGCATATGGAGTGGTTACAAGCTGATCACAAGATCTTACTCAGATTGAAGAAGTGGCCGGAACCATCAGGCAACGGTTCCACCTTCAACACTTTCTTCACTTTCCCTTCATCGCTGCACCGATCAATTTGCAAATGGGAAGTTACAAATCACAGTCAATTTGGACAAGATGTAAACAAATGGAAGATTATCCGAATGCTTGCAAACAAGAAATGATGTCCTTCCAATGCACAACAATTACCAAGGTAAGATGATCTCACCTTCTACCCATGTAAGGATCATGGTAAAATTCGCAAGAATCTCTTGCCCCGAGGCTGATTATGTTTCCAATTTCACTCACGGACAATGAGAATACCTGGAGATTCAGGAAACCACACACCATATATTGAAATAAATTGCAAGATCAAGTTTAAAATCATGCTAGATTGCTAGTGTAGCTTTGTCATCATTTTTACCGATCATTATGAGTGAAAAGTTTAACGTTGCTCTCCAAATAGTCGATTGATAGTAGTTAGCGTACGTTTTTTAAATTCAAGAATATCATCCCCACAACATTATCAATTGTGCAACTATAGTTCGCGATTACATGTTTATACACCGAAAATATGAATTGAAAATCAATACAATACAATAGTATATGCTCACACGAACACACTTACCTGCTTCCTATCCCAATCATATTGACGAATGCCGGATGCAGGAGCAAACTGGAGCAAGACACAGCCCTCCTTCGACAATTTAAAAGCTCCAGACTGAATCAAACACCAAATGTACAGGCACAATCATGAACAAATAGTTCAATAACAAGAGAAGTCATAATATATGCAAACTGACGAGCATTGGGGATTGCTCAAAGAACGACATACATCTAAAGGGTAGAACTCAGGGGGCCGTGGCTCCACTGTAAGAGCTGCTTTCCCTTTATATACAGAGTACCCGACATAAAGTCTCGGCACAGCTTGCCCTGCCATTGAAAGTAATTCGAAGATTAAATCCTTCATCCTGATATCCTAATGTGTCAAAAGTATGATTGATCATTTCTATTACACGAACAGAAAAGGTTTTCATAATTCTAGCCCTTAATGTGTCAGACGCTTTGCAGATTCTGCATAAAAACATCCCAATGCCAGTTTCGATCACTTTCTTGATTCAGTTTCTTAAATTTATACAACAAATTTTTGCTAGTACGACAATCAAAGTAGTTTCGAACGGAAGGAAAAATGTGCAGAACAATTCAATTTGGCTGCTAAGTGGATGCAATTAAACTTAAACAGTAAAATCAAACCTCGAGAAGAAGAAAATCAAGACAAAATTAGGGTTTAAACTGACCAGGCGATGGAGAGCCATGGGAATAAAACCTCTGCCGCTGATGATTCTGTTCTTGAGGTCGCGCGTACTGAGCCTCGAGCTTGAAAGAACCACGCCGTGGAGTGTCCAGAAAAGCATCGGTTTTTCTCGAGGGGAATCTAGCAGAAATTGGGACAAGTGAATTAGATGAGGATAATTTGGAAGGATGGTGGATTGGGAGCCCCCCGCCTGCAGAAACGCTGGGGCAGAGGCTCACCATAGCAGAAGTTTCTATGTTGAGTTTGTGAGAAAATTGGAATCTTGATAAGGGTTTATTTAGGGTTTAGGTTAAAATCAGGAAAAGGGTAAAAATTATTTGTGTAAAAAAAAAATGAAGGCCAAGAAAATAGTCAGAGTATGTAATTGCGTACACCACCACTCATTTGGGCATCACTATCCCCTGTCTCTCTCTCTCTCTCTTACTCTCTCTCTGCCTCTTATCCATCCATGGATTCCAAGGTTTTATCTTTCCCTTTCTCTATTTCCCCAGCCTAACAGGAAAACGAAATGTACTGTGTGTGGTCATCATCATGCCGAGTAATGGCCCCTCAATGGAGAAGGTGCAGCAGCCATGGCGTTTTGCATCAGTGCAAGAGGAAACTGAGCTTTGCCCCTTCAACTGTTTTCTCTTTTTCTTCTTCCACCAGTAATGATGACATTTCTGCATCTTCCAAACAACCACAAGTAAATTCTTCTCGCTTGCTAATTGTTATCTTTCTGGGCTCCTTCAAACTAACCTTTTTTTTTTTCTTTTTTTTTTTTTCTTTTTGCAATATTTTGTTGCAGGTGGGATATGACCCTTCTGAGGAGCTATTTGGACTTGCCGATGATCTTCACCCAAGGTCTTGTGTTTTCTATTTTGTAATGATTTTTTTTTTTCTTTGACTTTTGTACATTGTGAACCAAAATTGTTGCTTTTGTTTTTTCGTACATACACATACATTTATAGCCTTATGGTTACTGTATGTATCTGATTCTTGATTATTTGTTTAGGAATGTGTCTTCTTCATTGTCCAAACCAAGATCATGGTTTGGTCCAAATGGTCAGTATATTCGAGAGTTGCCTTGTCCAAGTTGCAGGGGAAGAGGTTACACTCCCTGTGCTGACTGCGGAATAGAAAGATCCCGGCCGGATTGTTCGCAATGCAACGGGAAGGTAAAGAGCACCGGTTTTTAACTTTCGAATTTGATTGATGCTATGTATTTTGAAAAGATGAACGGTTGATAAATAGTTCGAAAACAAAGTTGAAAATGTAAGTTATGTGCCGCATAATTTAAACTTTTCGGTGAGATCGACATTTCACAGGGTATTGTCACTTGCAACCGGTGCCACGGAGAATGTGTCATCTGGGAGGAGTCGATTGATGAACAACCATGGGAAAATGCCCGCTCAATGTAAATTTCTTCCATATGTTACTCTTTTGAAACTCATTTGTCGTTCTCTAAATGATCGATTATTATTACAGTTCTCCCCTCAAAGTGAAGGAAGATGACGAAGTCGACAAGCTGGATATAAAGCTGAAGGCGAGGCGAAAAGCTAAGAATGCACATCAATCTTCGGATCCTCAAGTTAATTTGAAGATCAGCCGGTCGTTAAAAGTTAGTAAACATTTATACTCCAATGATCGCTTAAATGATCATCTCACCTAAAAGTTTAATCAACTAGCTAACTTGTGCACCGATTCATTAGTTCTCGACTTTAATCTTCTTTGTTTAGTTGGATGTTTGCAGAGCCTCAATGCCAAAACTGGAATATTTAGTAAGAGGATGAAGATTATACACAAAGATCCTATACTTCATGCACAGCGCGTCACGGCTATAAAGGTTCGTCGTCCTTTTGGCTTCGACTGTTGAAAAGTTTTCACTTACTGAAGACAAAAAACCTGTTTTTCTGAGCAGAAAGCTAAGGGGACTGCTGCTGCTCGGAGGCACGCCTCCGAGGCTATGAAACGATACTTTGCTGATCCAGAAAATCGGCGCAAGAGAAGCATTTCGATGATAGGTACATCTTCGAAACAGATTTCTCTATTGTATGAAACCAGTAATCGAACTATAAATCCAACGTTTCGCCTTGCAGGCGCTAAATTTCACTGCAGAAACTGCGGGCAGGAGGGCCACAGGCGAAATTACTGTCCCAAACTCATGAACAAAGGAGTTGACAGGCGAACCAGATGCCGGGTGTGCGGGGAAAAGGGGCATAACCGAAGAACATGTCCAAAATCAGCGCCCAATGATGAGAAAAGCATTACTACCAGGGATCGTCATCGCTGCAAGATATGCCACCAAAGCGGGCATAACCGGAGAACATGTCCTCAGGTGCCTGAAGTCAAAGCAGCAGCAGCTGAAAGTGAAACCCTGGCAGTGTCCAAAAGGCGTTACACCTGCAATATCTGCCGGGAGAAAGGGCACAACACGAGGACTTGTCCACAAAGGAAGTGACAGTAGTTTTTGCAAAGATGGTTATTTAAAAGAAAGCGTGACATGATCACAATGTAACATAAACAACCTACTGTATCAGACGCACGAAAGATAAATTAATTGCATAGTGTCAATACAGTTTGTATAAAAGTATTGCAGAGTATGATCAAAAGTTACTAGCATACAATCACCTGTCTTAATCGTGTGTATCGTTGTGTAAAATATAAACATCTTGTGATGCGCCTTTGCTGTGATTCGGATGGTTTATTTAGTTTCCAGCCAGCCTCTCGTCGGTTTCTTATTTACCGACAATTACTTAGATGAAAGCATTTAGGCCAAACCTTAGGATTGTAGCAATCTTCTGGACAAATAATTGTCGCAACTTTATGCAGACATAATTATTGACACATTTCCAATGAACTTTGAGTCTCTTACGAGACTGTTTGATAATCTTAAAAATGGTGAGAAGAAACTGTGGCGTTGCCTCTATTTATGATGTTTCCCAGACTTTGTAATCTCGGCCCTCAATTGCCAAAGACCAGTTTTGTGAGCCAGTTGAGGGCTCGAAATGACCAGGTCCAATCTTCATTGCTAACTTGTCATCAATAATTGCTGCATAAACATCTCTTTCTGCCATCACTATTTTAACCTAAAAGTCGAAGCAAACATTGTCAGAACCAATATAATCTTTTATCCAAAGCCCCTCACATTGTAAGAATAAAAGCTAACACGCAAACTAAAATGTCTTCAGTTTACGACTCTACTGCAATCCCATTCTCATAAAAAGGGGGATGATGAATGCAAAAACTTACTGTGCTCCGACAATGAATCTTTTTTCGTTTTCTGATGGACATAAGTGCTGCTATTTCAGATTGGTATTCAGAAAAGATGTGATCATAGAACACTGACGGCGTTCCAGGGTGAGTCAAGATATAGGCATAACCTTGCATTTCTTTTCCACCGGGGAATCTCCAGTGGCCCTATGAAATATATGAATAAAGCAGGAGAAAGTAGACTCAGTGATACAAATTTGTTTTCAGTAAGTTTTTAGTAAAAAGACAGCTAAGAAAATTAAATATTTGTTCAGTCTGTTGGGTTGGCACAAGAGAACGATCATGAGATAATTTTGGAAATTATTCACTTGAGCAACCAAAACCAAAACATTTAAATTGCAATACCATCAATCACAGTCCACGAGAAGGAAACAGAATATTTTCATCTTGGTGCATTCATACAAATATCAAGATAGCTAATTGTCAAGTGAACCGAAGGTTATATCTTAGATATGCGGGTGTTCTCTTCATTGGAAAGGAAATCTACACGTGTGTGTGTGTAAATGAACTGCCAAACAATGACACTCTCGGGTTCAATCAGAAAGGACTCATCATGAGGCAGAAAATTAAAAGTATAATTCTTCAATTAAGAGATTAGCTGCAAGGATAACGTTTTAGTTTCACTAAGTTGGCATGAAACCGTGAAATTATGAGTGGCTCGATGTACATAGTTACTAGATGAGAAAGAGAATTAACTGAAAGTATTGACATGTGAAATAGTAGAGAAAGAATAACATAAATGTAAGACAGTTCAACCTGAGTGGAACCAGTATCGTGATTCTCAATGAAAGTCACAGCCCTAGATGGCCACCATCCTACCACTCCTGGCGGTTTTCCTTTCTGATCCGACAATCTCCAATATTCACATCTTTCAAGTGCCTACATAGCAAAGATCAAGAGAAAAGTAGAACATGTTTACACAAAAGCCTCAACAGAAGTCAATTTCATGCTACAATAGTGAAGGATCATATATACTAATATACTTACTGAATGAAGGATTCCTTTTGTTGTGACGTCAAATGCACCCGCAGTCCCATTTGTAGCATTTATCCAATCAACAATTCTCTGTCTATGCGCGTCTTGATTATGATCCATCTCACCATAAGTGTAACTAAGTGAATCCCAGAACTCTCCCACGGCAAAGTAAGGCTCAGTAGCTTCCAAGTAATCCTTGACATACCCACCCCAAAAACCTCGGACAAAATCAAGCCTCCATCCATCATAACCTATTTCTTTTCTGTTTCCCCAACAGTGCAAATAAGATTGGTTAACAAATAATTTGAAAAAAGTAAGAAATTTTAGCTAGAATACACCAAAATGCCATTCTTAATCAAACCAATATTCAACATCGAAATGCAGTAGTGTTTGAAAGTCTGGCAGCTTTAAAACAAATTATGAATAATCAAAATTAAAATAATTGATCAACATACCGTAACCACTGTAACCATTCCTTTATATCTTTCCTCACAAATTCTTGGGAATGATCAATGTTTGGAGCTGCATGAAAACTATCCCCACTACTCTTATTGCCCCGTCCCTATTCAAACACCAGCACCACTTTAGACTTGAGGCATAAAGCACTTGGTGTCAATAATTTTCTAACAGAATCAATCCAATATTGATTTATTCATACAATATATACTTTTCACTTTAGCAACTTCTCCAAACTAAAATCCATGATGTTTATAGGTCAATAGCAAGTTAGATGATAGACAGAAGAGAACAGATCGACGGACATTCTGTAAAAGATAAAAGGTCACAAATTAGGTGTGGAATAAGACATTAAGCGGCACCCTATTTAATTAGCAAAGATCAAGGAAATCACAATTAAAACACTAGTGTTGATTAAGAAAGTATAGAAAAGAATGCTTACAAAAACTTCGCATTCTTCATTTTACTTTTTCTTTCCCCATAATCTTTGACTTAGGGGATAGAATATTCTTATATACTATCTAAAGCATCTTCAAAATTCATGATTACATTATAGAACACAACAGGAAAAAAAATCAAAAAAGGAGGCAGCTTCCTAGATGAATGGATGGTGATCACACCTGGAAATGTGGATCATCAGAAACTACTGCACGATCATCCCAGTTTAAGCGGCCACCAAAAATGTTCCATACACCATTTGAATTCTTATACTGAGCACATCGATGGTTTAAGACAACATCCCCAAGGACAGTAATCCCAACTTCATGCAGTCTCTCCACAAGAGTCTTTAATTGATCCATGTTTCCATACCTGACAAATATCATTACAACAGTCTAAACAAGTTGAACTGCATATAATTAGCCACTATTAACAACAGCAATTTTCCTTTGGAATCGATCCCAGGATATAAACGGAGAAATGTTTCATATAGTTCCATTAGAAAATTCCGCATAGCAGCAAAATATAACAGTGGATATGATTACCAAATCAGATTGGTTTTATACTATTCCTATTGTAGTAACCAAATCAAGCACATGTACAAGCATTAATTACTATTAGATGATACCTGGAATTCAAGTTGTACAAATCTCGAGGCATGTAGCCTTCAGGTGACACAGAATCAGTGGGTGGAGGCAACCATATCACAGTAAAACCAAACGATGACAAGTCTGACGCTTTATTGTAAAGCTCCATGTACCAATTTCCAGATTTATGTGATTCCCAGTTAAATCCTTGGCACAGTATTTCGAATCCTGAACCAGTACCTGAAGATATCTTCACAGGGGTTTGCGAACTTTCAGTTTCTGACGGATCAGTATCTACAGGTTTGGGCACAGTACTTTGGAAGATACTGTAGGCTTCTGCAGCTAGCTTCTCTATTTCATGGAGTATGCTTTCCTGTGCTTCCTTACTTTTAGTTTTTCTACTCTTTTCAGTTGCAATATCAGTTACTAAACTCCTTATCTCATTAAGGATATCAGTTGTTTCTGAAGATACTGTTACGTTTGATTCAGCATTGTCTTCCTCAGCCCCTGCAGGGCCAGCGAACTCCTCGAGCAATTCCACGTTTCCAGAATGAATAATACCAGAATCCTTGTCTGTTACTACAGAAGTTTCTAAGGGTATGTAGAAGTCATTTCCTTTCCAATTTAACCATGTATTATCTTTCAGCTTCAGCACATAAACAAATGCCACAAATCCTTCATCCAGTGTAAATGAACCCTGAGCACCACAGCCATCTTCCTTCTTCTGCATAGAAAGTATAAATGAACACAATAGAGAACAGAGATTAACCGATTGAGTACAACATGGCACCACTGTAAAAGTAAGACTTTGGTGAAGATAATACGTATCAACTATCAACTACTAATATAACTATATCACCACTCCCAATTATTGCTCTAACAATTAGCACTGTTTGATTCATTGCATGCTTTCCAGGGACTTGTTAAAGAAAGACTGATTATTTTACTTGCATACAAAAGTTAGATTTTGTATGTAGATAACGAGTTCCTTACCTACCATAAGTTAACACCTATTTGACATTATCCCATAATAATAACAAGTGCAACTGCTGAGTATTAAATCCCCCTGTTCAACCAGAATCTTTGTATGCATACTATCAAGAGATAATTGTTGTCAAATACGAAATATCTTTTAACATCTGATTTAATTTCATGTACATTTAATGATGAAACGTCACAGAAGATGCACAAGTCAAGAAAAAGAGCACATAGCTCTGAAGAAAATAAGTGATTGCTAAATAATCACACCTACTGCGGCATCTGGCACGTCGTATTTATCCAATTTAAGAAAAGCTGTACAAGTGTTATTCACACTTCTTTCAGTAGGATTGGCTGTAGACAAAGTAAATAAAGACGTAGGAAAGAAAGCAAACAAAATGTCTCAGGAGCTAGAAAATAGACCCTTCCCAAGTTACAGAGAAATGAACATATTCAGATAATATATAATTGGTGGAATTTCTATTTTCATAAGAACTCAAGAATATAAGGTTACTCAATCTAAGATAAAACAAGCGTATCAAAGTCTAACATATTACCGAAATTCAGTATGATTTTTGTTTACTTCTTTTGATATACCTGTAACAGAGTACGCAAAGCCTTATTCCTGAACATGCTTGTTTCAGAAGGATATGGACCTGCTGGAATTTCCCACGATTTACCTTCATCTCTGCAAACACCCCAGTGAACAACAACATCTCCAGGTAAATCAGTTTCCAAGTACACAATATTTTTTGCAACATCTGGGCAGTGCCTCACTGACACACTTATTGAGTTACTAGTAAATACTTCCTTAAAGACAGGGTGCTCTTCATAAACACCTTGAAGAGGTCCATTTTTCAAGTTAGATTTCCAAATTTGATCTCCCCTAGAATCAGAAGCTTCGGGTTTAACAATGAGGTTGGATATCTGTCCCAATGCATCTGCCACAATAAGTAACCATTCAGCAAGCAATAAGAAGAATGCAGGTTAAGTAGGAATTCTACCTTGAAGGATAATAATCAAATCTACCAAAACCAATAGCAACCTGACCACATGTCCGTGTTCTTTTTCATTTCTGTAACATTTCCATCATCCTGAGGCCGGCCAATAAGGGGCACTCTGAAATCTCTTCCTCTATGTTGATACCAATGCCCACTTTCCTCATCCTAGACCATATTGAAGGTCAAAAATTACTTGGGAGATGCTTAAATCATCAATCACTTTAAAAAGAAAAAAAAAAGGATAACATTTACTATAGCATTGTAGAAGAACCTTTAGTACAAAATTTATAGCCGCAATAGAACTGCCCTTATTAATGTCAATCTTTACTTCAGAAATTGCTTCTTCTTCCGGCAATGCAGATGATTTTTCAAAAGGAGTTTCAATTGCATAGTCCTGCAGGCTACCAGAATCAACTTCTGCACAATGTATTGGATAAATAAAAGAAATTAAATATGAACATAAACACTAGGCAGAAGTACCAATAGCTACCTTAATGGGGACAGAACCCGGAGGTCTCATACTCAAAGGGGGCTGATCCCACTCACTACAGAAACAATTCACTTATCAATTCATTATTAGAAAGTTTCACCATTACACATCCAAGAAACATAACTAACTGTGTTGAAATAAACAAACTCTTTGGATAACATCAACAAAAGTCAATAATTTTAAAAGCAAAGCAAATAACATAACCCCCACCTGCCAACATCATCCAGATAATGAACTCCCCAGTGAAGAACCCATTTTCCGAGTAAACTGCATCCCACAATAAGCTGCATATTTTCTTCATTTTCCCCACTGTCCAATCTGATTGTAATCTTTCCCTCCAACTGTCACTCCAGGAAAATAAAGGTTAAAATTGGCTCAAAGGATAACAATTGAAGCATTCTTGGACCAGAATATCATTAACCGTAAGTATTTTGGCGATCACCTAAAGTATTTTAAACTAAAAAACACGTCAGCTTAACGGCAGTAAGAAGATCAAAGCGTTAACACTCTCTCACCTCCTTTATTGCAATCGATTTGAACAATGATACGAGGAAACAACCTTTTTGGGGCAGTTTACCCAAGATTCAAGGAAAAAGAGACACGGTAAGATGACTTTTTCACTAAAGAGCATCAAATATAACCAAAAGCAAACCTACAAAGGACATCAAAAAGGTTCCTAATGTTCGTGCACGCTTTTCTTCTCAACGACAGGGTTACACGACATGACGATCGTGACTTGGAAAAAAGAATAAATCAATACAAAACGTTCATACACATACAGCTACAAAAACCCCATTATCAGAATTACGCGAACCATAGTATAAAAATCAGCAATTTACAGCGACTGAGCTTACAAAATATTCATAAAACGTCCATTACCTTTTCAGCTCGCTTCAAATCGAACGTTTCGCTGAAGGTAACCTCAGAAGATTCAGAAGTCTCGACGGCGGTGGCTCCTGAGGACCGGATAGCAGTGGAATTGAGGAAGCAGACGTTGCCGCGGCCGTTTGTGGCGCTCCTGCAAGTCAAGTGAAAAGGTGTGGGTTTTTTCGAAGCGAGGTGCAAGGTCTGGACAGGCCTGAGAATTGCGCGGCGACGGCGGTGGTGGTGGGGGGTGTGACGGTGGGGGGTGAAGAACAGATCCGTTGTAACCGCTGCCATCTTCTCCCCTCAACAATGGATCCATTCGGTCGGTATATCTGAAAGATATAAATAGGTATGTGTATTGAAGGCAGTGATAATGTCACACTGCCGTCTCGTCGACGCGGTCACGGACAATCATGCTACATATCAGTATGTTTGTTTGGGTATTTTGCTGAAATTTACTATTCATCTAATTTTTTTATCAAAAAAAAATACTATTAATTAAATTCTTATTTTTTATTTTTATATTATATTAAAAATTTTAATTTTACATTCAAAACATCACATCAATATTTATTTATATCTTCATCATACAAGTTCCAATTTAAAATTTTTACCATTCAAATTCCAACTCAAAATTCAAACCCCAAACAAACACACAATATTATCAAATTTTAATATCTATAAAAATTATTTATTATAAATAAAAATACAATGTATATATATATATATATATATATACATATTTTGTTATTAAATTTACTATGTTTTTATATTTTTTTGTTAGCGTTGCTAAATTTATATGTAATAACTGCTCATAATTTTATTATTTTTATTTAATAAGTAATAATTAATTTTTTATTATTTTAAAAACCTCAAAAGAACAAATTTGTATAAACTAATCAGACCTTAATTAGCTGTTTATATATGTATTTTATAATAGTAATATTAAACCTTTTTTTAGAAAGATGTTTATTTTAATCCAACATATTGAGTATAATAATTATTTTTATTTTTAAGTACCCATTAACTTTAGAAGGTTTATTTGTACATATTTTTCAATTGATTTGTGTTTAAATTTGGTAGTACAATTTATATAAGAATAAAGGCATTTGTTGAAATATTTTAGATATTCAATTTTAAGTTTAGTAAATTTATATTTAAATTTGATTTTATTCATATATATATATATATCAGATTACTTTTGATTTGAATCTATCGATTTTGTTTCGTATTCCTATTTCTAATAGCATTGAAGGGATTATTATTTATCAACAACAACAAACAAAAATTGTGATAATTAATATGATGTGCTAAAAAATAAAAAATAAAAAATAAATATATTTTCAATTTTATATTTTCTATTCAAAATATTTTCAAACTAATTATTTGAAAGTCATCCATAGTTATCATATGTTGCTTAGCGTAAATGAAACCTTAAATGTAATACTACTAATATTTATTGAGCTACGTGTTTTGTTGGGGTCCGAAATTAAAAGATAAGAAGCTTTTTGTGGCAAAGTGGAAGCCTATCCGCACGTGATAATAAATGTAATTTGGAAGCAACAAAAAATAAAAAATAAAAAATAAAAAAATTCTAAGTTATTTTAATGTTTTAATTTTTTACGACAGTTAAAAATTTAATAAAAAATATATATATATTTCTATTTTGGGACGTGTCAATTACAAAATAACTGTTTCATTAAATACTCTATTTTTTTCCACAAATATCCTTATTTTATATCACATTGTTCTTTTATACCAAAAATTTAAAGTAAAAAATGTCATTACACTACTTTAACTTACCCATCATAATTAAAATATTATTATTTCTTAAACTCCGCACTAAAAGTAAATATATACTTAGCGCTTGGACGGAGTGAGTATTAACATTTGTCGTAATATTATTTGCATAAATCAATATAATATAGTATTAATAGACTATTTTTCTTTAAAAATATCATATACTTTCTCCGTCCAAACTATTTATGCCACAATATTTGGATACAAAATAAAAGAATAAAAATATTTTAATATAAAACTATATAAATAAAAAATAAAATGAAGTATTATTGTTCACTTTAAAAAGGTAAAATATTTCAAATTAAAAGCATTAAACAAATAAATCTTTACCAATAAAATAATAGAATAAAAAAATAATAATAATTGTAATTTATTTATTTTTTTTAAAAAAAGGAGATAATAAATTACGGTTGGATAAATTTAATTATTATACAAAAGTTTAACAACAAACGCAAATAGCATAATTATCAGAAAAGTATAATTTAAATGCTATTTTTTAATCTTATACTCCTTGTATGTTACATTTAATGCACTAATTTCTGTAAGGAAATAGATAATATTTGATATTTTCATTCAAAATAAATTAATATAAAAAAATAAGTTAGATTAACTAATTTTATACTTTAACTTGCAATATTAAAATTAATTTATTATTTATTAATGTTTAATATCTATATCTATATCTATACATATACATATGCGTATGGACATATCAATGGGCCAAAAAATTACAGATCAAACATGGGCCCATTAAAATTTTGAAATGGGATCATTTATAGGCCCAATTTGAAAAAGGCATAATCTGCCGTAGACAGACCATTTGCAGCCACCTCAGCATATTTTTAACAATATTTTCATTGTAAAATTACTTTCTTAATTAATAAATACTCCATAAATAAAACAATACATATATCATTTTCAGGAAATTTAGAATGAATAGAAGTTTAAAAAAAAAAAAGAGAAAAAAGGAGATCCAAACACGCCCTTATGAATGACTTTTGGGCTCAATTTCATTTCTTCTTGCCCAAGCTCCACAGAATCGGACGGCTGTGATTTTTATAAGAGTTAAGATGGACGGTCCAAATTATCGGAGGCCAATAAAATAGGGTCAGTGAGGCTTGGCTAACTAAATTGAAAGAAACCCTTCTCCGCTCTCTAGAAGATTCCCTCTTCTCTCTCTAGGATTTCTCGCTGTAATCGGGGAGAAAAATGGTGTTCGTGAAGGGTCCTGGCCTGTACTCTGACATTGGAAAGAGAGCTAGAGGTGAGTTGTTGTCTGTATTTGTGGATGTTGTGGTTAATTTTGTATGTACTTCTTATCGATTGCGAGTTCAGGTGGTTTTTCAGCGATATTGACTAATATTCGTTGTTACTGTTATTTTCAATTTCAGATCTTCTTTACAAGGATTATCAGGTTGACCACAAGTTTACGCTCACTACTTACACTGCGAATGGAGTGGTAAGTCTTTTTTTGTGCTTCTTGTTGTTTGTAACCGAGAATGGTGTTTGTGCTGAAAATTGCTGCATTGATGATAAAAACACTTCAGGAAATAGCAAGTCTTTTGCACAATATTGTTTATTTTGGTGTTAAATTGCCGAATCTTTAGTTAAGTGGTCATACCGAGATTGTCAAAACGCTGTTCCGTGTTATTGTTTCATTTTTACTTTCCATTTTTTGGTGTTTACGTTTTACTTAGGGTGAGCAAAATGACCTAAATCGGAATGTGCTGTCCAAACCAAACCTAAATTTAAAATTTGGTTTGGATTTTTCAGAATTTTGAATTGGATTGGATTGAAAGTTAGGATTGGTTCGGAGAGTTATACTGAAAATCCAAACAATCCGAAATCTAAAATATCTTAAAATTTTAGTAATATATTATAATAAAAATGCATATATATTGCAAATTTTATGTGTTCTTATTTGAGATCTTTGTATTTAAAATTTGTTTGAATTTATTTAGCTGTTAGATAATATTGTCCTATGTTTTTTTCCATTTGCTGGACATTATTTATTTAGAAATGAATTTATATCATTTAATTTCAGAATTTTGAAAAGATTATGCAATTTCGGATTTTTCGAGTTGATTTGGATTTTGGATAATTTGGCTTGGTTCGAATCAAACTTCTACAAAATTTCAGATTTTCGGATTGGTTCGAATTTGGAAAAATCTGAACCATATATCTGAATGCTTTCTCCTAGTTTTACTGAACTCGGATGGATTAATCTGAGGCAACATAGTCTAAGGATGGAAATGTGTTCAGTTGGCTTTGACTGCGACAAAGTATGGTTTCATATGGATGATGACTTTCATTGTGTACTTTATCGAATGTATAGCTGTTTTAATAGTTGCAAAGCAGTGGAAGATCCAGTGTTTGCAAATTTAAGTAATTTGAATTTTGTGAATCTGATTTTCTTTGTGTTTGGTAATTGTCCAGGCCATTACGTCATCTGGGACTAGAAAAGGGGAAGTGCTTTCAGGCGACATCAGCACACAGCTGAAGAACAAGAACATCACCACTGATGTTAAAGTGGACACCCTCTCCAGGGTAAGACTAACTTTTTCTTCAAGATAGTCAACAACACCACTTTATCCAAAAACACATATTTGGAATTTGTGATTTGAGCTTTTATCAAGCATCATTCTGTTTTTTACCTTGGGGATGATGGCTGTTCTTATAGTAATTGTAGTTAGCTGATGAATTACCATTGCCTTCAGGCTCTAGTGATCATATAGGTCAGCTCGAAGAAGCTTCAATTAAAGATTCATTTTTCATCAATTGACTTGCTTGACATGCATCTGCCCTCAATTTTTTCTAGCCAATGGGATATGAAATTTGACTAACTGTTTTCATGGGAAAGAAGCTTTTGTGATAGCTACAACATTTTGGAAAATTGCTTACGGGTAGTTTGGATGGAAGGAATTGGAAAGGAAAGAAAGAGGAGAAATCTTTGTTGTTTGGATGGAATGAATTAGAAGGAAACATCTAACTGAAAACATGGTTCAATTTGATGGAGTGTATTTTCATTTCTTTATTACGCCAAGCTAGCGGCTAGACATAAGACTAAGAAATGGCAAGTAATGCAACTGATAGCGCCTACCTCCAAGTAAAAGATTCATTCAAAATGATCAAGGTAGCTGATAAACTATGATTGCCTTCAGGCTCTTATAATCATATATATTTAGCATGCATGCCTCCTCATGGAAATTCTATCAGTTATATCAGTTATAATCCCTGCTATTCACTCATTAATTTATGTCATTGGTTATAAATTTGCAAGGTGCAAGCCTACAATAAGTAATATATCAAATGTTGGTAATGTTTTTATGCCGTGTGTTGGGTCAACAAATTTTCTAATCAATCTTGCTATTGCTTGGTTGGCAAGCTGAAAGCAAGTATGTGCAACTATTTAACTAAGCAGGCGTCTGGTTATTTAGGTTTCCACGACCATCACTGTTGATGAGCCTGCTCCTGGAGTGAAAGCCATCTTTAGCTTTGTTGCACCCGACCAGAAGTCTGGCAAGGTAATCCTACTGTTCACTGTAAATCATTCTATTTCTATCTAATTATTTGTTTTGGATTGTTCTATGATCTTGCTTCATGGACTGTGTTTGCACAGTAAAACTCTAATATCTTGTTGTTGTTATAACAGGTGGAACTTCAGTATCTTCATGAGCATGCCGGAATTAGTACCAGCCTCGGATTGACCGCGCAACCCATAGTCAACTTCTCAGGGGTTGTTGGGAATCAGAAGGCTGCTTTCGGAACTGACATCTCATTCGACACAGCTACGGGGAAATTCACCAAATACAATGCTGCAGCCAGTTTTACAACCACTGACCTAATTGCATCCTTGTCACTGTAAGCATCTTTAGGTTATTGTTTGAAAAGATAAAATTAAAAAGACAAAATTGCTCGTAACTTTACTGTAGTTTTGAAACTCAGCGTAAATTGTCCTATACTTTAAATTTTGCATAGTGCTCTTTTATACTTTAAAAATACTGCATAAAATCCTCCGTCATGCAAAAAAATTGTAAATGGAAAATCATATTCTCATCACATAAAAAATGTAAAAAGGGGTTTCATGCAACGTTTTTTAAAGCCTAAGGGAGTGCCATGCAATTTTTAAAGTATAGGAGAATTTACGTTGAATTTCAAAACAACATGGGAGTTATGGACAATTTTGTCAGTTAAAAAAGTAATGTAAGGATATGTTGGGAAACTAATTAAGGAATGTATTTAATTGATAGTGTGTGATGCAATGATGGCGGGAAAATTGTTAGTGTTAAATAGTAATAATTTTACCTAGATGGAAAAAATAGTAGTTATTTATGGGATATGTACAAATTTGGTGGGCATATTTAAATGGAAATATGTACATATTTAACGGATGGAGAGAGTATAATTTAATGAAATCATATGCATCCTTGGCTCCTACGCTTTTTTATGTTCTTTTTAGCTGAAACTACATATCCCATCGAATATATTTTACATGCAACTTGCAAGTATTGCGAATATCATTGAATTCACGATTTTAATTTTTCTAGTAGCGGTTTTTTTACCATCCTCTTAATTGCGTGTGCTTTGTTTTTTGTACAGAAACAACAAAGGCGAATCCATCACTGCGTCCTACTACCACATAGTAAGTCCATTGACCAATACTGCAGCGGGCGCAGAGCTGACCCACAGCTTTTCGACTGATGAAAATACACTCAACATCGGTGCGCAACACATGCTGGATCCTCTGACCTCCATCAAAGCCCGACTGAACAACTATGGGAAGGCGAGCGCCCTCATCCAGCACGAATGGCGTCCCAAGTCTCTCATTACCATTTCTGGTGAAGTCGACACCCGGTCCATTGAGAAAAGTGCAAAAGTTGGAGTAGCTATAGCTCTCAAACCCTGAGGAAAATATCCCCTCTAAAAGAAAGGAAAAAAAAAAAAAGGAAAATGACAGGCCAAGAAGCTGTGATTAATAAAGTAGGGATGATGGATGGTGTTTGTTTTGGGAGGCAATGGTGAGTTACCATTAAAGTTTTATTTTTGTTGTATTGTTTAAATAATTTTGTTGGCACAAAATTTGGCATGATATTTTGCTACTTTCTGGGGCTTTGCTGATTAACTTAACTTTGTGTGCACTTGAATGAATGAATGATAGGCTTATACTCCCGCCAATCCACATAATATATCCATTCGGTCTCATAGCGAAAAGGAAATGTCAAAAACATAAAACTGTTCATTACAGTGATTACTATTATGGTAGTGTAACTAATAAAAATGTTTTATTAGTTAAACAATTACTATTTTAACTTTATTTTTTCATAAAAAATGTTCATTTAAACACTTAATTTTTATTTATTTTATTACACTATAATTTAACTTTACATTCAAAATATCATATCAATATATATTTATATCACATCAGACAACTATTTCAATTCAAATCACTATACAATGTTTTTGAAAAAAATTATTATAAATAAACAATGTTTAATTTTAAAATATATGTATACAAAACCTAATATTTATATCATTAATAAATATTAGTATTATTCTCAATTATAATTATAGATATGTTGTTTTGATTATATTTAATTAGCATTGTAACTATTGTCCATATCAACTATACAAGTTTTTACTAAAGTTGGACGAGATGAAGTCCATTTTCACTCAACAAAAAACATGTCTAACCATGTAAAATTGTTTTGAGAGACAAACCTGTCCCTCCCATGTTAATATTATACATATATATTGGCTACAAAAATCCAAGCCAATTCACGAAGTTACACAAACAGCAGAGGATGCAAAGCAGAGATAAAATATTACAAGATACACACACACACACATATTTGGATAAAAGCATTATCAAATATCAACCATAATGTAAAGAGAAAACCATCTGACTACTTTTGTAAATGAGGTGTGTATAAAATATAAGGCACTCAGGCATTTAGCTAAAAGCTTCACGAGAAGCGCCTTTAATTTGCGCATGGAATAGGACACTCGCAATCTGGGGTCATACAAAATACGAGCTAGATGCACTTGAATGAGAAATGTGACCGACTGTCAACACGAAAAATGCAAAAACACACAATCTAGAGACTGCCCGTAGCTGCGTCTCGCTAGAATCAATAACAGTTTGGTCTAGAAAATAACCTTATCAGAAATCAGGATATTCCCGTGGCAATGCCTGAAGTTGCATATATCTTCAGAGATTGCTCCGGAACGTAAGTAACACCTGGAGGACCAAACAAATGACATGAGAATTATATGGCGTACTCTAGACAGCAATTCACATCTCTGCTAAACATTTTCTTTCAAACATATCCAAAGAACAAATATATATATATATACATTTATATTCATGTTTGTATAATGCTCTTCAGCACAAAGTAAAATGGGTCCAAACTTTTGATGTAAGTGTGGTTGTCATGGAACAGGAGGTGAACTCGAAACGGTGATTCTAAATAACTATGATGTTAAATGTATTGCAGTTAGGAAATAAAATAGTCTCAATTAGCATAAAAGCTCACCCGGTTATTGGAACCTTTCTTTTTCTTTATCACAATAGAAATTTCACTACCAAAAGAATGACGTATGTGCCTAATATATTAAGAAAAGAACGAGCCAATACAAAATTTTCTTACCTTTCTCCTTAACCTCTATTCTTAAAGAATCAAGAGTGATTATGCCATCGGTCAATGGAAGTACTTCAAGCTTCACAGTTGCCTTAGATTGAGACGGGACACATCTAGAGCAAAAGAGTAATGCATGATTAGATCACAATTCATAAGTTGAAACAGAAATATAAGAAATGGAGATAGCACACCCTAGAGGAACTCGACTCTGTAACCATAAATGTGTGCAGCCCAAGTCACTATTTTGAACTGCATCAGACACAGGAAGTGTTTTTGGATTGATAGACACCGTGGGAGAGCCATTTTCCACTTTCTGTCCTTGATGTGGAGGCAGGGAGTTTGGCTGGTGCGCAATACCTCCTTGCCTATTAAAATTCCCTTGCTCTACTAACTCAGAGAAATTGGACAATGGATTCAATGGTACTACAGAAGGAGGAGATGTAAATGAAGCTGGGGCGAGAACTGTTAATGTCAGATTGTCAGGCGTCATATTTGATGCTTGGAGCGTCAAAACCTGAAATTCCGACAGTTCAAATATAAAGCTGAAACCAAAATGTCTGTTTTTGTTCTACAAAAAAAAATAATAATAAAGAAAAAAAGAATCTCACTAAAAAATCATTGTATTCAAAATATATTTTTCATTTATTATATTCTTAATCTATTTTCCATTAAAAATAAAAAAAGAAAATCAAATTCAAAACATCCAAAAAGGTCCAAACACATCAAAAATTGTTTGCTTTGATTTATGATATAATTATAACCTGAACTGGAAGTTGAGCTACATCAGACCCAGGTGCTTCCCTGGACATTTCAGATGTCACAGAGATCATAAGATCCCTGGAAATACGAGGCCGCCAGCTTGTTGGATGCTTAAAGAACAACTTGGATTCTGTAAATAGGAAGGCAAAAGAAAAGCACTATAAATCACGTTTCCATCACCAATTTATCACAGGATCCATGTAGAGTTTGGTGTTATACCAGTATAATTGCATCGACATGACACAATGACCGCGTATTGATCAGAAGAAGACCCACCATGCTTCCCTTCAACATTGATAGGCTGATGCCAACTCAATGAGGCATTTCCAGCCGCTGAGCGCGACGGTCTTAGAGTACTATCAGTGTGACCTTTAGGGTGCTTCCAGTGGGTAGTTGCTGGTTTGAGGATGAAGGAATGTTCTTCACCTCTCCTGCCAATTTAAAATGTTAGAACTAAAAGGTGTTTTCTCCATTGAAGTAAATGATATAGCACTCCATTTATCCACTGAGAACATGAGAATGAATATGGAATCTGAAACAAACTATTAGCATAAATAAACTAGAATCTTTAAACTACAAAATTAATAGACGGCTACAATACATGAAATACTTATTAGGAAGCAAATACTAATTTAATTATCACAAATTTATAATTCCTAAAGCTACTAAAATGAACCAATTATTTGGAATTTTTAAGATTAAGCAATGGCCGTAAGCCAACAGCAAGAGATAATTTCATCTGGCAGTTTGGAAGAATTAAACAGAAATATAACAAATCATACAAACAAGCTCTTGCACTTTTCCATGTAAAAAAAATAGGGATGCACATTGAGGGCTTTGCTTCAATACTGACTTGCCTATAGAAAATAATTTTGAAGTCATATAATCAAATTACAAACATCTGTGGCTATTACTTCAACAAGCTTTAGGATCCAGGCTATATTTATTGTTTCAGATACACAAAAGCAGTAACATGTGAACATGAATGCAAATGCAGTAAATGATAGGTTCTATCCAAGTTGCTTTCAAGCCCAAACCCTGATTTGAGAATATTTATCGGAGGTCAAAATTTTGCATTCACATCATAATTGCTGTCTGCATGGAGAGAAATGGGAGGAAGAATGCACTTGCCAGTTACAGCAGCAAAAATGTTCAGGCTTCAGCCACTATGGCAGAGTTTCGTATGAGTTTTATAGAAAGCAGACAGATGAAAACATGTCCAATTATATCTCAATGAAGCAACAACATAATTAACAAGATATAACCAGTTTATTAAAGGAAATAAAGGGCACCAAACCTGAGTGCTAAATTTGGTAAAGTGAAGTCGTTCCCAGGTTCAATGCAAGCAATAGGTAAATATAATGGTGGTCCACCTTTCGATGCCTCTTCAAAAACTACTGTTATGGCATCTACAAACACCACAACATCTGGTGTATCTTTAGGGACAACATTCTGCAAAGACAAGTTTGAAATCATTTCCTTCAATAAAAGGACTAAAAAAGCCATTGCCTATGCTAACAGTAATGCCTTGCACTTCACAGAAAAATAGTGCAGAATGGACGAACCATACCTTAACATTGACGCAAATCAGATCATCTGCATTGCAATCAACAGCATATGAATTAATTTCTAAAGGTTGAATTAATTTAATTTTTCTCCTCCACCTTCTTCCGGGCGTAAAAATTCCTTCCAAACCACATTGCACAGAAAATCTTTCTTGTGGAAGTGGCACACCACGGAAAGATAATAATCCTTCATTTCCACCTTTTCCACTTTCAGCAAGCTTCTTGAATGAAAATTGATTCCAATCTTCTGGCTCAAAGTTAGGCTTATCATTTGGGGTTGTGACAGTTGCGGGTGGTGTCACATTTGGTGGAAGGGATGACATAGAGTAACTTCTAAAATTACTGAAAGAGAAAAGCTGAGAACCAGAAGACCCAGATACTGTAGGTCTTGTGGGGGTGCTCCGAATACTTGAAATGGAGGTCAATGTAGGAGGAGATATAGGCCGAGGTGGCGGAGAAACAGAATTGTCCACTGGAAGTAGCCAGTTTAACAATTCACCACAAGGATCCTTATTTAAAGCAGAAGGGATCTGTTTATCAAGGGGCGGCTTTCTTTCTAGACACTTCTCAAATTGAAGAATCTCCAAGATTGGATCTCTAACACACCGGACACCAACATTTACCTCTAAAAGTACCTGCATCCTTCCAGACAAGAAAATAAAATTCAAATAAATAGCAAAATATAAAACTTTAGGCAGTGGCAAAGAAGAGAAATGTGGAAGAAGCATTATAAGATATGGCAATCGGATGAAACATGCTACATGCACCAGATTTGGTCAAATAACTTTTTTCAGCTACTTTGGAAATACAGAGCCTACAAATACAAGACACCCCCATGATCTATAGCTGGCAGCGTACATTTGCATGTGTGAGATGAAATTCTATAGATTCAACCGAGTGATGAAACTTTTGGATGCATTTTTCTGTAACTAGAAGAAAAGTAAATTACATCAGATACAATGCCATGCATATGCGTATATGTGGTAAAATAAATGTTCAAGGACCAGCCCTTTGAATATGAAACAGAATAACCATTTGCATAAGGTATCCAGTAATAACACAAGTAAACAGTAGTTACGGTAACTGAGCATGCTTTTAGCTCCAAAACCAAAGTAACCAGAACCATCTAAAACAGCATAAAAGATATCCCACCCATGAACAACTATGTGCATTTCCAAATACTCCCGACCATTGTATAAGATTTTTCAGCAGAATTTTGCAACATAAACTGAAACGCCATCAATGCGGATTTATCCTAGATTAGAATGCTACCACAATATAGACTGTAATCTAGAATAAGAATTAAATCTAAGCATGATGCTTAATCCCTAAATTAACATAAGTTTGATATTTGTATGTGAATAAAATATAAGTAGAGGTAATAATAAGCATTCCCAATTTCTCAGAAACACACCACTATGTCTCCATTTGACAAGGAGCAACACTCAACAGCACCTCTTGCAAGGCCCCCAGATGTCCGGGCATCAAATAGTCCACGGTCAATAACAGCACTAATTGGATTTTCGCTATTTACAGCATCGGAAGACTCTTCAGCCAAATGTTCTTCAAATGTAGGAGAAGTTTCACACTCCGCATCTTGAGCTTTTCTTCTAGACCAAAGTGGTTCGCTTAACTCGGCAATCCGCGCAAAAAAATGCGAATCTTTAAATCTTAACAACAATTCATCAGTCTGCCTTTTGTGATCTTCCATTCTAAGGAGAGATTCCCCACTTGACACATCCTTGTCTGAGTTAGTTTCCCTTTTCTCAACAGTGTCACCCTGTTGTTCATCTAGATCAACACTGCTCAACATTTCACAATCTGAATTTGTTTCCCCTTGAACATTTCCATTTCGGTTCTCGGAAGTTTTTCTAGTCCCATTCTTATTCATGATAGCAGCAATTTTAAATGGCGTAATTATCTCAGTATCCTGCTTATAGGCAGACAAGCATGCAAGAATTCGGATTTGTTCACCTGTGTGAATACATGAAAAATTGTAAGCAAAAAAAAAAGTATATGTTTAAACAAAGAGTGAAATGTAACTACAGTGTCATTCAGGAAAGTACAGCAGAATCACAAAAAGCTTGATACCAGGAAAAACAAAGTTGCGGTCCAGGGAATGGAATGAATGTATATCTGGGGCTTTTGTCCAATTTTCAGGAATTTCATCTGTAAAAATAAAAAACAGAATCCATGAGGAAATTAATTCATGTAAAATTCTAACATTTTACAAACCTGGGAATTTGATCAGCCCTATTACACGTATAATTGCAGGAAAATTCACTTGTTATTAACATAATTCCAACTTCTTTGCTACTGTAACTGTAAATCAATCTGCTATCACCATGAGTTATGACAGAGCGTCCACTATCCCCTGCTACTTACCCTCACTGCCCAATAGAGGTCCATTATCATTGCTGTCCCCATCCAAAATTCTTCCCCATCTGCCACCAATTGAAACCACCTCTACCTCCATCTCCATCCAGCTTATTATTTTACAACTGCTATAATCAATTACACAGACCCACTGATTGCAATCTTATCTCATCCAATCAAGATGTGTCAATGATCCAAGTTACAAAAGAAGTGAATGGATGAATATCTCCGAAGGTAAAATCATAAAAGTTTTCAAATACATGCATACTCTGTTAAAGCCCGACTTAGAACTACAGAAAGGTTTTTAGAAAGGTTCTTAATGAACCAGGATAAAGCTTAATGCTTTTGTGTATTTGTTCAAGTTTGATGTTAAGCCTATCAACCGAAACAACTGGAGTTCAAAACTGTTAAGACGGACTTGAACTTGACTAATGTGCAGTTGTGCATCCCTAAAGATATCATGTGCAGATCCTGTTTAACATGACAACAGCGCTTCATGCATCTCTATACAATTGTCTCAGTAATTGTAGTTTATTCATCAACTTAATGAAAGGCCGTAACAAAATTGACTTTGGAAGGTCACTACCATATACAGTACAGTCAAACCGCAATGACGTATAAAGAGGATTTCAACACTAAGGCAGTTTCATACAACTGCACAGATCCGCTGCCTCAAGGTTTTAATGGTATTATATTCATTATTGTTATTGAAATCATATTTTACTAGAAAAAGGTAAACAGAAAAACTAAGATACAAGACATTCCTACTGAATAGTGACATAAAATGGTTGACGAGATGGCTCAATAGTTCTTCTAGTAGAAAAAACAAAAAATAATAATCTCTTCACTTTCCAAGGAAAGCAGCAAAGTCCAAAAGCTGGGAAACCATGAATGGTTTAGGCACCACAGGCACTATATTTTAACGGGATTTATATCAGTGAATATGTTCAGGAAAATAGGGAACACACAAAAAATCATTGATTTGAGAAAGGTTCAAATTCTTCTCTTCACATGGAACCAGCAGCATATCTAAAAGATAGAAACTTTCAAGAAAAGTCACAGCTATTTGTACCTGCATCTCATGGAATACAAGAAGATTTTTCCTAATTGGCATCATAAACCTGGAAGTTATCTACAAACTATAGAAACTAATCAAATATGTAAATCATTTCAACACTTCACCTTTATATTTTAGTTCCTATTCTCTTGGGAGTATAAAACTTATGAACATAACAATACTGCCATGCGAAAAATACAGGTCCCAAATAATTAGATAGCTTAAACTGCTAATAAAAAGAATGAGGACATACTATTTGGAATAATAACGAAACCATTTTCTTCCGTAACATCTGTGTGGCTGCCAACTTGAGAGTGACTATTTTCATCAGAAACTTCTCTGCCGCCCTTCTCATCACTCTCCGTGTTGTGAGCTTCAGAAGATGTACTTGCTGGAGAAGGTTCTTCATTATTTAGACTTTCCATTGCAATAGCAGCTTTTGACACATAACTTCCCTCAATCTGCAAATCTTTAGCAGGCTGCACGTCTGAAGCTGCAGTCTGATTGCTAGACCGCAGCATCAAAAAATTCATCTTTCCGCCAATGTATTTTCTTCTACACCAGAAAATATTACAATAAATAATTGAACTGTTTTACTCACCAGCCAGCAGAAAAGATGAGAAAACTAATCATAAAACTCTTCTCATTTTTTGTTAAAATCCAAATCAACATCAAAATTTTAGTTTAGTTTTCACAGATACAAAAGGTTTATTAAGAGCATGCTCCTACAATATCACCAAAGATAATCCCTGAATCGAAGTCCCAAAATTGTAATCCTCATGCTACAAATATCAAAAACTTTAGCCGCATTCCAAAACTACTAATACATCAAAAGCACTTACCCCAAGAGATCAGAACACAAACTAGCAAAGTTCAACAGGAAGAAGAAATCGCTGATCCAGTAAAACCTACTTACGTCTTTACTACAATTCCCATCAATCAACTACATAGGCATAAGATAAAGTACAACTCCGACTTCCTAACAAGATCCGATTCCCAAATAACACCGAGTAGCGAAAATGATCCTGAAATCACCTGATCGGAGACCGGCCAGCGGCGAAACCTCCTCGGCGCTGAACCGGTATAGTGAGGCCTGGATTCGGCGATCGGAGATTGGATCTGCGGTGGAGTAGGGGAAGTAGACAGTCAGCGTCTCACAGTAGATGCAGAGTCCTCATCTTCGTCTCGCTCTCGCATTGCTACTTCCCTCAGCCATTATTCACTTCATTTTTTTTTTAATGATTAATTAATTAATCCATAGTTTCTCATTTATTTCAATATTTGTGTAAAGCAAGGAAAAATAATAATAATAAAGTAAGGAGAAGAGGTCAATAAAATTTTGTTTCATTGGGCCAATACGTTTTGAATGTGTGGGCCGGTGGCATGATAGACTACGGGCCCATATAATAATAATTTTCTTACTATTAGTATTACAACAAATTTGTTAAATAAATAATATATACAATATAGATATTTTTATTTTTTTTTGTGAACAATACAATTATATAATATAAATAAAAAAATTAGAATTATTTTATTAATAATTAATATAAATTATTTTTATAAAAATATACATGTAATTTTAAATAAAAAAAAAATCATTTATTAAAAATAAATTAAATGTCATAAGACATATTAATATGAAAAATATATTAACTATTATGGGATGAAATAAGTATTTACTAAAAACACACACACACACAATGATGGACTTTTTTTAGTTTGATTACTTTTAAATTTTTTTTTTAATTATATAGGTGTGTTTTTTTTAAAAAAAAAATACTTTCACACATTATTGTTAAGAATTAATATATTATAATGTTTTATTTTTATATTTTATATAAATAAAAGTATTCTTTCAAATTATTTCAGAAAACGAACACACCTAAGTTAAGATATATTTATATTATATTTAGTTTTAAATTATTTCAGCAACTTATTCGTGTAGAATTTTGTTTTTGTATTTGTATTTGTATTTAGATTTTCATATACTTTTTAAAAATAAATCTGTTGTTAAATATGATAGATGTATGAAATATAAATATCAAATGGAATATTTTAGTAAAAGAATTGAAATATTAGTATTGAATGGATTTGGATTTGATATTCAGATAAAAACTAGCTATTATTATATCTAATATTTTAATTAATTAGTAAGTAAACATAACATAGCCCATACTCGCAAGAAGAAGACAAAATCTATATTAATGGATAAACGCAATTAATATTGATGACGCAACGCAACGCGGACGGATAAGTCTTAGGTTAGTCTATACAGTACTACATTGTTTCCTTATATACTATTTCTTTAGCTATTTTTATTACTTTCTATATAATTTTCTCTTTTGAAAGATTCTTCATATTTCTATTCAAGACAATAAGTTGGGGTTTGTCTTAAAAGGTACTACCAAATAGGTAAATATCCCTACATCATAATTATACAAAATTAGAATGACTAATGATGGCAAAATGACTCATTAACTAAATTATTCCAGTGTATTTGCAGTTTTGACTAATTATATACTCCTTTTGTCCTATAATTAGGTACTCGTTTGTTTTTTTTTTTTTAATAGTTTTAGAAATATTAATATTATATTGAGATTTAATATGAATAAAGTAAAAATTATTAAAATAACATTATTAATATCGTGTGATATAAAAATAATATAAATTATAAAATTATAGACAAACTAAAATAAAAAAAAATAGATAATTTGTTACAAGAAAAAAAAAATTATATGACAATAAAAATATGGTACATGATTTAACAATATATATACTATAATTGATTCAAACATACAAACTACATTATCACATCACATATATGAAATAAAACTAATAATTAACTTGATAGTGTAGATATAGATTCTTACTCGTAAGGTCATATATTTAAAGTGTGAATTTATTTGTTTTTTTTTTTTTAATTTAAAAAATACTCCTATTTAAGTTATTCAATTCTTTTTTTTAATTAAAACATTATTGCTTTTATTTTTATTTCTTTCTTTTGGTTAAAAAAAAAAATGGCAAATTTGTTGAATGTTTTTGCTCGTAGCGTATAAATTGAGAAACGACGAGAAGCCATCCTCGTTAACAGTTCCAACCCAACACAACACTGACCATATTCTTGGATTCTTGGAGTGATCGAATCGAAATCGAATTATTGAGAGCTAATTCTGTGTGATCCTCGAGGGAGGCTTGCGGATTCCACACTCCCCCAATCGCCTCGTCTCCTTCTCTCTCTCTCTCTCCACGGTTTCCCCCGCAGCCGCAAAGCAATTGATTGATGTCCGTATCTCAACCGCCTTCACGCTTCGGTCACACAATTGGTGGTTCGCTTCGACAATTTTGCGCATGTTCGGTTTGCAGGAGAGTTCACCATTCGGGGAAGTATTTTTATTTAATCGAGGAATTGGAGTGCGACAATTGGTTGCCCTATTATTCTGCCCTATTTAATTTCATCCACAAGTTTTTCGCAAAAATCTCAAGAGGCTGTCTTTAATGAAGTCATAGACTGATTTTTAGTTCCATATCAGTGTTCGTGGTTTTGAGTTGAATCAGTGGTGGTTCTGAGGAGGAGGAGCTGACGGCGACACATGGGATTGGGATTACTCTGTGCTGAATTAGGTTTAGTGTTCGAGGTGAATTTGACATGGAATCAAAGGTGGAATTGATTGCGCAGTCATTCGATTGGAGGTACTCGAAGTGGGCGAGGGAGGCTCTGAATGAGTTGCCTGACTCTTTCACCATAGCTGATCCTTGTATATGTGGCCATCCTATTGTCTTTGCTTCGAGAGGGTTTCTGGAAATGGTTGGCTATTCTGAGGACGAGGTTGTAGGGAGGAACGGTAGGATATTTCAGGGGGTGGAGACTGATAGGGTGTCGGTGATGGAGATTCGGGAGGCAATCCGTGAGGGGAGGGGCGTGCAGACGAGGTTGCTGAATTACAGGAAGGACAGGACGCCATTTTGGATGCTGTTTCAAATGTGTCCTGTTTTCAGTAAGGATGATGGGAGAGTGATCAATTTTGTTGGAGTTCAAGTTCCGATTTCGAGGAAATCTAGGCTGCCTGGATTGAGCAGTGTGAGGAACAATACCAGTTTGTTTGAAGATGGATCGGAGATTCGCGATATCAATTTCAGGTGTTGTAGGAGGGAAGTTTGTTCGAATTCAATCTTGAAGCTTGGACAAGCATTGCCTTTGGATGGCAGAGGTTTGTTTCCAATTGCAATCACTTTGGCATAATCTCCATTATGTTTAGTTAGTATCGATCTTTATTGAAGCCTCATAGTGTTTGTTTTAGTATCCATTATGAGGCATCATCATCATCTTCGTTTCTTGCATAGTTTGAAAGAATTCTGTCGAATTAAATATTGCAGAATTGAAGATGGATGAGCCATGTGAAGTGAGTGAGCGGGAGAAGGCCAAGGCCAGTGCTGCAATCAGCAGTGTCTTGTCCGTTCTAACGCGCTACAGTGAGTCTACAGGAAATGTGGTGTGTCGAACGAGATGCTGCTCATCTGGGATCGGACAGCTTGTTGCACCCTTAAATATATCACTCGGTAGAATCAAACAAAGCTTTGTATTGTGAGTTTGTTGATACTTGTGTTATATATAATATTTGTTGTGATCAGTTAGGTACTGATTGCCAATACCTGCTGATATAAGTGCTCTGTGTTTTTTCGCTACACAGAACTGATGCGCAATCTCCCGATATGCCTATAGTGTATGCAAGCGACGCATTCCTGAAGCTGACAGGTACTTGAACTCACCAGACTCGTTTCGATCATTGTTTATTCAAATATGTAATGTTTTCCATAATCTTGAGTAGGCTATGCGAGACATGAAGTACTCGGGAAGAACTGTCGATTTTTGAGTGGGATTGAAACAGATCCCGCAACACAGCATCTGGTAAAGATGGCTCTTTCTATTACAATATTTGGAAATATGTATGATTTCAAGTTCATAATTTTCAGATAAAGGAAGGCATTCGAGCCGAACAAGCTTGTACAGTTCGTATCCTAAATTACAGGTTGAGGATTGGCATCGATCTTCATATCATCTCCTTTAATTTTCTTTCTTTGGCTTACGTCTCGGCTTCTTACAGAAAAGACAATACCTCATTTTGGAATTTCCTTCACATTTCTCCAATCCGGAATGCTTCAGGAAAGGTATCTATCTATCTCTCTATATATAAATTTATATCCTTTTATGAAAAAAAATCCCTTTTGAACAGCTCGATTCTACATTCCTTGATTTTGCATACAAACATGCAGGTGGCATTCTTTGTCGGGATTCAGATAGACGATTGTTCTTCGAGGAATGAGGGGACAAATGGTTTGAGTCCGATTATGGGGCAACTTAGCGTTGTGGGCGCCGTTAAAGTAGCTGTGAGGTGCTTGTCGATGAGTTCCGGCGCGTCGTAGATGGTAAGTAACATTTGATCTGCTGTATTACATCTCTATCTGTCTGTCTTTAGCTTTGTGTCATATCGTTCCGGCAACGGATTAAATGAAAAGAAGTTGAACAAATGCTGGACAAGAAGGTGTGATTTAATGTAGAGTAGTGATTAAGACAATTGTTGGTGAAAACGAAGGTGAAACACATATGCAGAATGAATGTTGCCATTAAAAGATTCTGTGAATCAGGGGTGTGTTTGTTTGGAGGATTAAATCCAACTATTCATCCAATTTTTTTTTCCAAAAAAATATCAAATCAAACACCTATTTTTCATTTTTTATATTATACTAAAAATCAATTTTACATTTAAAACATCACATCAATACCTATTTATACATCATACAACTATTCAAATTCAAAATTTTTACTATTTAAATCCTAATTTAAAATTCAAACAACTATTCAAATTCAAAATTTTTACTATTAAAATAAAAACACACACATTTTATATTATATATATATATATATGGAGTTTGTTTATTATCTTTTTGATAGATTTGAAAAAAATTCAATTTGAGTTGGAGTGTGGTATGAAAATAATGTATGGAAAAAATTCAATTTAGTTAAAGTATATAGTAAATAATTAAGGAGTGTATTAATAAAAATAATTATAGAATAAGATTAAGATAATTAAATAATTTAATTAACATTAAAAAAAATTTAAATTTTAAATTTTAAAATATAATTAAAGTGTATAATCAATTTTGGACTAATTATATGGGACGGACGAAAATAAAAAATAGGAACAAATTATATGGAAAGCTGGATTTTAACAGAAATTTATTTTTTTATTTTTTATTTTTTTACTATTGAGCACTGAGCAGTAATAAATAATTGAAGCACACGTGTAAGTTAATGCTGTTTTGACAGAGCAGCCATTCGTTCACACAAACAACACCAACCAGGTTAATTAACACGCTAATTAATTAATTAATTAATTAATTAGGGGGTTATTTTCCTAATCATGACTATTATTAGTAAAAAGCCCAATCTATCTTTTACTCTTTCCGACAAAGATATATTATTCCCTTTTATTGCAATCTATTAAACCACATGTCATTATTCACAACCTCAATATATATATATATATAACAAATATCTTATCGTGAGGGTATTATTTTTAACAAAATTAAGTTTTTCATATGAAAATTCAGTAGAAAAATGTGTATTAAATATAATGTTTTAAATTAAATTAATTAATCAGTCAATATTTTTTTTAAAAAAAATAATACTTATTATTTTGTTATATATTGTAAAAAATAAGATCGAAGATGTAAATAAGCACGCCAAAAATTAGTAAGCGTATATGAATAATAATGAAACCATTAATCGAATTTTGTAAAATTACGTATTTAATAAAGCCTTAACAAAATAAATCATAAATATTGTGTTTTAATATCATTTTCAGTAGGTGCAGTTTCTTTATTATTTAATTAAAGCATTGAACTTGTGCAATTTATACAACTAAACACAAAGAAATGCTAACACTTTTTTTTTTTTTTTCCTAAAAAATTATATATATAATTTTATTGTCAATGCAGGAGGGGAATTTATTTTTAAATATTATCTATACAAAAATTATTCGAGAAGATATTGAAACTTTAAATATTTTAATTTGATGGAAGGCAATTGATTTAGATGACAAAGACGTGGACATTTATTTTACAATTAAAGAGTCCTTGACCACTGCCTAAATTTTAATAATAATCATTCTTGTATAAAATAATTAAGCAAATATTATCGCGGATTCTCGAGTCATTAAAAAATAATAATAAATAAATAAATAAATATTATTTTTTCCATTAAAGACACCGTAAGGTACTCGTATATTTATTTATTTAATAAATATTTTCTAGTTAATAGTTAATACCGTCTTTTGTTCATATAATTATTTTTTCTTTTTAGTCGATTCAAATCAAATTATTTAAAATAAATATAAATTAATCTAATTAAAAATATAATATTTTATACAATCGATATGCTTGATTTGCGATACAATATTTAAGTTAGTGAGTTATATTTAAAAGATAAATATTTTATTTGAGTTTATTTATTTGGTATTTTGATTTGATTTTTTTATATCAAGTATATAAAATTATTTCGGTAATATATAATATATTATTTTTTTTATAAAAAATACTAGTATATTAAAAATCAAATAGAATAATAATATTATATTAAAAAAATTAAAATTTCATAAAAATTAAACAGAAATGTAATATATAAATAAATAAATGGGAATAAAAATTTGTTTATATTTTTAGAGGGGTTTGGGTGGGGGGTGGTAGGGAAGGGTAGGGCTGGGTGAGTCATCACTCATCAAAGGGATCCCTATGAACGAGTGATGTTGATTGATTCGACTTCTTGCATTTGTTTTCTTCTCCTTGTTCATTTACTAATGTCATTTTACTCTATTGCCCTTCCTCTGATATTGATAAATCGGTTCCGGTTCAGACTAATTCAATATTTTTAGATGAAATAAGTTTTAATATATAATATGAAAAATTAAAAAATTATGTCAAAAATATAAAATGTATTTATTATTTTAAGTGGAATATTTAAGTTTTTTTTAATAACTTTTTTTTTTGTTATAATGAATATTTAAAGTTTTTTTTCTTTTTTATGTTTTGATTTTTTATAAAATATTTTATATTTTTTATTATCATGATAGTATTAGAAGAACAAAGTAATTTCAAATATGTCTAGAATCAACAACAACAACAACAACAACAACAACAACAATAATAATAATAATAATAATAATAATAATAATAATAATAATAATAATAATAATAATACAAGCCAAACAAATCCCAAATATATATTTACATTACAGTTAAATTTATTTCAATTAAAATAACAGCCTAGTAATTGTTGCGTTTCTTAGTAGCGATTAAAGTTAATGGTTAACAAATTTTAAGATTTGTTTACTTGAAGCTTATAAGTATATTTAAGATAAAATAACAATTGAATTTAACTTATATTTTAAATAAAAACAAGTGATTTTATTTTATTTTTAAAAGTAAAATAGTAAATAGTAGTAAAATTTGAGGGGTAAAATAAAATCATCAAGGAAACAAATTCTAGACAACTATCTTCTTTTAAGGCAAATTGGAGTGGGAAACACACAAAAAGCTAACGCATTCAACATTTAACTTCTTTTATTTCTTTATAAAAAGTAGTTTCTATTATAGCATTGAAGGAAATAATTTGTTTATATACATTAATTAAACTACTCTAGTATAAATTTTTTTATGTACGAAGTCTTGCATAATTCATAGGGTGTAAATTCGTATTTTCGGGTCGTGTTCGTGTCAGGTTGAGCCATAAGAATAACAAAAAAAAAACAACTGTCAATTCGAACTCAATCCCAACTCAAAATTTGACCTAAAACCCTAGACCCGAACACAATACAAATTATTTTCGATCGGGTTCAGGTTGACCTGAATTAGTTCCAGGTCACCCAAAATACAAACAAACTCCCTACGAACCTGACACGAAAACTCAAAAAAAAAAAATAAATCAACAAAAAAAAATCATTTTTATTTTAATTTTTTATATTATTTATATTTAAAATAATATAAATATTATAACTTAAAATAATAATAATAAAAATTTTAGGTCTACCCGAAACACAAAACTTGATATGATTTTTATATTTTGGGTTATCAGGTCAACCCAAAACACGACCCGAATGCGACATGATTTTTTTTTTCGTTTCGGGTTCGAATCGACCCAATATTTTGCAAACATGAAATACCTAAATCCGAACTTGAAAAATTTTAGGTTGAAACGAGTTTGATTTTTCGGATCGGGTTTGATTTTAACACCCCTAATAATTCCCAACAAGTTATTATATAAATAGCGATTTTGATATAATATTTTATAATAAAATTTTATGTATTTTTAATAAAAAATCGAGATAATTATATATAATAAAAAAATTACTCTTTAAAAACACACTTGTAGGTGGGTGTAGGATCTTTAAATGTTATCTATCATGAATAGGCTCTAAAAAAATGTCATTTGATCTGGTGAATTTTAGGGTATGTTTGCATTTATTTATTTATTTATCTTTTCATATATGCATTTTTAACTTTATATATAATATATAAAAAGTTATTGACAGATTATATTCGGGTGTGTTTATTTGGATTTTTACTATTCATCTTTTTTTTTTCCCAAAAAACATCAAATCAAATACCTATTTTTCATTTTTTATATTATACTAAAAATTAATTTTACATTAAAAATATTACATCAACACCTATTTATATCACATCATACAACTATTCAAATTCAAAAATTTTTACTATTCAAATATCAACTCAAAATCCAAACCCTCGAACAAACACACCCTGATGTTTTGATAATAACATACATGCAACCACAACTAAACAAAAAAAATTTAATTTTTTTGGAAAAAATAAAAAGAAATTAAATAGTAAAAGATAAAAAAAAAATAAAATACATGTACCTACAAAATTATATATATCATCAGTCTATAATGTTCTCCCCAAAAGATCTTGAAAATTTAACAATTGTACTTCCATGGTATTATATTATTTTAGATATTTTCAAAAAACTTTACATTACTAGTAAAGAATCAACAAAATATTTGGTATTATTAATTGAGAATAATTTTTATTTTAAAAAATACAACATTGAATATATATATATTTTTTTTCTTCGTCTTTTAAGTGAATATTTACTTTGTATGTCATTATATTTAACATTAAAAATATTTTTATATTTGTATAATTTTTTTATAAACGTTTTTTTATTAATATTATACGACACTAATAGAAGTATTTTTGTTTTTTTTACTACGTTTTAATATAATAATTAATATTTAAATATTAACACAACAAAAATAAATGTGATATTTAAAGCCGGGCGAAAATAGTATAAAATAAAGTCAAAAGGATCCTCTGTTACAAAAATAAACCCTATTCTCACACACATAATATATACTCCCTTAACAATATATTAATTTTTCTATTTTGGTATGTTCCATAACAATTTATCAATTTTATTTTTTTAGTAATTTTATTGTGTATCTAACATTACAAATACCCTTTCAATTTACAATATATTAAAAAAATATTATTATTTTTATATAATAAAATACTAATAAGATTAGTTTAATCTTTTCACATTTATTTCTACTATAACTCAATATAATAATAATATTTTTAATGTAGAAACAAAGAATATATATACATACATAGTATCTGTATAGGTATTGGGCATAGGATGTGTTAACGAGGGAGAGGGATCCGGTGTGAAAATAAAGAGAAGGGAAGGGCATAATGGTAATGTTGGAAGAGGAGTTTCAGGACAGCAAGTAACTGCCAGCAGCTCTTCTTCTTCCTCTTCCTCTTAAGTTCTGTTCTTTATAACATCACAATTTACATTTTAGAATTTATAATACATTACATTACATATAAAGTCTCTCTCTCTCCCTCTCCCTTGCTCACTCTCCATCTCCATGATCATCTCCACCTATATCTCTTCTTCATCTCTATCTTCGTCTTCCTGATCGATCTCCTTAATTCCTGCTCATCTCAATGATTTATCTGGCGTCTATCAGTCAGTTATATATCAGCAGCAGCAGCAGCAGCTCTGCCTCTACTGATTAATCACCAAATCATTTAATGTTGTTGCCATGGCGGCCAGTGGAGGTGCAGCAGCAGTAGGGGTCATCTGTGACGAGGAATCTACAGCGGTATTGTTGAACAGCGAATGGTTGTCAGCGTCAATGGTGAACTTGCAGGAGACGAACAGATCAAGCTGCAGGAGCAAGAGGGGGAGGAGGAGGAGGCAATATGAATATGATAAAATGTATGAAGACGATGATGATGATGAAAATGAAGACGACGATTGTATAACTATTGATGAGAAGTCGAAGAAGAAGCGGCGGCTGTCGGCGGAGCAGGTGCGGTTCCTGGAGAAGAGCTTCGAGGCGGAGAAGAAGCTGGAGGGCGACCGGAAAGCTGAGCTGGCAAGGGAGGCGGGGCTGGAGGCGAGGCAGGTGGCGATCTGGTTCCAGAACCGGCGGGCCAGGTGGAAGACGAAGCTCCTCCAGAAGGAGTACGACGCCCTCAAGGCCGACTTCCATGCCCTCCAGGCCGACTACCACGCCCTCTTCACCCACAACCAGGCCGCCAGGAACCAGGTACGTACCCAATTAATTTAATTAATTGATTCATTAATTGATTGATTAATATTGATTGCCTACAGGTGAATTTACTGGCGGAGAAGCTGCTGTCGAGGGGGATAAGGATAAACCCGCCGTCCGCCGGCGAAGATGGTCCGGCGGCGGCGCAAAAGAGCGATCTTGATCAGGATTCCGACGACAGCCCCGCGGCGGCCCGGGAGTCTTCGTCGTCGGAATATTCGCAGGGTCAGGAGGATAGGGATAGGGATAGGGTGGAGTTCTTCCCTAAAATTGAGGACTACTACGATGATGATGATGATGAGTATGATCTGCTGCAGCCGAATAATTCTTGCAATCTGGGATTCCCGGTGCAGAATCACCTGGGCACCTGGTTATGGCAATGTTGAATTAAAGATTTGGGATAATTAATTTATTTGAAGAAGACGAAGTCACGATGTACGTGTGTGTTCCTCCCAGTTCTCATCCATCTGTAAATACTGCAGGTTGAGGAAGACGACGATGATAAATCAATAATGTAGATTTTAGACTGCTTAATTAATTAAATCAGCTAAAACTAATTCTTCCATTCAAAGACATCAATAATCAATTTTCAATAACAATAAAAAGTAATCATATAAATACATTTCATTTTTTTTATAAAAATATTTATTTTATTTTAAAATAATAGTTTTATTTTGTCATATTTGTTTGTCCTAAAATAATATCGTGCTTTTTTCTTTTTTATTTTTAACAGAGTTTTTTATTATTTTACAATTTTTTTTTCACAATAAGTTAATAAAATAGAGGCATTTTAATCTTTTAAAAATACTTTTACACTTAATATTGACATTAATTTAATATTAAGGTAATACCAATATTTTTTAATTGATATGTCCATAGTAAATATCTTTATTATTTTGAGATGTTATTTTAATTTCTTTTTAAAACAAAATTATTTTATATGCTTATACTAAATAATAAAATACCAGTAAGTTTTGTATATAAATAGAGCAAAAGTCTTTGACAGGATTAGCGCCCCATTATTGTTCATAACCCACGACTTTCTTGGCCCAATTTTGATGCCGACAATTAACTTTGTCCCAAATATCATGGATTGGGTGTTTTTTCTTTATATTTGTTTTAAATTGTAGTTTGTAATATTTTGTAAAAAGGATTATACTATATATATTCTTTATTAAAATTATAATAGTTAAATCATAATAAATTTAAAAAACAGAAAATAAGCACTTTTTTTTAATAATATTGGAATTCATAACTTCAGGTCATATGTTCAACTCCACATCCCTAATTCATCGTTTAAGGGATAATAAGCTCTATTATTATTATTATTATTATTATTATTATTATTATTATTATCATACAAATGCAATTGCTACTGGAAGATCTGCATTATATAATATGCTCCGATTAAATTAAATTAAATTAAACTAAATTGATTAAATAGTGATGAGATGTCATGGTGATGAGCAATGGAGGCGCACCTGTCACCTCTCTCGTGGTTAATTAATTTATTACTACTTACTTGACGTGTGCAAGAATTTGAGATTGTTTATTCCCTTTACTTTTTTTTATAGGATTCTTATAAATATTATTAAAAAAATATAATATATTAATATACTATCTATTCTTATTCATTCATAATATTCTCTTAGCCACAATGGACATTATTTTCTTTTTTTGTTTGTTTATTATAATTGATATATTTTTATTTTTGTTAAAAATGATTAAATCAAAACATATTTAAATATAAATCAACTTAATTAACTATATAACATACAACATCATAAATGACGTAGGATTCACTCAAAATCTCTTTATTCCTATCTCTCCTAAAAAAATAAATATTTTTATTTATATTTAAAACTACACATCTTTTATAAAATTGATTTATGTTAATTATAAATAAACAAAAATATTTTTGTATTTACTTGTTGTATTATAGAAAATTTTATTCTCTACAAAATGATATCTATATTGCATATATTTTTTAATTGCTATATAATTTTTAAATATTTAAACATATATTTTAATTTTTTTAATTATATATATTAAATTTATTTTGAAACTATAAATATTATTAATTATACAAAAAATTAATATAATAATATTATAACTAGTTATTATTAACTAATTAAATATTTTTACATTAAAATCATATCCTTAATCAAAATGTTCAATTTTGATGAAATGGAGAGAATAATATATAATTTAATAAAAAATATTATTTTTTTATATTATTACTACGATTTATTATACTTAATATAAAAATATATTCATAAAAAAACAAGAAGTAAACACACTCTCGGTAATCTGATTGAAATATTACTACTATATTTTGTCCCGTAACGTATGATCCGGCAGCGGTGGAGCTCAACTTGTATCTGTGAAATTGTGATTCAAACTAAGATTATATACATATATATATATATATATATTGACATGATTTGTTAGCTATTAAAGTTTTTATAAAATTTGATACTATATCAAAAAATATTATTGTTGAGCACAAAAAACGATGAGTAGAGTTTTCGAAAATGGCCTATCAAATTAGATTAAAAAGTGATGCAGAGTTTAATGGGCTTGTTAACAGTAATAGGATCTTAAAAAGAGAGTCCGAATATAAGTTCGAGCGCGGTTAAGAAAAAGGCTTCATCGGGAGAAAACAGAGATCGGACATGATAAGGTCGGGCACAGAGGTCAGGCATAGAGATCGAGCGTGATAAGGTCGGACCCGGAGCTTGGGCGTGATAAGGTCGGGCACAGAGGTCAGGCACAGAGATCGGGTGTGATAAGGTCGGGCCTGGAGCTTGGGCGTGATAAGGTCGGACACGGAGGTCAGACATGATAAGGTCAGGTGCAGAGATCGGGCGTGATAAGGTCGGGCGTTATGATCAAATGTGGTAAAGTCGGACACAAAGGTCGGACTCGATAAGGTCGAGCAATGAGGTTGGACGTGATCAGGTCGGGCTCGAGGTCGAGCGCGATAAGGTCGGACACTGAAGTCGGATGTGATCACGTAGGGTATGGAGATCGTACGTGATAAGGTCGGGCGTTTAGATCGGATGTGGTAAGGTCGGGCGCGAAGGTCGGATGTGATAAGGTCGGACACTGAGGTTGGACGTGATCAGGTCGGGCACAGAGGTCAGACATGATAAGGTCGGGTGCAGAGATCGAGCATGATAAGGTCGGATGTTAAGATCGGATGTGGTAAGGTCGGACACTGAGGTTGGACGTGATCAGGTCGGGCTCGGAGGTCGGGCGTGATATGGTCGGACTCGGACACGGAGGACAAACCTGATAAGGTCGGGCGTTATATAGGTCGGGCGAAATGAAGTCAGGTAAGGAGAAGACAGATGAAAGAAATAATATGCTCCAAGGTCGGATGACATATAGATCGGGCAAGATAGAGTCGGGCGAAGAGATAATTGATGAGGTCAAACAAGTGGAAGACGGACAAGAAGAGACGGAGCAGCACGTGTGCAGGTAGGCAAAAAAGCAGTTTTCGGACGGTTAAAGGAAGTTTCAACCAATGAGCGGACACGAAGGTACGACTTGGTAGTGGCGGTTGATATGGGTTTTAAATATGTCTGTTCGGGACCTAAGAAAAGAATCTTTAATCGACATTAAATTCAAGAGAATTACTTTTGGAATCACCATTTTATTTTTTTTTTTCAGTATTTAGTTTCCTATTTTACTTATGTATCCACAATCTCATACATTTATTTTATCAAATTCGAAGATCATTTCTATTTTTAGATTTTACCTTTTATTATTGAAAAATTGCATCAACAATTATAATAAGTATTTATTTTATCTTATAAATTTATCATATTAAATACTTAATTTTTTTTATTACACTAAAAAATATTAAAATTTCTAAAAACTCTTAAATGAATGGAAGGCTATATTTATTCGTTCATGGCCGATATCAGCCGATTGCCCACTGTGCACAGCGAATTAAAATTGACTGTACATACACATCTAATAATAATAATAAAATAAAATTTAAAAAAGGTGTGCATATATACACATCTAATAATAATAATAAAATATTTTTAAAAAGCTGTGCATATATATACATCTAATAATAATAATAATAATAATAACGTAAAATAAGGAATGGTTTGATAGTCACTTACTTGTAGGACATAGTTTTGTAGGGTAATTAAATTCGATTGGAGCTTTACGCACGTTTAGGTAGTGGCTGACAATTTACACGTCATAAAAAATAATAATAATAAAATGAAAAAAAAGGTGTGCATATAGTTTTGTGGGCATCCGATCACCTGTTTGGAGGATTTGTCTGTCACCCCTGTCCATCCTATGGGAGGGTGACCCATGTCAATGTCTTTTTATTTAATTTTAAATAAAATTCTTTATTTTGCATTTTAATCCCTCATTCTTTTCTTTTTCTGCCCATTCCCATTATTAAAATGCTGTTTTTTTTTTTTTTAATATTCTGCTTCACATTATTAAGCTTATTTCTCATTCAACATTTATCATCGATTTCGCCAGCGATTCACACTCGGTGGTTCTTATTTTTATATTTACTTTTCTCGGAGCTCTTGAATTTCACGGTCGTTCCAGCCTTATTTTTTTTTTTTTTAATCTTCAAATACTCGGTCATTGTCTGTGTATTGTAGGTGATCAGAAAGCATATATCCCGACGAATTTATTTCTTTTTTTCTTGTATTTTTTACTGCTTCAGGCTATATTATTATTATTATTATTATTTTTGTTATTGTTATTGTTTATTTATTATAGTTGAAAGCATGTCTATAATCACCCAAGAAAGAAAAATACTAAAAATTTGTTGTTGTAGAAACACATGTGTATAGTTTTTATATTTTATAAAATTTAAAGAACTTATTATATGAATTATTTTGAATTTTTACATCAATTGAGATTCAATACTAAAGCCACAACATAAAAGTTTAGCACAAGATCAACAAAACCTAAAAGCCCTAAATCGATAAAATCAAAACCCTTTCGAAATTGAAAAATCCAAAATTTGTATTTAAATTAGAATCAAGAACAACAAATCTTAAACCCTAAAGCAAAAAAATAAAATATGAATTGCAAAAAATCTCAAATTTTACTAAATTTTAAATTTCTCAAACGCTAACGATTAAGAGCGCACGACGACGACAAAGATGTGAGTTGGGCGCAGCAACCGACGGCAGCGACGATAGACGGATAGAAGAGACGACTGCGACGATTTGTGATTTCTAATCGATTTCAGAGTGAATAATGTTTAATCATTATTGAATCAGTGTGAATCTCAAATTGTTATGGGACAAAATGTAATTTTTAAAAAATTATGAATTTTAAAATAAAAAATTAAAAAATAATAAAATTGTCATGTGTTCCCTTCCCCTAAGATGGACAAGGGCTACAGAAAATTCCTCAGGACAGGTGATCCATGCCAGTTTTGTGCCATATGAAGATTATCAATACTCGGTGCATGCCTAGATATATACACATTTAATATAATTAATTAATTTAATTAATGGGCTGATAAGTGATAAGTCACACTCGGTGGTTCGGGCATAAATGCTGCGAAATTGACTAGGAGTTACTGTATCACCATCATATTAATTTTTGTAGCCAACACATTATAAATAAATAGATAATATATATTATTTCAATAGTTAATACAATAAATATTATACTATGTTAATTGAAATTATGTGGTGTCAATTATATATATATATATATATTGTATAAATATATTTTATTTATTGAAATTAATAAAGATATGTATTGAATTGGCAATTGTCATACTTCACCATTTCTATTATTCATTTAAATCTATGTTTATATTTTCTAATTGTCATTTAAAAATATTTTTGTTTTTCTTTTTAGTAGAAAATGTCATTATTTCTACTTTCTTTATGATAAAAAAGTGATATTCTTATTATTTTTTTTAAATTTATACCAAATCAAATGAGCATAATTTTATATAAAAATAAATTAATTATTTTAAAGTAACTGTCTTCAGTTATAATATATATAACAATTAATCATTATTTTAAAAATAAATTATACCATAAACATTAATTAATCATATATAAAAAAGTTACCTGATTTTTTTTCTTCCTTTTATTGTAGTTTATATAAATATTCATATAGATTCAGCCTGTTTTTTACATTCCTTTTTTATTTACTTATATGGTTCTTTACCTGTATTTTTGTTGTCACAAATTGTTTTATAGTTTTTTTTGTTTTTAAATATTCAACACTCATTTTTATTTAAACTATCACGTCCCATAAATATTTTGTTTAAAAAGTATGAATATGAAAAATACAATGATATTAATGTACATATATATCAACATATTGTCGGTAATTGCATTTGAAGGTACTACTCTTTTCATACTAAACACACCAATTTAGAGACAATTAAATGAAGATATATGTGTTTTTTTTTTTGGTGTGTGTGTGTGTATTTTCTTATTATTTATTTATTTATTTTGCTATTCTAAAATAAAATCCCATTTATATATATAATTATTAAATCTGGTAATTAAATCATCCACAAACAAAAGAACGTTCCCACGTCGGAGTATTAATCCGATGGAGAAGAATATGACTACAGTTTCAATTTATAATCAGTTTTTATCACATTTGACTGAAATTAATTAATTAAGAAAAAAAAATAGAGGCAAGAAATAATTGCTTGCATTAATGTCAGCATGCATCATTGCCGTTGTCATCACTTATAGTATTAAATAATTATATCACATAAAAAAATAATAATAAATTAAAGAGACATTAAAATGATTATAATATAGTATATTTTTTCGTAAAAAAACATAAGTTAATATTTTCAGAGGAAAAGTAATAAATAAAATGTATAAAAGAATTGGAACTAAATATTATAAATAAAGATCTTGATGAATAGTAAGTACATAGAATAATTTGAAAATTAAATAATATGATATGATATAAAAAAGTTTTATATATTTATTTATTTTATTTCGTTGATGTAATAAAATAGAATATAATTTATATCTATTAATAAATTATTATTATTATTATTATTTTAAATATTGCAAAATAATATTGCACCGTATAAGTAACGGAATAGTAAAAACAAACAGTTAAGCATATGGTGAAGGATGTGCGACACGTGGGGTATGATGGTACACGTGTACGTTGGAGAGAGGTCTTCGTCATGATGAGAGGTGGGGCCCAGTTGAGGGGCTATATGGCAAATGGGCCTGCAACGTGGCGAACAGAGTACGGTTAATGGGCCGGGCCCATATATCGCTTTCGCGCCATTCTAATAAGTGTAGAAAAGCTGATGTTGTGCTCTGTGTTGTGTGTGGGCCTAATGCTTTTTGGACTCTCTCTCTCTCTCTCTCTCTCTCTTAATTCTTTATTCATTTATTGCCACTGTCTTTATTACACTTAAAAGGTTAATTTTTATTATTTTTTTTTTATTTTTTAAATTTTGTATTTTAGTTTTAAATGATAGCTAAATAGGATATTTAATATATAAAAAAATTAGTATATTATGAGTATTGTATAATAATACAAGAAAAAAAAAGCCCCTCAAAAGGGATTTATAAATTGTTATTGATATCATTTTGTTAAAAGCATCCTTATACGTATTCAACAGTTTTTCACTTGGTTTATATCCTGATTATTTTAGAAATAATTTAAAACTAAATATAATATAAATATATCTTAACTTAGGTGTGTTCGTTTTCTGAAATAATTTGAAAGAATACTTTTATTTATATAAAATATAATATATTAATTTTTAACAATAATGTGTGAAAGTACTTTTAAAAAAGAACACACCTATATAATTAAAAAAAATAAATTAAAAGTAATCAAACTAAAAAAAAGTCCATCATTGTGTGTGTGTGTTTATTGTAAATACTTATTTCATCCCATAATAGTTAATATATTTTTCATATTAATATGTCTTATGACATTTAATTTATTTTTATTTAAAATTACATGTATATTTTTATAAAAATAATTTATATTAATTATTAATAAAATAATTCTAATTTTTTTTATTTATATTATATAATTGTATTGTTCACAAAAAAAAATAAAAATATCTATATTGTATATATTATTTATTTAACAAATTTGTTGTAATACTAATAGTAAGAAAATTATTATTATATGGGCCCGTAGTCTATCATGCCACCGGCCCACACATTCAAAACGTATTGGCCCAATGAAACAAAATTTTATTGACCTCTTCTCCTTACTTTATTATTATTATTTTTCCTTGCTTTACACAAATATTGAAATAAATGAGAAACTATGGATTAATTAATTAATCATTAAAAAAAAAATGAAGTGAATAATGGCTGAGGGAAGTAGCAATGCGAGAGCGAGACGAAGATGAGGACTCTGCATCTACTGTGAGACGCTGACTGTCTACTTCCCCTACTCCACCGCAGATCCAATCTCCGATCGCCGAATCCAGGCCTCACTATACCGGTTCAGCGCCGAGGAGGTTTCGCCGCTGGCCGGTCTCCGATCAGGTGATTTCAGGATCATTTTCGCTACTCGGTGTTATTTGGGAATCGGATCTTGTTAGGAAGTCGGAGTTGTACTTTATCTTATGCCTATGTAGTTGATTGATGGGAATTGTAGTAAAGACGTAAGTAGGTTTTACTGGATCAGCGATTTCTTCTTCCTGTTGAACTTTGCTAGTTTGTGTTCTGATCTCTTGGGGTAAGTGCTTTTGATGTATTAGTAGTTTTGGAATGCGGCTAAAGTTTTTGATATTTGTAGCATGAGGATTACAATTTTGGGACTTTGATTCAGGGATTATCTTTGGTGATATTGTAGGAGCATGCTCTTAATAAACCTTTTGTATCTGTGAAAACTAAACTAAAAAAGTGCAACATGAAGATTCAATTTGTAATTTATAGTCAATAGGCATGTTTCAAATCATACAATCAGAAAATTCAAGCTGTCTTAATTGCTTTATTTAATGACAATACAATAGTGGTGATATTATTCAATTGTGTTCATGATTTTGGAAAAGGGGTAAACAAAATTTTCAAATTATAAGGTATCATTCAGACGAGATCGTGCTAAAGAATCCAATTTTCAAAATAAGAAATAATAGTTATTGATGACCATGACTAAATATCATTTTCCACATTGTTTTACCATCTTCCTCACTAGTCGCTAGTACAAAGTAAAAGAAACACCGACCGACGGAATGAACGGAAATGGCGGCAGTCCGATAAAAGAACCTGATGACGGAGTGCGGCAAGAGATATGGAGCTGGGGCGCCGGTACCGACGGCCAGTTAGCCACGGGGAGGGGGAGCCTTCAAGATGAGCATACACCGCAGCTCATCCGCTCTCTCTCTGCCTTTGGACGCGTTACTTCCCTCGCTTGTGGTGGCGCCCATGCCGTCGCTCTCTTGTCCGGTGAGCTACTACACCACACGCAGTTCGTGTGCAATTTTGTTATTTTTTCCCATTTTTTTAGGGGAATTAGGTTTGGATGCAGGTGGAAGGGTGTTGGCGTGGGGGAGGGGAAGCTCGGGACAATTGGGGCATGGCGAGATGGCCGATTGCTCGCAGCCGACGGAAGTTAAGGCTCTGGAAGGATTTGAGATCACTTGTGTTTCTGCAGGATGGAATCACTCTGCGTTCGTCTCAGGTTTGCCATTTCCCCTGCAACGATTTGGATGAATTAGGGCTTCAATTCTGAGATATTCTATTCCTAATCTAATCAGTTGGTTAGAATTTGTGGTGAAACCCTAACCGCTAACAGCTCGATTCAAATCATGATATGTTGAATGTATGGAACTTTTCCATTACACTGTTTCATCGAAGATTGGATGAGTGTTGTTAGCATCTCTAAGCTGCATTTGCCTTTTGAACTTTAACTGGTGAAGCTTTCCCAGCCGATATCGGATTTGTTGCGAATGTTCTCTATGATCTTCCTAGTAATAGTTGTGACATTTGATACTATCTGTATCCCAACCCTATTGAATTGCTTACTTCTTCAGAAAGTGGTAATCTTTTCACCTGTGGGGATGGTTCGTTTGGTCAGCTTGGCCACGGCGACTACAGTTCACAATGCTCACCGCTAGAGGTCTCGTATTTCAGCTCTAAGCCTGTCAATCAAGTTGCTTGCGGTATGCGCCATTCACTAGTCTTACTTAGAGGTAATCTTTAAGCTTCATTTATCTATAGGAAGCTTTCGAATCTTTTCACACTTACATTACCCTTGTATCCATGTGTCCCTAAGTAGTTAACAAAGCTCTCGATGGTACAGAAAACCAGGTGTACGGATTTGGATCCGGAAAGCGCGGCCAGTTGGGCATATCTTCTGAAAAAATCAAGTCATCAAATTATCCTCAGATTGCCTTGGGCATAACAAGTCTTAGAATTACCAAGGTCCGAGCTAATGGAGAGCATAGTGCAGCGCTATCGGGTCAGATTCTTACTTATTCTTAACAGCATAGGTAGATGATAATCTAGCACTAGTAAATGCAGAACTCCCGTTGATTGTTTTATCTTGTTGGTGTTTGGATTAGATGATGGAAGGCTATATACATGGGGACGAGGGTTCGGTGGTGCTTCAGATGAATGCATACCCCAATGTTACGATGTAGCTATATCATTGAAAGATGTTGCTCTAGGATGGAATCACGCCTTGCTTTTAACAAGTATGGAACATTCCAAGTATATGCGAACTGTCATTTCTTACAAACAGTTACTTTGACAGCGGAGGGATGAACATTTTGAATGTCCAAATTAGGTTGCTGCTGGTGCTTATATTACAGGTGAAGGGCAAGTTTTCATGCTTGGTGGCAATCGTCATGGAGTGCTTAGCGAACCCCAGAAAACACCTCAAACGAGCGAGGCATCAGGTAACAATCGAATAACTTGAAGTTAATTTTTGTAAATTAAGAGCAAGGAACACTTCTGCTAGCTGATTAGTTCCTTTTATTAGGAAGATCAACCTTAGTTAAAATGCGGGTGATTCCTGAGCTAATGGAATTGAAAGTGCTGCAGATTGCAGCAGGAGCAGAACACTCTGCTGTAGTTACAGGCAAGAAGAAACACTCAAATCACATGAACTTTTTTCCCTTACATTGTGTTATCTTATATTTGACTTTACAATACAGATAACGACACTATAATGACATGGGGTTGGGGAGAACACGGCCAACTTGGCTTGGGCGATACGAAAGATGAAACAAGCCCTAAGGTGGTTTCCTTACCCCATCAATTCCCCGACACAAACAGACGCCCCATTTCTAGAGTCTATTGTGGGAGCGGATTTTCCTTCGTTTTAAGAACATATGGTGAGTATTCTATGCCCGAATGAGATAAGCCTTTGCAGCCTGTGCGTAGGCATCTGTTTCCGTACAATGAGAAACTCTACGATATATAGGACCCTGACTAATAATGTAGGACTAAAGCTACGGTTCGTCAGTTTTTGTGATAGTTATGTATTCTAGAGTTCTAAAAGGATTTCATGTAATGTTTAAGGAATGCATTGGGCAATGGCAAGAACACTAAATTATTCCAGAGGATTTGTTCTACAAAGATTGAAGACAAGAATGCTAACCTCTTTTCGCATGATAGTGGAATTGCCTGTACATCTATTTGCGGTTTCCTACCGAGTGCTTAACAGAAGTCATGTAACGATGAGGAGATTATTTTCATAGCCATTGTTGTAGACGATCGGGCGAAGTGGATCTACCTTCCATATGCCGTCAACAATGAACTTGATCTGCTAGAAATTGTACCAAATCTCCTGTGGTTATCAATGGCATGTGGGTAACGTAACGTAGTTGAAAGATGGTTGATTGGCATACCTCATATTGGCCAGGATATAGCTTTAAGTTAACAGAAAAGATGCCAGTCTTTGATTTCTCCATCTTTCTCTGTATTAAGCATGTAGAAACAACAACATCAACTAGAAAATACAGAACACAAGGGTATCGATCAAATCGATGATGATGATGATGATGATGATGATAATATGTATACAACTCCTTCACTTGAACCATGGGAATGAAATAAATGCCATAATTCGACAATTTGAAGAAATATCTAACCTGAGATGTCCATCCATCAAAAGATCCTGCCAAGAAAACCTCCGAAGCTGAATTTGGCCACACTATGGAGGTTGTGCGAAGAAGCTGCAATGCTTTGTGGGCATCATCCATGCGCTTCTGCTTCAATTCGACCAACCGTTGAGCGTCACTGAGAAAATGTGGAAGCGACAGAATGATTTACAAAGGAATATTGCTTTTATGAGAGAAAGATACCATCAATGAAGTATACGCACCCTATTGCTATTGCCATTTTCCCCTCTAATACAACGAGCTTGGCTCTTATCGATCTCAGCCTCTCCTTCGCAGTCATGAACTCATTCTCCTGGAACTCAACTGCATCGGAGAGCTTCTGGAAATCACTGTAGCTGCTTCCACTCGCCTAGCAAAAAGCACAAACGATAATCAGCAAAAGCAGGTATATAAATTATCAGCAAGTATATTTATCTTAGCATTAATCCTACGCCGATCAAATGCTCATAGGGCAAATCTAACAAATTATCTTGATATGAAAATGGGATTACCAATAGAGTGCTATTGCAGGCAAAAATTCACAAGAAGTGTAAAAACTACAAAATTGAATTGCGCACCTCCTCGAGACCACCTTGCTCCCTTTTAGATCTCAAGGAATGAAGAGCCGAAGCTAGCTCAGCTTCTAGATGCTGAAGATGATTCCTAATTTGACCATTGTTGATATCTTCATGTTTGCGCCAATCTTGAGCATTGTCTCCAGTACTCACAGCTATTCGATCATGATAAGTTCCTTTATCAGTTTCCACTTGATTCTTACCAAAAGAAACCTCACCAGCTGCAAATTTCGAAGCATACAAAACACATTAACAGAAGTAGTGAACCACAAAAGCAACCTTGTCAAAAGATTGGTATAAGAAAGGCATGTAAGTACCTTCGAACTCCGCATATTTGGTACCTGCGCGCTGATAGCTCCAAGTTCTCCAAGTTTCTTGTTCAGCATTCGGGCTACTCCTGAGAATAGAGGCGTTCGCCCCGCCAAGTCTCGGGAGTTTTCCATTTCCCCCAACATTTAATAATGATTCAAAGGGCCTGTCCTCTCCCTCCTCTTTACTTTCGCCATGAGCTTCGTATCCATTTGCATCTACATTGATCCCAAAATCACTATTCCTCTGCTTCTCCAATCTACTCAGTATACCCTCTATCCCAGCATCTTCATCAGCACTAGATTCTCTAAAACCAGTAAAGATTTCACCAATTTGTATTGAGCCACAGCAGTGTGGAGGATAACACTTAAAGCAGATACATCAATTTTTGAAAACCATCATGAAACTGTGATTTAGGGTTTAGGGTAAATTTTTATATCGTTGATTATCAACAAACTTTGGAATATGATTTCAGCAAGCAAACGAGCAAACAAGCAAAGTATAATTCAATGGAACTCACAATGATGTTGAAGCAGTCGACTGCTGCGATTCCAAATCCGCGAAATCGTTGCCTTTCTCAAATCCAGAAAACGAATCATCTCTCGATGAATCGGTACAATCCGCTACTCTCCTCTGAAACTCCTCAACATCAAAATCATTACCTTCGTCGACATCGTCATCCCATCCGAGCGAGTACCAACCGCCTCTCGTCCTTATTGCATCCACCAAATCCATTCTTCCAGCCTGAATCAGCTCGTCTTTCGTCGGAAACATCGTCGGCTTCTCCGACCGCTCCATGAATTCCATAATCTGCGACTCCAATTCCGACTCTTCTTCTGTCGGTTTACACCCGCAGCACCAAGGACAATCAAAATTCCTCTCGAGCCTCCCCGCCCCCCTCAGCCCCTGGAAACCGAGATAGCGGCTTAAAATGGAAATTTTCTTTGAATTTGCGGTCCGATTCTGGGAAGCGAACACGAAAATCCGGGGAAATGTTAGAGCACAGCTCAAACGGTTGGGATGGAAATTCGGAATGTGGGTATGGGTTGTGATGATAGACAGCATCCTTCAGGCATATTTCCTCGAAAGCCTTGAAGACGAGAAGAGAAGAAGGCAATGGAGAAGCGTGTCGTGATTAATCTAATGGACCGCCATTGTTGCTTGGTTTGTACTTCTTCTGCTCTGCACTGCACTGCAAGCAGCAGCAGCTGTTTCAAGTCACGGATAATTCCTTAATTAAAGAAAGCCCCTTTTCTTACTTGTTCTTTATTTATGAGGGTAGTTTGTTAAAACTTAAAACCCCCGTGAAATTAATTTTATTTATCTATTTATTTATAATAAATTGCATAATAGTCAAATGATACCCGAAAATTTAGAAGAATATAGTCTTTGTTATTTTTTAATTTTTTTATAACCTATTTTTTAAAAAATATTAATATATTATATATATTTATTATTTTTATATTTTTTATACAATTTGTACTTCATATAAAAAATAATTTTTTAATAATTAAAAAATTTATACCATATGATACATTGTAAATTAAATTTAAAATAATTTATTAATGTAACTAAAATTAAAAAATAATTATTTATAAAATTTAAAATATTATTAAAATACTAACTTTTTTAAAAAAAATTAAACTTTGAGATTTGAGACTAAAAAATATATATATTACATATACATAAATTATTTATATTATTTTATTTATTGTGCAAAATTTTGATGACATACTTTTTTTCCATTCAATACAATAAATCTGTTTTACTACTGTTATTTTGTTTTTCACATTTCAAAATAATTGTATTCTTAAAAAAATTGTCACTGTAATTCTTATTTTATAATAAATTATTTTTGTATTTCACTATATTTATACAAATATCATTGCAATATTTTTTCAATCCATAAAAATAAAATATAACTATTTTTTACTATTTACTTTGTATCCACTCATAAAATTTTTTCAATCCATAAAAAAAATAATAATAATTTTATAATGACTATGTATTGGGACGGAGGATTATATAATAAACCTGACTGCAATGGATAGAAACTAATTCATTTTTCCGAAAATTGAAGTACTGGGCGCTGTTTTTGTCCATCTTAATTTGTACAAATTAAAAATTAACTTTGATGCAAAACATATCCCTATCATATGTAAAATCTATCTGTCTCTTTCTTTGTCTTGACTGTTTCTATGTCTATTTTAAACCAGCATACGACTTTCTCACAGCATTAACAAGAACTATCGTATTCACTTATATATTTAAAATAAAAATAAAAAAAATTAAATATTTTAGCAGTATTGTATATACTCTCTCTCTCCATCTATCTCACAAAATAAATAACACTAAGCGAATCATGTTGAACACGGCTGCAGCGAATCATGTTGGACACGTCTGGCGGATGAGATTGAGAAGCATTGAGATTTGAATTACGACATCAATGTTACGAGTTCATCCTTACCATTAGGAATAAGACTAATAAACTCAAGTAAAAATAAAATAAAATCATGTTATCTGCTATACATTATTTGTTTAATGTGACTTATGTTATCAAATTTAATTTGCAGGGTATTATACTCGGCTGGGTATTTATCCATAACACACTCGAAAAATAACAACCATAAATTCTCAAGTTATAAAAAATGACAATGCAACTATTGTTAATCACTTGAACATCGAACTCAATGAAATCAATAGGGTATTGTTAAGCGGAATTAAATGTCTTGTGAGGTGAAAATTATACAATAAAATGATATATATATTTTTTATGCACTTTTTTTTTTTTTCAAATTCATGCCCGATCAAATATACATAAACATAGATGCTGGAGGGAGTATAATAAGTAGGTAACAAGAAAATTATCTAAAATCACCCTAAATGATACTTCATTCCTCCCTTATCTATGTATCCGTTTGCTTTTTATACCAAGTTTTATGAATATTAATTATATTCGAATGTGTACGAATAAAGTAAAAAAAAGTTATATTATGTGATATAAATGTAACGATATTTGTGTAATATATTGTAAGTTGTAAATAGTATTTTTAATGTTAGTAAAAAATACATTTACTAAAAAAAATAAAATTTTTATTATGGAACGAACTAAAATAGAAAAATGAATAAATTGTTAATGACGAAAGAAATATATAATCATTAAAGAAGAACTTATATATAACCATTATGAAGCACACTGGATAAACTCTAATCAAATCAACTTACTTGTGGATGTGACCAAATCGCTAAATCTACTAACTTAAAACAAATCAATAAAAATTAATTTACCCAAAATATTAAATAAAATATAAATTAAAAATATTTCAATATTCCTTTCAAATTCAAGTAGTACCGTATAAGCTAATTTGAATTTGCCTAAACTAAATACGAGGCAAAAGTCGATGGAATCAGAATCAAACGCAGATTGATATAAGAGTCAAAGAAAGATAGATTAACATAAAGAACTCTATATAGAGTCACAGTTGATTGCATAAAGAGCAAACAGCAGACATAAGACATATTATAGACAACAAACAGATTGCAAATCCGTAGACAACAAACAATAAACATACGAAGAAGATACACAGACATGACTCTGAATGGAATCAAATAGATCATATCACAAGCAAATGATAGATCACTGACAAACCTAAACTTATCAAATCTAAAATAAACCAATCAAAACTAATCCAAACAAAATATTAAACTAAATCTAAAATATCTCAACAATAAACAATAATAGTTGTTTGATGTTATATAAATATGTATTGATGTAATATTTTAAATGTAAAATTAAAATTTAGTGTAATAAAATAAATATTGAAGATTTGATTTGAAAGAAAAATAAAATTAAAATAGTAAAATAAAGTGTAAAATCTCACAAGTAAACAAAGTCGAGTCCTATTATAAAATTCATATAACAAGTACCGAATCTCATCATAACTAAAAAAATCATAAAAAAATAGATGATCTTGTAACGAATTACTCTCTGGACATCCTAAAAGGTTAGAATAAAGAACGATGGAGTGTTAATCTTGTATCCAAATATCAAAGAGAGCAAAATAAAATTAACCCCATCTTTGTCTATTTATATAACTGAGAATGGCTAAGTTTACCAATTTAAGAGAGGGTGGAGGAAAAGCTATCTAGTGCATGTGGTGCATTAGACCACCGTCGCTCTCTCTAAGTATTAAATATTAATAGTTAATATTTTATTAACCTTTCGGTTTTGGGCCCATTGTATAGCTAACTTAGGCCCATAGGGTGATATGTCATTCTCACCCTTTTATTTATTTATTTTATTTGTTTCCCTTTTCACCAAATTTAGAAACGTGGCAACGATTTAGCACTAGTGAAGTGAAGCACGGTTACTTCCCAAACCCCTTTATTGTAAATTTAATGAAAGCTTGTATCCAATAGTGATTATATACTAATAATTGATCTGGATCGTTAATCTACCAAATCAACGGCTGATAATAAGCATTTATGATTTATGATTTATCCGCTCCTAATAATTAAATAAATTCTGATTTTTTAAATAAACTTTCCCTAATGAATAATGTGCTGAAGCTGCAGCGCCGACTCGACGACACTATAAATAGCAGCAGCAGGGGAAGCGTGCGGGAGCTTTACCTTCCGAAACTTCTCGCTATGGATACGCCGGAGCTGCCGTCGTCTCCTGCTTCACCGTTTCAACTGGCGGTGGCGGCGTTGTTTGGAGCATCTGTGATGGCTCTCTCCGCGTTTTACATCCACAAGCGCAGCGTCGATCAAGTTTTCAATCGCCTTATCAAACTCCGCCACCGCGCCCGCCGGCAGTTCACGGATGACGAAGAAGTTGATTTTTCGGACTGGAACGCTGACAATGACAAGAGCGTGAACGTGTGGAGAAGTAACAATACGGTATTGAATTTGAATTCATTCGATGATGGCAACGAGGATGGTTATGGTCAGGAGGCTGTGGATTATCGAGTTTCGTCTTCCATGCCGAATGTTACCGTTCTGAAAAATGAACGGAAAGAATCGGGGTTTTCTAGGACTTCGGAGATGCCGGATTCGTCTGGTGAAACCGAATTGATTCCTACTGATTTGCCACCGGCTCGGACTGATTATAGAGATGGTATACAGTTGTCTTCTGTCATTAAGCAGTTCAGTTCTCAGTTTGTTACTATTTGTGAAATTACGCTTTCTTTTTGTGCTTTCAAAGATTGATTTATTTATTTTTTGCATAGTTTCGTACAGTTCGTTAAATTACACGGCGTGATGGTAGGAAGTTCGTTATCCGGAATTTACAATATAGGTGCTAGGAATGAAGTAGTTTCTTGATGAATCTCTGTTGGTCAAACAATTGATATGTTCATGAACATCAGCTTTTGATATGATACTCAAGATTTTTGCCCTGATGAATTTGTTTTGCACTTGGTTTCTTAATAGACTTAGAGTGTACTTCTCTACATATATGCCATATTTCCTTTGTACAGGAGAATCTTGTAGGCCTGTGACTCCTCAGTCAACAGCTGCTGCTTATACAGTTGAGAGCACATGGGATTCTGATATTGAAGAAGCTGAAACTTCAGAGGAGAATGCCCTATCCTATCAAGATGTAAAATTCGTTCTCTAGTTCTCTTGTCGCATATTTTTTTTTACTAAGTTTGAGACATCTCATCTTTTGAAAAATATTAGAATTACTTTATTATTTAAGAATTATATGCATCCCAAACAAATCTTTCTATGATTGGAGGCAAGTGGTTCTGCAGAGTTAATGAGCATTTCCTATAAAATGGACTTGTAGAAAAGCATAAGAAGCATGTGATGCATTGGCTAGAAATAGCGATGAAATCTACTGCATTTGAATATCGAGATTGCATAAGAATATTGGCCAATTTCTCATACAATCTATTATGCTGAAGACTACTAATTTATAGTTTTATACTTTTATAAAGAATTCAAGAGGTTTAGTATCTGTATTTGTTCATTCAGAGAACATGCACTATCACATCCTTCATTTCTTCATTCCTTTTAGTGTTTCTGCAGTATTTAATCTCATTGGCTCCCTCTCTCACCTTCAAACTTTTTTTCTTGTAAGCCATTTAATATTTCAAAATATTATAAGCCAACTATATTTGGAAAAGAATGATATATTTTTAAAATGTTATTATTATTATTATTATTATTATATTATCAAGCATATTGTGACTGATAAGTTTATATAGTTTTTGATAATTCTCTGTATCAACTATCAAGTCTGCACTTTTACTCTGTTATTTGACTGGTGGCTAAAACAAACAACTGATGTAGATAGCTGATAGCGTCAGACTACAAACATGCCAAGAAGCGATGTAGGGCTTGTTCACTTGTAAATTATTTTCACTTTTTTTACTATTCAATATTCACGATTCACTAAACTATTTAAACCAAATTTTTTTTTTTTAAAAAAATCACCAACTAACACACCAATAGTCTTTTGGGTAACTCTTGTTGAGACTGTTTTGTATTAGATGTTTACATTCCTTATGGGATGAACCAGGTTTTAGTTTGGTTTTGATTGAATTCTGTGCTTTAGGTGCCATTTTATTTTTGTTCATATTCGTACAATTTAGTTTTATACTTCCCCTCTACATTTACTTTTGCAATAATTTTTCTCTGGAATGTTACTTACCAGAATGTCTGTCTGCTTTGTAGGATATGAATCTAACAACTTCTAATCAAACCCTTGCTCAGTCACAAGTAGAGAAAAGCATTTATATTCATGCCCATAAATCTGAAGCAAAGTCCAATACGGATCATGCTGAGGGAGAAGTATATAAAACATCAGATAACGTTGTGGCAGATGATCTTTTATTTGGCAACAACAATTTTTCATCAGTAACTTCCTTTCATGGTATTAAACCTACTTGATCATCAGGGATTTGGCTAGATCTTTACTGGCATGATACTTTTGTGAAATTCTGCTGTTTCCTTTTCTTTTCTTATGGTTTCATTTTCCATATAATTTTGCTGTATTCTGATGCTCTTCCAAATATGAAATCAGACTCTTTAACTGTTGAAGAACATGAAGTAATGAAGATGATTCATGAATGTCTAGAGCTGAGAGACAAATATGTGTTCAGAGAAAGTATAGCACCTTGGAGGAGAAGTAAAGATGGATCTAGTTTAGATGGGATGAAAAATGACCCTCTTCGCTTTGTCCCAGTTGAAGCATCTACTGTGAGTTGTTCTTCATTCCTCAATTGTATTTATGTACCATCTAATTAAATCAAACATGGCTAGTTTTCTCATATTTGTTTTATGATTGCCTAGCAGCATGTCTTCAAAATGGTAGATGGTGTAGTGCATGTATATGCAAGTGAAAATGGTAAGATTTGAGAGGCTGGTTCTAGTTAAAATACATGATGCGTCTTTTTACATAATTTCAAAATAATATACTTATTGTATATCTCTCTTTTCTTCATATTCTTTGCTAAATTAGACTCCGAAGAACTTTTTCCTGTCGCAAATTCAACAACATTTTTCACTGATATGCACCATATCTTGAAAGTGATGTCCATTGGAACTGTACGATCTGTGTGCTATCATAGGCTACGATTCCTTGAAGAGGTATTTCCCAACTATTTTTGGTAATATATATATATATCGACATTTTGTTTCTATAATTTTTAAATTTTATATGATCACAGAAATTCCGCCTTCACTTGTTAGTGAATGCTGATAGAGAGTTTTTAGCTCAAAAAAGCGCACCACACCGTGATTTCTACAATATACGGAAAGTCGACACCCATATCCACCATTCTGCTTGCATGAACCAGAAGCATCTTCTTCGCTTCATCAAGTCAAAGTTAAGAAAAGAACCAGATGAGGTATTTTTTTAGTCCTGTGATGCTTTACTCAACTAATGCTTTATGTCCCCAACCGATGATGTGCAACTTTATTTCTAGTCTCAGCTGCAGTATTACTTAGTTCTTTGTTTGATGTTTTAAGACCATGCTATCAATTATCTTTTTCAGGTTGTTATTTACCGTGATGGACAATACCTTACCCTAAAAGAAGTATTTGATAGCTTGGATTTAACAGGGTACAATTATTTTGTACTCAAGCCAATCCATATTTCATTTTCTGTGAAATGTTATTTACTTTTCATTTGTTTTTCAATCTTGCACTTTTATTGCAGGTATGATCTGAATGTAGATTTGTTGGATGTTCATGCTGACAAGAGTACTTTCCATCGATTTGACAAATTCAATCTCAAGTACAATCCTTGTGGACAGAGTAGGCTTAGAGAAATTTTTCTGAAACAGGATAATCTTATACAAGGTATGTTTATTAAGAGCATTGAAAGCAGTTATCAATTCAAAGGTGTTTCCTTTCCCGTATCTGAATAAATTTCTCAGTAAAATTTTAATCCTAATTGTTACATTTTGGGATAACTTTTGAGTTGGAGGAATAGTAGCTCTATTTTTATTGTAGCTGGAATAGCTGTGTATTGGATGTCATCTGATTTGACCATTACAATGTGCTTCAATCTATGTGTTTGATGGGTGTGTTGTTGAAAATTTTGTTACCTTGACAATTAATATCAGATTCTTATTTCCTGCTCTTGGAAATAGAACAAGATGGCTGTTGAAAATCCATTCTAAATGCTAAGAACTTTTAAGCCGCCTCTAAATTCTTGAAATTGCAAATTCAAGTTGGTCGTGCCTAGCAGTAAGTATTATGAATTGTGTTTTCCCAGGGCGTTTCCTGGCTGAAGTGACAAAGGAGGTTTTATCAGATCTAGAAGCAAGTAAATACCAGGTATGGTTTTATCTGCCTCTCTTTATCACATCTTGGTTATCTACTTACCCTGGAAATCTTTCCATGTCATTTGTGTTGATCTAAACCTTTTGTGCTATTATCTGTAAGGACTCTAAATATGTGTAGAACGTTTTATATTTGGTTGAGAGTTTCATCTAACTTGACTCTTTAGATTATTTATCCAACCTATAAAGCTCCACAGAAGTATTCTTATGAAAAGACAACTCTTTCTTCCTTACAAGCTTGTGTTGTATATGAAAATTGTGTAGCAGAGATGTTCCTTCAAAGTGATATGCATCTACTCACCCCACTTAATGCTTAAAGATCAAATGCCGAAACTCATTTTTATGTAGACATATTACTTGAGAGGATCTTCTTGAAACTGTTCCACAGAGTGTTCTATAAATATTGACTACCTTTACCTTTCTACATAATGCTATAGTTACACCTGAGGTCCAGGTAAACTGGGCAATAATTCATTTTTATGTTAAGATAATGACTTAAGATAGGCCATACTCGTTTTTTCAATTCAGATCTGATCTACTTAGAAACATATGCAGGCATAACACATCAACAGCCATGGCTTGAACATATATATATATATATATATTATATCCTGACATCTGAATTTTGACCTCATTCAGTGTAAAGGTTTTGAATTAATTAAGCTTTTAAGGCTCACAACTTCACACAAGTGGGTCACACTTAGTTTCTAAACTTTCTTTGGGTTAATGGGTTGTTTCTTGGTTGATGGGAAGGTTTGGTCAAACAATAAACCTTAAGAAACAGGTTAATGTTAGTAACGTGTTCGATGAAATTTGCTTGCATTGATCTATGGTCTGTCTGTATGTTTATCTCAACTATGGATGTTTCGATTTCGATCCATATTGAAGAAGGTTGTGCTTGGAGCAACCATTGAGTGCAAATAGACATACAGATCGGGCCGTTATTTCTCTCTAGCCAAACGTTGCATGTACTTGGAGATCTATAGAGGAGAAAAGATGAGGAGACTTGTGTGTCATCCCCCTCACTCTTGAATCAAGGGAGTTTGTTTTCTAACAGGAGCACCTAAAATGATGGTTGTTAATTTCAGATTACTATCTCTTATCCTTTATTATTCCAGAAATTCTTATCTCACCTTGCATTTTCAGCTCGCTGAGTATCGAATTTCAATATATGGGAGGAAACAAAGTGAATGGGATCAGCTGGGAAGCTGGTTTGTGAACAATGGGCTCTATAGCGAAAATGCTGTTTGGTTGATTCAGGTAATTACAATGCCATATGGGGTCAGACCTACATTCTTTGGTAGAAGAATATATTGCTTACTTTCTTTTTCTGCATGTGCTTTACTATTCAATCTCCTCATTTCCTTCTAAGACATCACCTCTAACATGCATTTTTTTTTTTTTTTCTAATTAAAAACATGACAATGATGGACTGATAATTTTTTTTGACTTCCACACTGTTTGAGTTACATTCTTTGGCCCAATAACTGGCTTGGATTGGATGCAACAATGGCTCATTGAGACCATCAAAGGGATGCCCACTTGTAGCTCCTCTCAAGATCTTGATTTTCGGATCTTTACTTGTAATTTTTTCAATAACATAAACTAATAATCTTTCTCTTCTGTAGGGATGTAGAACAAGTTTCCATTAAAATGGTTATCATTATATCTGGGTGTCATTTATATGCATTAATTTGATTATTTCATTTCGTTAGTGCAATAATGCAGTCAAGTGTTACATTTTCTCCCCAATTCCTTGTGTGTCTAAATGTTGAATTAATCTCAAATCATTAATTTGAAGGAAAAACCATGAGTTTATTGATGATTGTATTGATCCATCTGACTTCATTCTGTAATTAGATGCAACTGAATTTTTCAATATTTATTTATTCATAAGGTTTATATTTTTGCGCTAAAGCTCCAGATTGATGATTCTAATATTTGGTGATTCTTGATATGTTTTATAAATTTTCAACTGTGCAGTTGCCAAAGTTATACAATGTCTACAGAAGTATGGGAACAGTAACTTCCTTCCAGAACATAATAGACAACATTTTCATTCCACTTTTTGAAGTCACAGTTGATCCGAATTCCCATCCTCACCTGCATGTTTTCTTATTGCAGGTTTGATTTGAATTAATTCATCATTTGTTGTTAATTTACTGGCATTTATATATAGAAGCCACGTGGATGTTTTCCTGCATCATAGCATATGTTTTTTGTTTACTATGCCATATGCCGTATGCCATCTCCTATCCTTTCTTTTACTCTGCTGTCAGGTCTGGTGTTACATGTGAAACTTACCCTTGATAGAGTAAATTATTTGTCCTCACAGTGAACTGGCTATGAGAATGCAGTTATGTAGTATTTGAGGATCCCATAGACCTTTTGGAGTAGTTTCAATAATTGTAACTAACTTTTATGATGGTACCGTTTATTTTATACAACGTTAACCATCTACTCTCAATATGTGTAAATTCTTAGTGTGCTTGAACACCAAGTATCTATTTATAATTATCTTCCCATGCAAATAACTGAACTTTTAAATGAATCCCATCTAGATTTTATAAACCATTTTGATAAATAAATTGGTAGCGAATGGAGGAGATCTAGATTTGCATGTTAGGGTATTGTTGTCAAAGTTCCAAATAATTATTTCCATCTACATAGGAAACTAGACAACTTCCAAATTTCTGCTCCATTTATCCTTTTTATTTCGTCCCACAAGATGTTCTGTGATGCAGGTTGTTGGCTTTGACATGGTTGATGATGAAAGTAAACCCGAGAGGAGGCCCAAAAAGCACATGCCTACTCCATCAGAATGGACCAATGAATTCAATCCTGCCTTTTCTTACTATGCTTATTACTGCTATGCAAACTTATACACACTTAATAAGGTAAAAAAGTTTGTAAGTCCTTTAATTGGCACCTGTCTGTTTCCTCAACATAATCTTATTTGCTTTGTTATTCTCTAGCATCATGTTGGAAAAAAAAACATGGAATAGGTTTAGAGGTATATGCAAATTGAAAATCTGTTTGTGACTACATGTCAGGACATTGAATTCATACTAAAAATATAATGTTCTTTCATATAGATATGTGCTTATACTTCTACCACATTTAGTTTTCTCATACTTCCTTTGTCAGCTCCGTGAATCGAAGGGATTCCCAACAATCAGATTTCGGCCACACTGTGGAGAGGTTGTTTTCTCATATGCCATTATTTGAAAAGATTAATTGTACCCTTCTAGAATGCCTTATTAGACTCTCTTTGCAGGCTGGTGAGTTGGACCATTTAGCTGCTGGTTTTCTACTATGTCATAACATATCACACGGAATAAATTTACGGAAAACGCCGGTTCTTCAATACCTATACTATCTCGCACAGGTTTGCTCAATGTATTTATTCATTGTCAATTGAGATGTGTAGAGATGAATGTTGAATATCTTCGCTTAATCTCATCTTGATTTTCTTTTTCCTTTATTTGTACCGACAAATAATCTGTCTGATTTAATTTGTTTTTTAACTATATAGATTGGTTTAGCCATGTCACCGCTGAGCAACAATTCACTCTTCTTGGATTATCATCGGAATCCATTTCCCATGTTCTTCCAGCGTGGCTTGAATGTATCCCTGTCCAGTGATGATCCTCTACAAATCCATCTTACTAAAGAACCTCTTGTTGAAGAATACAGCGTGGCAGCAAAGGTTAGTCTCTTACTGCTTCATTGGCGATCGTGAGTGTTATAGTGTTTTCCATCTATTGATATATATATATATATATATATTCAGGTTTGGAAGCTCAGTTCGTGTGACCTTTGCGAGATAGCTAGAAATTCCCTCTATCAATCTGGTTTCCCTCATTCGGCCAAGGTTTGAATCTCCAGTGTTAACTGTTCAATTCACTCATTGATTTTCTCTCTTCTTCAGTGTCAACATCGAAGCATGCTTTAGTGTTCCTCCAGCAGCAGTTATGTTCCCCTAGCAATGACCAAATCGAATTCTTGTTTCAGGCTCACTGGTTTGGGGAGGAGTATTACAAGAGAGGGCCTAAAGGAAACGACATACACAAGACCAATGTGCCAAATTTGCGAATTTCCTTCAGACACGAGGTATTTGCTGCTTTTATGTAAATGACCATTGTGTTCCTTGTCTTTGCCGAATTGATTAGTCGAGTAACACAGTTGAATGGGATGTTTTGTAGACATGGATGGCCGAGATGCAGTATGCGTATGCTGGGAGAGCCAAAATCCCAGATGAGATCGACTACTAACTAACACTAAGAGAACACTGGCTTGAAATTTACAAGCACGCGTCCCACATTTTTCCCCACCTCAAAGTGCTTGCGGATCCACACGCACCCCTCTTTTCTCTACTATGCATGCTGTATGATCTTCTCTCTCTCACAGTCTCTGTCTCTCTCTATATATATATATCCATTCTCTGTGCATTTGGCAAGAATACTACTTGGCTGTAACATATATACTGCACGTTTTATGCTTTCCATCTAAATGGACATTTGATAATTGATCTTCTGCTTCTTTATAGAGCTTTCATTTATTGCTTTGTGTTATGTTCCTTTCAATGTTTGTTTGTTTGTGTTGTGCGAAACTCAACCGATCCTCTCATTTATAAGTTAAGGAGATGAGCGATATTCTGAACCAACTTGAATATAACTTGGTTCACTCGTCTTAGACTTGAGTAATTGGATTTGTATGAACCAAATATTCGTCTTTTAAAACATCAAATCAAACACTTATTTTTTATTTTTTTATATTATATCAAAAATTAATTTTATATTCAAAATATCACATCAACACTTTTTATATAAACAAACACAAAATAGCTTTGAAAGGGGCATGGGATTTAGTAGGTGTGATTACTTTTATACTTTATACTCCCTCGGTAATTATAGTGAATAGTTAAAAGTAGTGTACTAATAGAATTTAGAAACACATTTTTACAGTATAAATTTTTCATAAAGTTAATAACTCAGCATTCTATAATTGAATATTATAATTAAGTAAAAAAGTAACTAGCAATTAAGATAATTTTTTAAAGATTAACATGACTTAGGTAGTATATTATATTTTTATGAATAGTCTATTTTCACAAATTTATATTTATTATTTCTTTATTTATTCATAGACAATAGTATTATTTTATATTTCAATTTAATATTTTAAAATTTTTAAAAATTTCTTTAGTTATATATTTGTTTAAAAAATACAATTTGGGTGTGTTTGTTTGGGAGATTTGTCCCAAAATCTACTATTCATCTAATTTATTTTTTTTAAAAAATATCAAATCAAACACTATTTTTTATTTTTTATATTATACTAAAAATCAACTTTACATTCAAAACATTACATTATCACATCATATAACTATTTAAATTCAAATTTTTTACTATTTAAATCTAACTCAAAATCCAAACTCCCAAACAAATACACCCAATATAAAATTATAATGTATTATTTAAATTTTTTACATTAAAATAAATAATTTGAAAATTTTGGTCGAAAAAAATAATATAAATATAATCATAGAAATTATTCTTATTCATATCCCCGCATAGAGTGTATCGACAGCCGTCATCACAAAGCACCTGCATATAATATCTCTCTCCATTCACTCTCTAGACTCTTGTTCATCTTCCGCTTTCTCTCTCTCGCTGCCGTTACCAAACCTCCATTTTCTTCGTCGCTCTTTCCGCCATCGCTGATGGATGCCGCCCCGCCGTCGTAGTCGTCCTCAGAGTTGTCGACAGGCGCCTCCACCGCTTTCGCAGAATGGAGGAATCCCTCCCCTCGCCAGGGCGAATTAAATCTCTCAACAAGGAGCAGAAGGCGCTCCTCAACTCCAAGCCGTCTCTTATGGCCGCTGTAAAGGAGCTGGAGAATCTCCTCCGCGCCTCTTCGCTTTCCCACGCTGTTGCCAGCGAAATTGAACTTTCATTCGCCTTGGTTAACGAAAGGGAAAGGGAAAAGAAGAAGGCGCGCGTTGCTGCTGTTTCCGATCTCCTTAGTCTGCTGTACGCTGGAAATATTCTTGATGTTAATGATCTGACGGGGAGACAGCAATTTTTGATGATTCGGATGTTGCAGAGGAGAGAAGCTCTTGTAGCTGTTTTCTGCATGATGCATGATTCCATCATCAAGCAAGATTTTTGTCCTAAGAAGTTGGATTTAGACCTGATTATTACGACCATCATTATTTCCCTTTTCCTGGTTGGCTACTCAGCATTGATTCACAAACATGCATTCCCTATCCCTTGTGAGTACATGACCTTTGATTTGTTTTTTTTTTTTTTTTTTTTTTGTTTCTTGCTTTTAAGATATTTGTGATAGTCTTTTAGGTATTGATGCATTAATCTTTATATGTGCAATACTAATCTGCTTAATTGTGTTGCTATGTATGAATATCTGATGTAGATGGGTAAATGAAACTATAGAGCATATATATAGTGGATAATTTTATGTGTTAGTCTGTCGGTGAATTGCTCATTTGTCTGGTTTGATTGATGTGATGCGGAAATGTATATTTTTGGAAAACTATAAGAAAAAGGATATGAAAAATGTATCTTACTTTCCATGGAGACACCACTTACTGCTAATTCAAACATGTAATTTGATGAGGACTATGGAATGTAGTTTTTGTTGCCTTAAACATTTTTCTTCAAGTATTTTTTATTGTTATTTTTATTATTCTTTTCATTAAAGGTGATATGTTTCCAAAAGAATTATTTCTGGAAATGTTTATCACAAAGTTCTTCAAAATGATCACTTTTTTTAGTTCAACAATTCTCTTTTGTTATTATGATAGTCGCCCTCTCGTTTGTTATGAATCCCCCAGTTTCGCAACCCCAGCCATGATGGTCTATAAGTTCTAGTTGAATAGATAGACATTATTTTGTTATGATAACCTAACAGGTCTTTGAACCAAGACGGTGATGCTATCTCGCTCTCGGATCTGCTGCCTCATTGGCTAATGTGGACTATTAACAATTTAGAATGTTGAAAAGATACTGATTGTGTATCTTTAAAGCTGGATTGCTTCCTTAGACCTTTTGTTTTCTGTTTCATGTTTTTTCTTGTCTACAGACTGCGTTGAGCTCCATCAAAGAAAATGTGGGGAAGCCCTCCATCACTGACAGTTGGACGTGCAAGTCTATGCAGATTTGTATGACAAACCTTGCAATGTATGTACATGTCTTTTCACTGCTCCAAATACAGTTTGTATATTTATTTATTTATTATTTTCAGTTTCTTTAGGGTAATCACCCCTCTTGATACTTTGTTTGTGCCTAATCATCATTACTATATGAAATGTGGACACCCCAACCAATTAAAAAGGAAAAACAGTACGGTGGTCGCAGCGCTTTGCTTTCATTCCATTTTGTTCCATGTATTCTTGAAATCGTCCGTCTTATTTGAATCACAAACCATATAAAGAAATCACTTTTGTAATGGAGTTGAAGCAACGGAACATAAGCCTATTTGGTCATGCAGGACTATACCAATGGAATGCAAACTGATTATATAATAGTACTGAGTCCAATGTAGCATATTATTAAAATGGTGTTCACTTTCGATATTCTTAAATTGAGTCGGTATTTCATTTGGAGTGTTGTAAAACTTGAAAACTATAGGCAAGGCAATTGAGGAACTATCGGCTTATACAATTAAAACATGGAATAGAAAATGAAAGATACATCTCTGCCTTAGTATTTCTTGCTGTATTACTTTAGTATATATGTCACTGGTTGTGCTGCAAGTGAAATGGGGAATACAATTTATTATATGCACTCACTTAGTGCAAAATAATCTATAAGTAAAATACATTATACAAGCTAGATAATGAAATACAATAATCAAATTATGCGTAGTAATTAATAAATATACAAACCATATAGAATTTAGGAAGAATATAGAAGAAAATTGGACAAATAAAAGAAATGAAAAATCGCTTGTAGAAAAGTTGTGCTATCTATTTCTTTATTGAAACGTGTCAAAGTATAAGAACAGCGACATATTACTTTATTCATACCCTATGCCATATTATACGAATGGCGCCCTAATTATAAGAATGGCATGACACATTGCTTTATTCAAACCAACTAGACTGGCATAGAGTGCTATAGACAAATGTTAAAAAATGCCTTGATTCGATTTTAATAAGTGGAACTATTGACAAAATAGGTATAGATTTTTGGAGCAGTGAATTATTAATATTCTTGCCTACGAACAATAAGTCGCCATCTATTTCGTAGAAACAACATAAGTTGTGATGCATATATTTTCCTTAAAAAATTTCTGGTCACCTATTTGCATTTGAAGTTTGTCTGGCTTTGGTATTGAATGATGGTTTGTCGCCATCTTTGCATTATTAAATTGACTTTGGATTCTTCATTATTTGTCGTATTCCTTTAGGTTAAAAGCCATTGTGTTTTCACAGAACACGTGGCGTGCATGTCCTGTTATAGTTTGTGGTCCTATAAACATAATACCATTTATAGGATGGCAAAATATTTAATTAGTCGTCATGAATATGCATTGATCTTTGAGTTTAGGATGTTATTAACTTCTGCTAGTTACTTTATTATATAAACATTCCTTTTGTTGTGTTCTATTTCTCCAATCTCATCGTACTTACCTAATCAATAACTAGTTAAAGTACTTCATTTTCTATAGTTATATCGTGTTGCCTTTTGAGTTATTATTTTTTCATTTCCATTTCCTCGTGGTTATCTAGGAAACTTTTACATTGATCTCACCAGTTAGTAGGAAAGTATATGTGCTGAATGTGCAATTTTCTCCATCCATATCAATCTAAAATACATGAGCAGATTATATTAATTTGATATTACTTGATCTATGGTGTGTCTAATGTGCCCTCTTGTGAGCCTTCATGTGTTGGGATACTTTTCTTGTAGTAGGAAAAATCACCATATTCTGATGTCAACAGGAAGGCTGCTGCATAGGCATTCTCAGTCCTCAGCGTCAACAACAGGTGCCTCCATGCTATGCAAAAGAAACTCAACCGCATTGACAGAATGGAGGAGTCCCTCGCCAGGGAAAAATCTCTCAAAAAAGAGCAGGAGGCGCTATTCAACTCTAATCCGTCCATTCTGGCTGGAATAAAGGAATTGGAGAATCTTCTCCCCTTGCTGTCCGGTCTGTTGGTGGGGAATTTGAACTTTTGAAGTTCAAGAATCTTCAATGCCTTGGGTAGAGAAAGGGAAAGGGAAAAGGCACGCGTGACACCTGTTTCTGATCTTACTAGCCTATTGTACTTGGAGAAAGTTTTTGGCGTGAAGGATTTGATGAGGATGCAGCAATCTTTGATGATTAGAATGCACGAGAGGAGCAGCTGCCTCTTACATAATTCTTTCATTGGCTTGCGGGATGATTAAGAAAATCTTTTAAAGGAGTTGGATTTTGACCTGATTAATATACCATGAAATTTGTTCGTTCCTTGGATTGGCAACTTGTTGATGCCTCACAATCATGTTTTGCGGAAATGCAATGGCTTGATACTTCCGACTAGCCTATTGAAGCTAGACTCAATGTTTCTTGTAAGTATAATCATTGTTTATATGTTAATTGATATTTCTTGTTACTTGCTCTTAAGAAATATGTGATAGTATTTTGGGTATAATGTGTTAATCTTTTAATTTATGCAATACTACTTTCCTTACTTGTGCCACCTATTACTTTATTGCAATCACATATCAAAGTAAGAACGGGGACACACGTTGCTTTATTGAAACCAAATGCCATAATATATCAGTGACCCATTGCTTTACTGAAGCTAAGTGCGATAGTATGGTGCTGGGTTGGCATAGTGTTCTACGGAAAAGTATTACTGTATGACTTGGTTTTATTTTCAGATGTGGGATGATTGACAGGATAGGTTAGGACTTTTTGAGCAGCAAATGCTTAAAATTCATTATTATGATTATTAAGAAACACATAGCGGGAATGCCTTTGTGGCCATATACTGTAATACCATTTATAGGATAGAAAAAAATATAATGTAATCATCATGAGTATTCACCAATCTTTGAGTTTTGGATTGTTATTTTTACCTCTCTTAGTTATTTTACTGTATAAATTTTGACTTTTATTATGTTCAATGTTCTCCATTCTCATGGTAGTTACTAATCAATAAGTAGTTGAAGTACTTCATTTTCTATGCCAATGTGGTGTTGCCTTTTGAGTGATCATTTTTCTATTTCCATTTCTTCTGGTTATTGAGGATAATTTTTTCTTTTATCTAACCAGTTAGTGGCTATGTATATGGGCTGGAAGTGCGTGTGTTTCTGTTTAGAACTTACAGTACATATGCAAATAACATTAATTCGAATATTACTTGATTTATGCTTCACTGTGTGTATGCCCTTGAGCTCTCAAGTGTTACAATTTTACTTGTAGGAGGACAAATCACGGCATTCTGATGCCAAAAAAGATGCATGATTATGAATTCTCCTACCATACTACAAATAATTGTCAGGTAGCTACCTTATTTATTTATTTATTTTAACTATGTCATGGCAAATGGATATTTCATATTGTGCTCCTCTTATACATAAAAGAATTTACTCTCTGAGTTCATTTTTGCTTCAGGAAGGATTATATATGTATGTATATATATATATATCAGACCACATGGCTCATTCTCACCAGAGGATACTTGATCGTAGAAAGATATATCAAAATTCAAAGAAACTTGAGAATGATTACGCTCGAAGGATTTGGTGCAGCCAATTTTGTTGCCCAAAGTGGCAAAGGTTTGCTAAGCAACCTCAATTCTACAAGTGTGTGTGTTTGGGAGCTTGTTGTGGCTATCTTTTTTAGATTTCTATGAAGTTTTGTATGATATAGTTATCTGCAATTCTTGTAAATTTTTTTTACTTGAACTCTTGTCAACTGCCATATATAATTCTTCGAGTCATTTTTGTATTTTGGTAAGATATTGCAGTTATTTCAATATCACTTTCAACCTCAACAATTTATGAATGAAATTTAGGAGTGATTGGAATTAGAGTCGACAAAAACCGATCCGACACGACAACCCGATATGAACCTAATACCTAATAATTAGGTATTGGTCAAATATTTTAATCTGATTATGTATACGGATTGACACGAATCCAATATGTACACATTATGTTCGAACCAATAAAAACTAACATAACACGACAATATGATAAAAAAAATTAATTTGAATCAAAGTTTCGATTTACTTATATACACGGGTCAACACGAATTCAACACGATAATAAACGGATCAATATGAACCCGACACGATAATAAATAGATCGGATTAGAATTGAGTAATTTAACCCATTTAAAGTATTCAACCCGACACAAATTGACCCATTGTCATCTCTACTTGAAATGAAGTTTTTGCATGTAAATGTTATTCTATTTAAGTGACCATAAAAATGGTAGCTTTGATCACTAAACTTTTGTAGACAAGAGTCACAAGTTTATGACTTGAAGTACTAATATAGTCTTCTTACATTAAATTCAAAGCTGATTTTCGCATTGTTTGTGGTTTTGCATCGATATTTTTTTTATAATTTTCTTTTTTTACTTGTGACTATTGTAATGATTTGCCATTTATTCTTCGCTGTGTTGCATAACTTGTTCTTTATGTTATATTGTGTATATTGTTTTATATGATGTGGAACATTGAATGCACACTGAATAAAATGTAGGTCGAGCATATACTCTGTAAATTATGTTGGCAAAATAAATTACACTATAATAGTATAAATATATATTACTGAAAATTTGTATGATACCAATTTTTGTGTTTTTTAAAATATTTTTCAACACTTTTTGACTATTCTGATAGATTGAAGTTAACTTGTGATGTTAAGCTAATATACATTTTTAAAGTTAAGATGGTGAAATAAGTTCTAAGAAAATTATTATTGATAAATATTATTTAAAATAAAAAATCAGAGTGGCTTAATGGAAGCGTGGTGGGCCCATAACCTACTGGTATTAAATCTATTTTCCACATAATTATTTTAATCTTGTATATGATTCCATAATTTTTATGAAATGCAGATTTGTTACTAAAGCTATTTCCAGCAATATGTATTTATGATCGAAAGTAATAATGCCACTCATAATAATATTTATTTATATATAAGAAAAAATGATTATTGCATTGCATATTGCATAGAGTGTATCGACAGTCGTCACCAAAAGCCACTGACACAAAATCTCCCCATTCACACTGCCCACCGCATTCACTCTCCCTCTCTCTCTCTCTCGATTCTTCTTCATCGTCATCGTTCTCTCTCTCTACCATTACCAAACCGCCATTTTCTTCATCGTTCCTTCCGCCATCGCCAATGGACGCCGCTCCGTCGTCGTCGTCCTCCACTGGCCCCGTCCTCAGCGTCGTCGACAGGCGCCTCCGTGCTTTGCGCAAGAAGCTCAACCGCATTGGCAGAACGGAGGAATCCCTCGCCAGGGGGCAACCTCTCAACAAAGAGCAGGAGGCGCTCCTCAACTCCAAGCCGTCCCTTCTGGCTGCTGTAAAGGAGCTCGAGAATCTCCGCCCCTCGCTGTCCCACGCTGTTGCCCGCGAAATTGAACTTTCCTTCTCCAACTTGAAGCGGAGTGTCGACGCCGAAAGGGAAAGGGTGAAGGCGCGGGCTGCGGCGGTTTCAGATCTTCTTACAATACTGTATTTGGGGAAAGTTTTTGACTTGACAGAGGGGCAGCAATCCTTGATGATGAGGATGCACGAGAGGAGCAGCTGCCTCTTACATGATTGCGTCACTGATGGAGAAGACGAAAAAAAACTTTTAAGAGAGCTGGATTTGGACCTGATTAGTAGAATGCAGGGCTTGATCGTTTCCCGGCCAAGGGATTCGATCTTATCTCACAAGCATGCATTGCAAAAATGCTTGGAGCATGCAATGCGTTGGCTTGATAGTTCCGACCAGCTCATCGAGCCTAACGTCGATGTAACTTGTACGTATATTTCCTTGTTTTAGTTTTATGCAGTACTATTTTGCTTAATTGTGTTGCTGTTTATGATGCATGATTTAGATTGGACAAATGAAAGTACAGCTAAATTGTAGACGGTAGTTCTATGTGTTGGTAAATTGCTCCTTTGTGAAACTGTAAACTTTTTCTTTTCGTTTTTTTTTTTGGGTGGCTTGGAGGTGATTTGGTGTTTCTTTTGGAGGATTTTGAACCCCAAACAAACACACCATTAGTGTTTTGAACGAAAAACAGGTTTTGAATTTTGATGCTATATTTTTTTGGAGGAACAGTTATATTTATGTAGAATTAACTGTATGAAAACTAAATAAAGAAGACAACAAACACCTTTTTTTTTTTTTTTTTCACATTTAACACTAGAAATATAATTCTTTGAAAACTAGAAGGAAAAAAAGGTGTCTTGTTATGAGTTCATCACTTGATGCTAATTCTAACAAGCATATGAGGACTATAGAATGTAATTTGTTGCATGAACTTGTTTTCAAATATTTGTTATTATTGTATTAGCTAAGAAGAGATCCGGGCTTTTAACCTAAAACCCGTGATAGATGGAGTGACCCTTTATCCTTGTAAATCAAGGGAATTCCCACATGTTTACCAATATGTGACAAGATTCAACCCTCCCCTCCCAATTAGCACTAGGTGGAGTGGCCTTTCACCCTTGTAAACAAGGAAAGCCTGTCCCACATTGGTAAACATGTGGAAACTCCCTTGGCTTACAAAGGTGAAGGGCCACTCCACCTAGTATCAATTTGTTTTAGGTTGGAAGTCAAGATTCCTTCTTAATAGTATTCCTTTTTACTGTTAATATAACTTTACATTGATGGTGGTATGCTTGCAGAAGGATTATTTTTGGAATAAATTATTACAAAGTTCTTCAAAAATGTTTAATCATCCCTATATGATAATTGAGGTGTATATTTTTTTTCTTGAAATGAAAACATTTTAGATACTCACTTGAGGGAGAAACTAAAGAGAATTTTGGCATCCGACTACTTCTTAGCAACTCCCAAGAGAAGGATTCCCATTGAAGTAGATGCAACTATTGCCAATTATAATAATGTTTTCCAGATTCAATTGGAGGACTCATCAAGTACTAGAGTTGCATTGAATGAACAAACTCAAGGCTCAGATGCAGAGGTTGATCAAGAGGTAAATACGATTTCTATTTATTGGTTACATGTTATTCTAACTTTTCTATGGCCCGTGATCACTTATGATTTCCGTTGAATAGATAGACATGTTATGTTATGATAACCTAATAAGTCTTTCAACCAGGATGATGGTACTAAATCGCTCTTGGATCTCCTGCCTCATTGGCTCATCTCGACGATTAACAATTTAGAATGTTAGAGATACAGATCCAATGTCTTAATGCTGGATCATTATATTAGAATTTTTGTTTTTGTTTCATCTTTTTGGTTCGCCGCAGACTGCATTGAACTCCATCAAAGCAATGTATGTTCATATCTTTTGACTGCTGCAAATGCAGTATGTATATATTAATTCATTCAATTTTTAAAGTCATTTTCCTTAGGGCGATCACCCACCTTTCAATAATTTACTTAAGCCTAGCCATCTTATTTATGGAATGAAAATGTTGATACTCTAGCTAAGTAAAAAGGAAACACCTACGTTAGGTTTGTGCTTGCATCATTTTCTTTGATTCCATTATGTTCCCATGTACATTCTTGAAACCATACCCAGTTTACTTGAACCACCTACTATTATAATGAAATCATTTTTGTGATGGAGTTAAGCCAACAAAGTATAAACCTATTTAGTCAAACAGTAATAGTTCGGGTTGTCCACATACCCATAAGATTTTTTATTAAACCATGCTTTATGAAACATCTGACTTCAAATGTTTACTTTTATATATGCAAGCTAATGCAAGTCGTCCTGATTTGGGCTGAACGAAAAGTTAGTGACTAATCTTAAGACGTTATAAAACAGGCTCTTTATATAAAACACATTTCAATGAAATGCAAACTGTTTATATCCGAGTTGACTCCAACATTGCACATTATTAAATTGGTCTTCAACTTCAATACTCTTAGCTTGAGTCGATTTTTATTTGGAGTGTTGTAAGAGTCAAGACAATTTAGGATCTATCAACTTATACCTATATTTCAAAAACGCAATCGAAAATGAAAGAGACATCTTTGTTTTAGCATTTATTGTTGTATTACTTTACTATATTTGTCAATGTTACGTCGAGTGTTATGGGGAAAGACATTTTATGCACTTCCTCAGATAAATAATATACAAATAAGTTGCATTATACTAGTCAGATAAATGAATATAAACAAAGTTTACATAGTAATTAACAAATACTAATGTTTAGACTTGTACTTCTCGAAGATGTGACAGTTAGCAAATCACAACCCAATAGAAATCATATAGAAGCTAGGAAAATAGGACAAATAAATGAAGTAAGTTTTTGTAGAAAAATTGTGTTGTATGCTTCTTTATTTAAACCACGTGTCAAAATATTAGAACGGAAGCACACATTGCTTTATTGAAGCCAAATTCCGTAGTTTACAAAAAGGTGGCAAACATTGCTTTATTAAACCAAATGCCATAGTGCCCAAATGACGCTAAGCTGGAGCTCTATGGTACTAGATCAGAATGTAGTGATATAGACATATGTTACCGGATGCATTGGTCTTATTTCCAAATATGGAACTGTTGAGTTTGTATTTTTTGAGTAGAGAATGATCAAATCCCTTGCCTATGAACATTACGTCACCACCTACTTTCATAGACACAACATTGTGATGTTTATATTTGCATTATAAAATTTCCATTTACCTATTTGCAGTTTCCTTTATTGCCATCTTTGTGTTATTCTATTGGGATTATGAATATTCTTCAATATTTGTCGTATTCACAAAACATTTGGCGTGCTTGTCATGTAATAGCTTCTATTGGGATTAGGAATATTCTTCAATATTTGTCGTATTCACCGAACATTTGGTGTGGTTGTCATGTAATAGCTTGTGGACCTACAAATGTGTGACCATTTATGGGATATCGAAAGATTTAATGTAGTCCGTCTTGAGTATTCATGGTTGAGTTTTGGTATCTTAGGAACCTTGAAATTATTTTACCATATAAAATCTCCTTTTGTCATGTTCATTGTTTTTCATTTTCATTAATCAGTAACAAGTTGAAGGACTTCATTCTCTATGGTTATGCGTGTTGGATCTTGATAGTTGATTTAACTTTTCCATTACTCTTGGTTATCTAGAAAAATGTTAGATTTATTTCATTGGATGTACCTAACATATACGAGTCGGGCGTGCATGTTATCTAGGAAAATATGACATTTATTTTACATTTATCTCACCAGTTAGTAGGTAAGTATATGGGCTGAATGTGCAATTTTCTCCTAAAATAAATGGGTAGCTAGATGCATTAATTTGGATATTACTTGATCTATGTTTTGTTTAATGTGCCCTCTTGTGACCTCACGTGTTGAACAACTTTTATTGTAGGAGGAAAAATCATCATATTCTGATGTCAAAAAGATGGTTGTTGTATCGGATTTCCCCTCAATTGGTTTTTCCTTCACTAGCCCCGTCCTCAGCGTGGTCGACAAGTGCCTCCATGCTTTGCGCAAGAAACTCAACCACATTGGCTCAACAAAGAGCAGGAGACACTCTTTAACTCAAACCAGTCCATTCTGGCTGCTATAAAAGAGTTGGATAATGCGCGCCCCTCGCTGTCCAAGCTGTTGGTGGGGAAATTGAACTTTCCTTTTGAAGTTCAAGAAGCTTGAGAGCCTTGAGCAGATAAAGGGAAAGGGAAAAGGCACGTGTGGTGGCTGTTTCCAATCTTCTTAGCCTATTGTACTTGGGGAAAGTTTTTGACGTGAAGGATTTGATGAGGGGGCAGCAATCTTTGATGATTAGGATGCACAAGAGGAGCAACTGCCTCTTACATAATTCTTTCATTGAGGCGCGGTGTTGATTTTGGAGATCTTTTAAAGGAGTTGGATTTTGACCTAATTAGTGTACCGTTGAATTTGTTTGTTCCTTGAATTGGGGACTCGTTGATGTCTCATGATCATGCTTTGCGGATATGCTTTGAGTAGAGAATGCAATGGCTAGATACTTCCAACTAGCCTATTGAACCTAGCCTCAATGTTACTTGTAAGTATATATCTTTGTTTATATGTTAATTGCTATTTCTTGTTACTTGCTTTTAAGAAATATTTGTTAGTCTTTTGGGTATTAATGTGTTAATCTTTTAATTTATGCAATGCTACTTTTCCTTACTTGTGCCACCTATTCCTTTATTGAATGACGACACATGTTGCTTTATTGAAACCAAATGCCATAGTATATCAATGACCCGTTGCTTTACTGAAACTAAGTGCCATGGTATGGTGCTGGACTGGCATAGAGTTCAATAGAAAAGTATTACCAGATGACTTGATTTTGTTTCCAGACGTTGGATGATTGACATGATAGGTTTTGACTTTTCGAGCAGCAAATGCTTAAAATTCATTTTTATAAATATTAAGACACACTTATAGGTATGTCTTTGTGGCCATATATCATTTATAGGATAGCAAAAGATTTGATGTAGTCATCATGGGTACATTGATCTTTGAGTTTCGGAATATTTTTAACCTCTCCTAGTTATTTTACTGTATAAATTTCCTTTGAATGACTTGATTTGTACTTCGCTTTGTGTATGCCCTTGGGCCCTCAAGTGTCAATCAGTTTTACTTGTAGGAGGAAAAATCACCACATTCCGATGCCAACAAGATGCATGGTTATGACTTATGAATCTTCCTACCACACTACAAATATTTGTCAGGTAGTTTACTAATTTATTTATTCTAACAAGATCAAGACAAAATGAATATTTCATATTATGCTCCCCTTGTACATTAATGAATTTACACTGTAAGTTCTTTTTTTGCTTCAGGATGGTTTATATATATATATATCAGACCACATGATCCATTCTCAGCAGAGGATACCTAATGGTAAAAAGATATATCAAAATTCAAAGAAACTTGAGAATGATTTTGCTCGAAGGATTTGGTGCAGTCAATTTTGTTGCCCAAAGTGGGGAAGGTTGGTTAAGCAACCTCAATCATATATAAGTGTGTTTGGGAGCTTGTTGTGGCAATCTTTTTAAGATCATCCCTGTGAAGTTTTGTATCTTATGTTATATGCAATTCTTGTAATCCTTTTTACTTGAACTCTTATTGAATACTATATATAATTCTTGGGGTCATTTTTGTAGTTATTTCAATAGCACTTCATCTGCAACAATTTATGAAATGAAATTAAGGAGTGATTGGAATGAGATTTTTGTGTGTAAATGTTATTCTATTTGACGATGAAAATGGTGGCTTTGATCACTAACTTTTTGTAGACAAGAGGTACAAATTTATGACTTCAAATACAAATTTATTCTTTTTCCATTAAATTCAAAGTTGGTTTTTGCATTATTTGTGGTTTTGCATTGATATTTTTTAAGTTTTTTTTTAACTCAGTCATCATCATAGTGATTCTGAAGATTGTTATTTATTTTTTACTTTGTTGATGACTTATTCTTGTTGTTATATTATGTATATTTTTTTATATAATGTGGACTCGTTGTTGGTTTGCTTTGAGCCGCACAGTGGATAAATTTTAAGCCGAGCATATAACCTGTAAATTATATTGATAAAATAAATTACACCAGACAAGTCTTGTGTATGACCGACAATCAAAAATCAAGATAAATATTTCTTTGTTAAATAAATATATATATATTATTGTGTAAATAAATATATTATTGAAAATTTGATGTGATTTTTATGTAATACTTAAAGATGATACCAAATTTCTTTGTTCAAGTCTTTTCAATACTTTTCTACTATTTCGGACATTAGTTTGACATATTTTTAAAATTTGAAAAAATATATATTGGTGAAATAATTTTATTTTTTATTTTTTAAAAACTCATTGATAAATGTATACAAATATTGTTACGTACGAAATTTAGAATTAGGTTAAAAGCCCAAGGTAAAAAAGAAGAATGGGCCTGGCAATAGGGTTGATTGAACTGGCTGAAGGACACCGTGAGGAAATCAAGGAAAATAAATTTATTTATTTATTTCTAAGGAAAATACAGGACGGAAGGTTCTCAGGTCGGTAGGTCCTCAGGACGGAAGGACTTCAGGTCGGTAGGTCCTCAGGACGGAAAGACCTCAGGTCGGAAGGTCTTCAGGTCAGTAGGTCCTTAAGACGGAAAGTCATTAGGACGGAAGGACCTCAGGTCGGTAGGTCCTCAAGACGGAAGGACCTCAGGTCGGAAGGTCTTCAGGTCGGTAGGTCTTCAAGACGGAAAGTCATTAGGACGGACGGACCTCAGGTCGGTAGGTCCTCAAGACGGAAGGACCTCAAGTCGGAAGGTTTTCAGGTCGGGAAGTCCTCAAGACGGAAAGACCTCAAGTCGGAAGGTTTTCAGGTCGGGAGGTCCTCAAGACGGAAAGACCTCAAGTCGGAAGGTTTTCAGGTCGGGAAGTCCTCAAGGCGGAAAGACCTCAAGTCGGAAGGTTTTCAGGTCGGGAAGTCCTCAAGGCGGAAAGACCTCAAGCCAGATGGTTCGCAAGTCGGGAGGATTGGCGGTCGGACCCATACTATTGTAGATTGGCAGTCGGGCCAAAAGAGCGGAAGGTCTGTGGTCGGCTCAAGGAGTGAAATATAGGGAATTTTTGGTCTGCTGGGGACACGTGTCAGCATAAGAAAGGTTGGAAGACGGTTGAGAAGGAGACGTTGTAACCGTTCGGGTGACGGTTTTCAGTACGGTTTCCCAGGGAATATTTAAGGATTTGGATCATCATTTGGCAAGGGATCTTCAATCAACTTCAACAAAGCAAAGTCAGATTTGGGGATCACCACTTTAAATTTCAGTCTTTTATTTTCCAGTTTATTTTCTGTACCATACAGTGTTTAGAGATTCCTAATCTCAGGCACTAATTAATCAAGTTTAAGGATATTTTCTATATCTTTGAATTTTACTTTATTTTTGTTGAAAAATTACATCAACAAATTGGCGACCACAGTGGGAGCAAGACAAAATTGCTCATTCCAATTCCGGCGATAATTTCATACGTCTTAGATCCGGCCGAATCATCGGAAGGGTCCATATGGCAGGGTCACAACCGCAAGCATCTTCGACACCGGTGGGAGAATCCGTTCCACCACCCATTGTGCCAAATGCCGGGGACATCCCACAACCACCAACTGATTGGTGGTCTTATGTTCAACAAATGAACAACCAGCATACCTTGGTTATGCAGAATATGTTGCGTGAGCAACAAACGAACATGTTGCGTGAGCAACAGAGTCAGTTGCAGAACATGATAGATCAAGCATTGTCAAGGGTTAGTCTTCAACCCACTCAAACGCCACCAGGAGTGTCACCGTCCAGACCACAGGCAAATTTCGCAGGGCCATCATTCGTGGATAGTACATTCCCAAGTGCCACAAATCCCAACCGAATGGATCGGGGAAAAACTCCTTTGACTTTTCCCAACAATGTTCCACTGGGACCAAGGGTTACCAATTCGCAGCCGAACAATACAAGGGAGGACAGGCCTGAAGGATATATACATGATCCGATTCATATTCCTGTGCAGGATCCGTTCCAGGTTCCTGATCATCAACGCTTTCATGTAGATCCTGATGAGATTGCACATATATTAAGGGATCAGTATGGATTAACTCCTCAGATGGCTAACCGCCCTGCATATCAAAGACCTTTCCCAGAAAGGATCATTCATGAACACCCTCTCCCAAGGAATTTTCGACCACCCGACTTTCATGCATTCTCAGGGGAGGACGGATCTTCCACCATAGAACATGTTGGTCGGTTCACAGCACAATTAGGAGAGGTTGGCAATAACCCTTTTTATAAGTTACAGCTGTTTGGTTTGTCTCTTACCAGAACGGCGTTTTCATGGTTTGTAAGTCTACCTCCTGGACAAATTCAGACATGGGAAGGATTGGAAATGGCATTTCACGCTAGATTCTTTAATCCTTTACCAGTTGTTTCTTTAACTGATTTACTTGAATTGAGACAGTATCCAGAAGAAACTGCTTCACAGTTTATAGAAAGGGTACGATTGATGAAGGGACGATGTCCTACGGTAATCAGTGAGAAAGAGATGACCAATTTAGTGGTCCGGAATATGCATAATCGCTTAAGAAAGGCACTCACTGCCCTGGATGTTGAGGATTTGGCAAATCTTGCATCCAAGGCAGGACGTCTAGAGTCTTTGTTCAGAGAGGAAGAGCAGCATAACAGGCGTAATAGAGGCCAACATATGGCGAGTATGGGAACAGAAACATGCGACTTTGATTTTAATCAGTCAGAAGAGATGGCAGCCGAAATCCTTTCTGGAAAACCGTATGTATGTCCTAAATTGAAGCCAGTACCAGGATCTGAAGGAAAGGAGCAACCGACCTTTGATAGTTCGAAAGCTGATGAAATCTTTGATATCCTACTGACTGATGGGCAGATTCGTATTCCAAAGGGCCAAAGACTTGCCACTAAAGAAGAAATCAAAGGGAGACCATATTGTAAGTGGCATAATTCTTTCACACACACTACAAGTCAGTGTACTCATTTTAGGAAGGAAATTCAAAAAGCCATCAAGACAGGTCGGCTCAAATACATCACTTTAGGTGTAGACCAGCAACCATTTCCGAAACTAACAACTGCAATGGTTGACATCCAACCAAGTTCGGAAACAAGGAAAAGTTCGGTCAATAGTGGACAAACAGGGGAGCAAACTAGTCCCGGAAAAAAGAAAGGGAATCAGCCAAACAGCAGCCGACCGGAAGAACGACTCAAGGTTGTTGAAAGGCCAGTCGCTGAAAAATGGGACCGTCCAGACGGTTCTTTTAACGTGGAAGTGAAGGAAAAGGTTTTAGTGAAAGACCACCCGACCAGAAAAACGGGTTCAGTCGGGAACGAGTGGGCTCGAAATAAAAAGCCTTTACCCGTTGATATAGATCCTCGTTTCCCAGGTATGAATCGTACACAGATTCGCAATGCCAAACGCAGGTATGCTGCAAAGTATGGGAAACGAGTTCCTGCAGTGCAACAAAGAACCGACGAACAAACTGCGGCCGACCACTTGACAGGAGATCAGTCCATTAGAGTCTTTACAGAACAAACGACCGACGAGCAGGGAGCGGCCATTCAGTCTCCAATAAGTCGGTCCAGTCGGGTCTGGTCAGGAAAGCAACCGAAGGACGGATTAGGAGCTTCCGACTATACCAAAAGAAGTTCGTCGGGACAGGGGAAAGGTAAGGGAATGGCACATGAAATAATTAAAGGTTTTAGATGCCAACATTGTGAACGGATCAACATCAATCCATCTCTGGAAGAATTTCGTATTGAATCCTTGACGGTTCAATCTCGAAATGAGACGAAGGAAGAAGTGGTGCCTACAGAGGAAAATTCAAGATCTGTTAAATCTCGTCTGGGACCACGAATCCCTTGTCGAATGACAGAGGTTAACCAGATGAGTGATGAACCGACGTGGGCGAGTCTGGTAGATGATATTATGGACGAACCTTTATGGGCATTCTTGGCAGATGGCGAATTAGAGGAAACAGAGTGGGCAAAGATTACAGATTCTGAGCCTCAGTCGGAAGCACCTTCAATTGTGTTTCCTCCTATTCCAGAGGGTGCGAACTCCCATTTGAAACCCCTGTATGTTAATGCTCACATTTGTGGGAAACCAATCACAAAGGTTTTCGTGGATAATGGAGCAGTCTTTAATGTTATGCCATTGAAGACTCTCAAGAAGCTAGGGAAAGGAATTCATGATCTGTCCCCTGTGGAATTCGAAATGACAAGTTTTACAGGGCAGCCGACCAAGCCTGAAGGTATGATGGTTGCCACAATTGAGGTCGGACCAAAGAAAATTTCCACTGTTTTCTTTATTGTGGACGCAGATACCACATACTCTCTTTTGCTGGGACGAGATTGGATTCATGCCTCTCAATGTGTGCCATCAACCTTGCACCAACAGTTAATGTTCTGGGAAGGAAATCAGGTCTTTAAAATGGAAGCGAATGACAACCCATTCGACGTAACAGAACAAGTGGAAGAGTCAGTGTTTTATTCTAGTCATTTGGCTCCGATGTCTCAGTTGTATATGGCCAGGGAATACCCAAACAAGGGTTATAAAGTCACTGGCCA